GCAAGACGGGATTACAGAGCATAAACGAATAAGGCGATTCGAAATTGGATTATAGCCTATTTATCTTATTGTCCCTTTCAAATTCATACGATACTCGACCTGAGCTACTTCTTTCTGACTAACCACGAGAGAACTAACCTGGGGCCCATACGCCAGATATACTGCAACTGGATATCACAACATATCAGTGGGTGTATATAACTTGAGGGTATGTCTCGTTTGGTACACTTGTCACACAAACACTCCAAACAAAATTGGGATCAGTAGAAGGTTTCCATGGGCAGGATGCAATCAGAGTGAATGCAATCAGAGGCGATGGTGAATTCTTACGCTCTCACACGTCCAGTCCCTTTTTCTCTTCTCACTTTCTTCAGACAGAGACAGACATTCAGTCAAAGTAAAAGCTCATTCGTTGCTCTTTGGCAGCGGCCTCTCATCCCCACCTTGAGTGGGCTTATTGTCGACTTTGAAATTTTCTATAAAACAGACTTATTCTCTCCACTCGCTCCTTCCCATGTCCTTAAGTCACATACTTCAACGTTGAACCCTGCCTTGACCCAGCACAAACTACATTTCCCTAATCTACATCACTTCTACACCAGCTCTTCTGAGCCAATATCTAGCCTATCCCATTATCACTATCTAACACTAACTTGCATCCACTTCTTCTGGCTCCTCGAATATTAGGATTCAAGATCTGTCCTTTCCTTCCATCTATATCACGATGGGTGAGAAAGTAAGAAATGCATATTCTGGTGGCTATAGCGATACTATCAAAAGACAGTAAGTTGATCTTTGTCTACGTAACGGATCCTTAAACAATTCATTTATTCGCTGACAACACTAGGCTTGAGAGGGTGGTAATCCCCGACAGGTTCGACGGCTCCTTCATTATCTAGCTAAGATTTACGAAGCTTACAGCCATTTCGTTACAGAGTCAAGTGCATGACGTGCAAAAAGATGCGCATGCAGAGCGCATACTCTAAAAGACAGCTCGATGTCCTGCGAAACGCCATAGTCGTGCAAGGCGGTCGAGCCCTCACTGGGCCTGGCCTCGCCAAATGCAGAGAATGTGTGGGCGGCCAGACTGTAGAGCTCCGGTGCGCCATTTGTGATGAAACAAAGGGCCTTGAGGAGTTTGCAAAGAACCAGAGACACGACCGTGATCGTGCAGTAAGCCTTGAAAAACTTCCTGTAGCAATTTGACAAAGCTAATGGTGGTTCTCCATAGAGGTGCTTGGCTTGCGTGCAGAACCATACGGAAACTGAGCCTGTTCTCGAGGAACAAAAACTGCTTGCCGAAAGCGAGATGTCCACTGCTCAAGATACTACTACGTCCGTAAGTCCTCTATGACTAACCCACCTTGCTTAGCCAAACTATTCGTCACACTAACGGACCCAAAGAGCCAGGCAGATGACGGTTACGCATACAGTACTGCCTACGGGGAAGATGAAGAGGATGATGATGACTACTCCATAGGGGGTGGAGTCTGGGTTGAGCCCGAATGCTCCCAAGGCAACCCTCCCACTAAGAGCAAAGAGCGTGAATATACCGGATACGACCAACATGGAATTCCCCATCTCCTTAGCACACCGGCTGCGGCACCGAAAAGTGTGCACTCTGGCTGGGCATCTTGGGGAATCGAGGCTAGTTCTCCGCAAGCAAATACTCTTCGAGCCGGCAAGCCCTCACCTTCGGTGCAGAAAAAGACCTCGAACTTTGCGAAGATCCCGGTAAGGCCGATATAGCTGACGCTACAGTGGTTTAGAACTGACTCGCATTTGTGTCCAGAGAATGCGAGTTGAGCGAAGCGATCCCCGGACATCACGCACCCCGGCCCCCACCAGAGAGAACTTGGCATATGAAAAGGGTGACCATGTTGATATTGAGGATTTTCTCTGAGTTAACAGGAACCGCGGTTGAGTCCGTTGAGGCACCCCCACCGATTCCAAATGGGACATTTCCGTGGTTAACCCGCCGGAGCTTCCTTGTAGGACCTCACCTAAATAGAGTGACTATGGAACGGAGACAGCAACAACGAGAACCTCGCATGGATTAGCTCTCGTTTCCCCTATGGTTTGATAACTTCAAACCAGCCGGTGATTTTCAGACCACTGTTGAATCCTGCATGATATTGGGGGATTTTAAGTAAGAACATTGATATGGGGGTTAACTATGAAAAAAACGATGAAAAATAGGAAAAAGTACGTGCAGCTGGAGATGTGCATGGGCGGTGACGTATGGCTGGCGTTAGCGGCTGAGATCGAATTAGTTCAACGTTTAAACTCTTTCTGTTCCTCGTGATTTATTTTATGATTATTATTTCTCTGCCTCTATCGGAAAATAATGCAATGATTCTTTCTACTGCCGCTGCTTTGTTGCCAGGATTTTGCATTCTACACTCTCTCTAGACAGCTGCAACTGTGTGATTGTTCAAGATCAATCATACACTAGTACTCCATACACGAAAGTGTTTCACACTCCACTTACTCCCTGCAGGACCCCTCCATATCGTCACTCTTCTCGCTCTTTCTTTCACTTTTGCGCACATAATAGCCACTACAAAGAAAGACTTCGCCACTTGCGATCTGGCCGTAATTTACATCTTGATTCATTTGTCGTTTCCCTTTTCTGACCGTATCGATTGCTACCAATCCGACCACCTCGCGAAGAGAACCCACGACAAGCGACTCGACGCTCAAGACTGTACTCCTTATGGCTTACGATGGATATCAGAACAACTCAGTCCCCTTCTATCAGCCGGGCAATGCGAATCAAATGAATCCAAACGAGCCCCGCGCTTCATCGTACACGCCGCCTTATCCGTCTCAGTACGGCCATGAGCGCCTCAATATGCCGCAACCTCAAGTCCCTCCTCCACCCCCAACGAATCCATATACGGAAGCTCAACCTCCTCCATCGCAGCCGCATACCTGGCAGCAGCCCTACGATGGGAGGATCAACGAGGCTGTTAACTCCGCATTTCACAAAGCTGACACATCTACCTACCTATCCCCGGAAGTTTTAACCCAAATAACGGCGAATGTCATCCAACAGCTCAAAGAAACGGGCCTGGAGAACCTACAAAGCGACCAATACCAGCCCCCGCATCCCCCGCCTCGGCCGCCCAAACAATGGGCAACTGGGGCGCATCCTACATACTCTAATGACTTTGCCTCTTCTCCTATCATGGCGACACAAGATACTTCAGCCTCGTCGCCCCACGTTGCCTATGAAAATTCCGCTTACCAACCACGACCACCGTCCACGGCATACTCCGGCAGCCCCCATCTCCAACCCAGAGCATCCCCAGCGCCGCCATCAGAGAGGCGAGGATCTCCGGCTAGTCATATGAGTGAGCATAGCCAGAGAATGGAATCCCGGCCAAAACCGCCGTCGAGAGAGGCCACCGTCACGGAGCTGACGACGCTGGAAAGAATATGGGGGACGCTTTTTGAGGATGGAAAGCCAACCAAGAAGCTGAGTCAGTTCTTGCGTGGGATTGCTGTTCATTTAGTGAGTAATACTACAAGTTAATGGATCCTTCGTCTAACCGGAGACCAGATCGAAGACTATGAACCCAAAAACAGTCTTGTCATACTTCCCGCAAAGCTACAGAAGTTTTATGAAGACACCAGAGTACCAGGGGACTATTATCCTTGGAAGTGTAAGTCGGTTTTGATATCCCTTTGTGAGTGGGCACATTTAACCTTTGCCACTTAGATATCTTCGATGATGAAACGTCTCACGTTTCGAGATTGTTTCGAGAGGTGAGAGCCGAACACCATCTCGTGCAGGAAGAAAATCAACTCCGTGAGAGACCATATATTCCTGGCCTGACGCCACGAGGCTTTGAGACATGGGCTACCTTGATGATTCAAGTCAACCCTGAGACGGAATATAAGCGATTGCAGAAAGCAGTGCTGAACATGCCTATTAGCAATCCGGACAACAGAAAGGAGAGGTTTCCCAAAGAGATCCCGCAATCGTTGTTCCCCTTCGAAAAGATACTAAAGCCTGAGTTGCAAGAGGAAATCAAGGAGTTCATAAAGGAGCATTGCAGTGTTGATTTGGATAAGGAGTTGGAGAAGTTCAAAGCGCATCACGAAGGCTCTAACACATCCACTGCCGCTTCGGGCCCTTCATACAGTGAGCGGGAACGAAAGCCATACCAGGCGTCTGTTTCCACAGTAGTAGACAGCGATGAGGAAGAACTCGACACTCCTTCACGCCCCATAGAACGACAGAGGAAACCATACACTGCGCATCCAGGAGGTGGGAAGGAGTACGGTGACATTCAAGAACCTAACCATCGGCATACATCCTCGTTCTCTGGAGGCTCTATTCCAAGGGATACTTTGGCTTCCTCGGAACCCAGAGTTTCCGAGTCTCAGGGCCTTGACCCTACTTACGTTCGACCCAGCAGTACTCAGCCACCTCTAAACACCATGAGGCGGTCAGGGAGCCCGCCACGAGGATCCAAGGTAGGTAGTGAATACAGACACTCTGAGGGTGATTTGCTGGGATACAATGGTAGCTCTGGATACGGAGTCGACGATAATTACTATTACCGTCCTGGCGCCTCCACCAGCACAGGGGACATCCTTGAAGACACTCGATTCTACCGAGACGCTAGCCGTGACGAAGACCAACGACTGTACGAGTCCCTCCGAGAGCGCGAAAGGGAGCGCGAGAAGAATAAATATAACGACTACCTTCCCCATCGAAGCAGCTGGGACGGGGACGAAGGCTACTATCGCGACATACTCGGTAGCCAAGGAGGCCCAGTTGGCAGTGGTGGATATGATTACAAGACGTATACCTATAAGTGATGACCCGAAACGAACCCAATCGTGGCCTTAGCATATTATGTTTCCTTTCTTCTTTCTTCCTTTACCGGTTCTGCCATGTTTTGAAATTTAAAGTGATTCCCATGATGCACTCCTTACTTTTTCTTATTTGGTTTGCTTTTGCGCCTAGCGAGTCATTTCTTGCAATGAGTTACGTGTTACGGCCATGTCTATTTAGTTCCATTGCATGTAACATATGATTAAACTGCGCTTTTCTTTGCACTGTGATGCTTTTGCTCAAGTCATGTTGAGTCTATAATATTTTTTCGGTAGGATTGCGCAACACAGCGTTCAAAACATTACTGCTCCAACCCTACTATGCCTTTCTTGCTTCGAAGTCACGCATGTATTTTGCTCCGGCATCCCGGCTATACAAAGCTTCCTTGGCTCTGAGTCTCTCTTCTCGCTCCCATAACTTCTGAATTCTCCTCTGGTCCTTCTCCTCCCGCTCAGTCCGTCTTCGCTCCCGTCTTCTTATCCTCTCCTGCTCCTCCTCAAGCTTCTCCTCTTCATCATCTGCCTCGTAGCGCAATCTCTCAACCTCCTCTTCCGTCAAACTCCATGGCACAGAAAGCACCTCAACAAGATATCGACTCCGCTGATCGAGAAAGCGCATTTCGGCGTTTGTGTCCTGGACCACGGAAACCCTTTCCAATTGAATCTGCATTGTACCTCGAAACATCGATAACGTCCCCTTCACTTGTACCACGACACCCGGGACCAAGGCCGTTGTATCCACGGTTGTCTTATTGGTCGCTGCGACGTGTCTAGTCGCGCGCGCAGACTGTAGATCCTCTCCTCTGCCGCTTCGGACGGGCTTGTCACCATCGTCTTCGGTAATCGGAGCTTTGAGGACAATGACATCGAGTGTCACGCCACTGCTGTCATCAACCGTGAGGATAGTTAGTGTGGGGTATTCTGTTCGGGCGACGATGATGCCGACTAGAGAGACGAAGCGGATGGGGTGATTCATGTAGAAGAACGTGGATTGGTCTAGGTTGGATGTTAGATGTCTTCTTCTATAGCTATTTATGCTACGCGGACTGTCGAGCAATGAATCCTTAATATAAAACATGGAAACTCAGCCACCATGAAAGACTAGGGCTGTACATGATGCTTATGCTTTCAATTCAAGCGGCGCCATTCATCCGGGATACAATTCAACAACCCCAATCAAAACAAAAACCACCTCCAATCCCCAAGAAATATTTCCATCAGATACATAAACGCACAAGTTCAAAGCAAAGCAACAGAACCGCGAAGGATCCACAGAATACTTCAACAAAAAAAAAAGATAAAATCATACCTTCAAATCCAGCCCTCCGTTTAAGTAGATGCACATCTACTGCTCCCATCTTTACCCAGGCGAAATGCGTCGGGGATGCTCGGAAGCAGAATGCCGGGTAAAAGACGAGTTCGCCATCGTCGACTGTCGCCATCGGATCATTTTCTCGGCTGTAGATGTTGGACGATGATCAGGTTCTGGGGGTTTTGTTTCATTGTTTCTGGTAAGCACTGATCAATGTTATCGGATGGTCACGTGTGTTTTATTTTCCGGGTTGGCTTTTGTTGGGGCCTTAGGCTGCAGTATGATGTCAGATTTCAGAGTGACTCGTTACTATTCTGTATGTGAGCTTCTTGTGGAGAACTGGGAGGTTTCGTTCTTGTTGGATGATTTGTTGCTTTGTTTTGCTGAGAATAGCTTTATTCAAATGAAAGCAAATCTGAAGTTATGTAGTTTTGTATGTTGGAAAATCATATGTAAGAAAGATATATATCTGTAGTAGTAGTAATAGCTCATTATTATTAAGTTATAGTTGAAAGTATTGACCATCATTGGACTTTGTTTCTATGTCGAAGGAGATTTCTTCTTCTTCTTCTTCTTCTCTCCTTCCTGGATGAAGAATACTTAAGCTACTGCTTTCCAGTTGCGAATACTATCGACCTTCATCCAAGAGGAGACTCATTCCAGTCGCAGGCTTCCAAAGTATAGTGGAACATAGATATGAAAGCGAACAAAGTGAATGATGATAAATCATGATATAATTAACTAGTCCAAGGGAGGGAGGTAAACTCAAGCTTATGTTAGTTTGGCAATAAAAGTTGGGCAATGTCTTTGGTGATCCAGAGCTAGAGCATTGCAATGCACTAACATATCCAAGAAAGCGCTTACAACAATCCATAACTAGTAATACTTTACAAATTCCTAAAAACGCACTACACTGGACAAGCCAAATGGGAGATGAAGGATCATGTGGTCCCACATTTAATCCCCCATACGACGCGGGGTTAAAAACTTCTATTGGTTTCCCACCGTTTTCATATCTACTGAACACAACAAACCTCAGTGAGCAATTTCCTGATAGAGATCGACTATACCTAACCCAATACAATGCATCCAACTAAAACGATCTGTATCGTTGGTGTTACCGGGAATCAGGGTGGTTCTGTTGCTCAGCGATTTCTCCAAGACCCCACTTATCATGTCCGGGGCTTAACGCGCGACCCATCTTCTAGCAAAGCCCAGGAACTCGCTACGCAGGGAATAGAGATTGTCCAGGCTAACCTCGATGATATGTCTAGCCTAAAGTCAGCTTTTGCAGGTGCCAGCATTATCTTCAGTGTCACCAATTACTGGGAGCCATTCTTCCGAGCAGACTGCCGACAGAAGGCTGCCGAACTGGGCATATCTTGCCGCAAGTACGCCTACGATGTTGAATACCAACAGGGCCAGAATATTGCCGATGCGGCAGCAGCAACTGCCGAAACATTAGATGAAAATGGGTTCATTGCGTCGACGTTGAGCCACGCTGGGAGGTGTAGCGAGGGGAAGTTCGACGAGCTGTACCATTTTGATGCGAAAGCAGACGTCTTTCCAAGTTACGTGCAAAGTAATCACCCAGAACTGGCTCGGAAGATGTCCTGTGTGCAGACGGGATATTTCATGTCGAGCTACAAGCTGGTTCCGGATGCTTACTTCGGGCGAGCTGATGATGGCTCTTTTGAGATGACGTTTCCTACTGCTCCAGACACACCGGTACCTCATTTTAATGTCAATGCGGATATGGGGCATTTTGTGCATGCAGTGGCTAAGATGCCGCCTGGGAAGAGTTACATGGCTGAAGGCACGACGTGCAGCTGGACGGAGTATATGAGATTGTGGAGTCGGGTGAACTCAGTGCCAGCGTCCTACCGGCGGATCTCGTTAGAAGAATTAATAGATCGAACCCCCGATGCAGAATTTGGTCGGGAAGTGGGGGACATGTTCGCATATTCGACCGAGCCGGGGTACGATGGTGGGGAAAGGGAGCTACTACATGCCGCAGATATTCGAAAAGTAAGTGCCACCATGTTTCTTCCTAAGACCTCGAGCTCTTGTATGTAAATGGGTGCTTATTGTTGAATGTTGTTAGGCTGGAATAGACTGCCCAATGACGAGTCTGGAGCAATGGATGAAAAAAGAGGATTGGTCAAGCGTTTTCCAAAAGGCATAGGCAGAATATCAACAAGATAGGAACATCCGAGTATTCGGCCCTGACTGTCCCGAAAGAATCCATATTTACCGTATCCACATCGTCGGATTTCCTTGTCTGTTCCCCACAGATGCGCGGGGTAACAAGTTGATTAGTGGCTTTATATTCATCCATAAAGGGGTGGCCCTTTTTAGCCTGAATCCAAATGCCGGTATGCGTCAAGCGGTTAATGTTATGGGTTTCGATATCTAATGATCGGCAGTAGCCTCCCCATACCCCATTTCCCCCACAATGTATACCTGGTATAAGAAGCCGTTCCCAGATCATGTTAGACATGCTTCTGTGTATCCACAATGGACCAGTAAACACGTTTCGAGCATCATGTGGTTCCCCGGACTCGCTGTTTTGTCCTTTCTAGCATTGGCGACTTCCGCCCTTTGCTATCCAACTAGAGTTTCGCCATACACGAACCCAATCCTGCCTGGATGGCACTCTGATCCGTCATGTACCTATGTCAAAGAAGAAGATACCATCTTCTGCGTGACCTCGACATTCATCGCATTCCCTGGACTCCCAATCTATGCAACAAAAGATCTCCAAAACTGGAAACAAGTTAGCAACGTCTTCAACAGACCCAGCCAAATCCCATCCCTTAGCGACACCACAAACCAACAAGGAGGAATCTACGCACCGACACTCCGCTACCACGACGGAACCTTCTACGTGATAGTCTCCTTCCTCGGCCCAGAGGTCAAAGGCCTCGTATTCACCTCATCCGACCCATACAGCGACGCCGCATGGAGCGAACCACTAGAATTCTCCGTCCGGGGCATCGACCCCGACATCTTCTGGGACGACGACGGCACCGTATACGTTACCTCAGCCGACGACGCCCGAATCCAACATTACTCCCTCGACCTCCAAACCGGAGAAACAGGTCCCGTAACCTACCTCTGGAATGGAACAGGTGGCGCCTCACCCGAAGGGCCCCATCTATACCGCAAAGACGACTTCTATTACCTGATGATCGCCGAAGGCGGCACCGAGCTCAACCACGCAGAGACAATGGTCCGGTCCAAGAACCGCACCGGACCCTGGGAACTATGTCCCCATAACCCAATCCTAACGAATAGGAACACGACCCAGTACTTCCAAACAGTCGGCCACGCGGACCTGTTCCAAGACGGGCCCGGAAACTGGTGGGCCGTGGCCCTCAGCACCCGGTCCGGACCTGAATGGAAGAACTACCCCATGGGCCGTGAGACGGTTCTGGCCCCGGCCACCTGGGACGAAGGAGAATGGCCCGTTGTCCAGCCAGTTCGGGGCCAGATGCAAGGACCCTTGCCTCAAGAACATAAAGAAGCCATAAAAGGAGATGGGAGCTTTGTCAATGAGCCAGATCATGTTACTTTTGCACCGGGCGATTCTATCCCATCTCACTTCTTGTATTGGCGGTATCCGAAGACTTCGGATTTCGTTGTATCGCCACAGGATCACCCGAATACCCTCCGTTTGACACCTTCCCCCTACAATATCACTGGAAATACATCCTTCACTCCAGACCAGGGTATAACTCTCTTAACCCGTCGCCAAACAGATACCCTATTCACCTACAGCGTGGACATCGCATTCGACCCCCAGAGTCCTGATGAAGAAGCCGGTGTCACCGTCTTTCTCACACAGGAACAGCACATCGACCTGGGCCTCGTTTTATTGGCATCGCAAAACGGAACATCCTCTCCGGCATTCCGACTCCGGGTCGAAGGCCATGGAAACTACGAGGGTTCACTTCCGGGAAAGATCGTCCCTGTCCCAGAGGGGTGGAGGGGGGAGCCGATCCGGGTCCAGATTCAGGCTGTGAGTGATACTCAGTATGAATTTTCGGTTGCGTCGGCCAAGACGCCGGCACAGAGGGCGGTCGTTGGGTATGCGGATTCGACGATTGTTAGTGGTGATACCGGAAGGTTTACTGGTGAGTTCCCTTCTTTCTTTCTTTCCTTTTCTCGTTTACTTGGAAATGATGGGCTGACGGGATCAGGTACGCTTGTTGGAGTTTATGCCACGAGTAATGGTGGATCAGGAACTACGGATGCGTATATCAGTAACTGGAGATATGAGGGACAAGGGCAGAAGATTAATTGAGATTAGTCTCATTTGTCTCTTCCAGACTCTGATATATACTTTTCAGAACGGATAATACATACATCATGTCTACATGGAGTCAATAACCCACCCTATACAATACATCTTCATACGATACTTATAATCCCCCCTGATTCCCGGCCTCATAAGCCCCGAACCCATCCATTCCCATCCACCCTAGCCCATACAACGACCCAAGATCCCACTGATTATCGAACGAAATATCTGGATTCGAAAAAGGAAGTATATCCGGCAACAACTCCCCTCCACCCACACTCTGCGTCGCAGGACTCCTCCCGTCGCCTTGAATAGGAAGTAGTCTCCCATCTCCTCCCTGCTGCAGGTGTAGCTGCTGCTGCTCACCGCCAACAATATTGGTCCCCCTTACATCGCTATCAAGGACTTTGGATACGGACTCCTTACACTGCGAGATGCACATCGTTGCTAAATCCCAGCCTTCGTCGGCGGCGGTTTGGAGCTTCGTCCAGAGGTACTGAAGGCTTGTTTTGCAGGTTGAGATTGTGGTTTTGTCGGTTGATTCGATGGTGCAACGGAGGAGGATTATTACGGTTAAGATGAGGTGGTGGGCTGTATCTGGTTTGTGGGGTGTTGGTGTTAGGGTTGTGTGGGAGGGGCGGTTCATAGGAATGTGGAGGGGAGCGTGGGTGTGTACATACATGGAAGCCAGAATTCTTGTAATTGGGTTTTGGTGAGGGAGCAGACATAGTTTACGATCTCTTGGGCGGATTTGCGGAGTTGGGAGAGGTGGTAGCGGGTTGTTTGGAGACGGTCAATGTCTGCTGATAGGGTTGCTGCCTTTTTGTGTTCATTTTTAGCATTGTTTTTCGTGGAGGCTGTGCTGAGGAGAAAGGGGGTTACTAACATGCAGAGAGATTCGATTCAACAGTAATCGGACGGCAAGATAGCTTAGTTGTAGGCTGCTCGATCCGGATACTCTTGGGTTCTCGCCATTATCTCGGCGGAGGTAGTTCGGCAGACGATCTTCCCATTCGTCTAGGGCTATTTCGAGACGGCGGATCTGCTTCCAGGTCTCCTTTGGGTCGAGGTTCAGGTCGTAGACTAATGGTAGGACTTCTCCCAAGATTTCTGTGAGGGTGCAAAGGTGGATGAATGAGTTTGCAGCTTTGATGCGCGTGTCCGATTGGTTTAACTCTGTGATTATGTCCTCCAGCATAGGTATGGGCACGTCGTATCTAGATTTGGTTATGCTTGGACTGATGCCATGGGCAAAACTTGACCTGCGAGTTTCGTTAGAGGGAGACATCATTGGAGGAGATAGTAGCTCACTAACCAGCGATCATGGATGACGACTGCCCACCAGAGGCGAATGCGCAGCGACTTTTCGCTCCTGGGCCGTCTCCAATTAGTCGGGTCACGGTTTAGCCCTAGAGTCTGAGCTAGGGTAACCGCCCGGCCATTGTTGATGGTGTTCACGAGCATGGAATAGATAGGTCGCCCACCCATGTCCAACAACACCGAGTACATGGTTGATAATGCAGGGGCTAGAAAGTCCTGCTGCAAAGCCTCCACAGCCAGGTTCCATATAAAATATACGTCCGGCTTGGGAAATTGCCTGAGGACAGGCGAATGATGCCAGAGGATTAAGGACACGGAAAAGAAATAGCAGACTAGGACTGGTGACAGCTTGTCGCCGGCTTTATATAACTCCATGAACAGTTGTTCATCGAGGAGAGGGAACGCTGGATGGATCTCCTCGAAATACCTTACCAATGTTAGTGGCGTAGGGAAGAGCCAAAGGGGTAATTAGCGTACAATCTGACCAGTTCATCGGTATAAGGTTGAAGGACTTGCATGACTATCTCTTTCTGTCGCTTTCCAGGATTCGCTGCCATAGACAGGCCTTCTCTCCGCCGGGGAGCTCTAAGGTACACCATCGGAGTATCCGAGGACCCACTCTGTTCTCCAGTAGATAGCGAGCTGGATTTAGAAGACATGTATCGCTCCAAGATCTGAATGTCTTCGGAGATGACAGGACTGGCAAACATGGATAGTTCCACCTTAGATTGATCTTGGCCTGGTGAGCCATGATAGTTACGCCCGATGTGTTCTTGGACGACTTCTCCATCGGCTGGAGCCGGTGAAGGTCCTCTATCAATGGGAGTGAATGGTACAATTCGTGGTGTTTGGACACGTCGCTGGTCATGCTTTACTCTGTGGCGAGCACTAGATGATAATTTAGGACGACTGGATATTATGCAAGGGACTTCCTGCAGGCTGCATAGCACACAGGGCTGTTCTGGAGTTCCACCGGTACATCGACGCTTGAATCGGCGACAGCGATCACACGCGGGGACTTTGTGGGAGCGATATGGTCGTCGTTGTTTCTGCATAATATAGGTCGCTCTGACTGCCATTGAACTCTAATATCCATCCACGTAGCTTGTCGGAGAGTGTATGCGACATTGGGCACAATGTTGAGGGAGTATCCAGCGGAGATCCTTTGCGACGGCCTTCTCCGGCGGAAAAGATGTGGGGTAAAGATAAGATAATGGATACATACGCCATCAATGCCAAGAGAAATGCTGCAGATAAACTAATTCCTTCTCGGCACAGGGATAACTGCTGACCCTAAAAGCTTGGAAGAATGGAAAATTATTGTTGAGGCATGTGACTGCGTTTCACGCGAGGGGCCACGATAGCTGCGGTGTCCGGCAGGCATGTAATACTACATACTTAATAGTACGTATCTCTTATTCATTCCTGATCGGTTATATTGCATGTATGTATACTCGAGCTAGGACTGCAGGATCAGCCGAGCAAGTTGGCCTCCGTCATCCTTTTCTTTGGATTCCTTTGCGCTTCCTGCTGTCTGCGCCGCTCGTCGTCACTGATGTCATCTATGTTGGTCTCGACTGTGTCCAGAGCGGCCTTGACCTCCTCCTCGCGATTGCCATGTCCAGCCACCGCCACCTCCAGGATATCCTTCTCCAATCCATTGACAGCCTGCCAATCAATCCCGGCAGCTGTCAACATCTTACACCCCTCTGAGCCACCGACAAATGTCCCCGGCTCCTTAACTCCAAAATATACCTTCTGGATACCCTTGCGATCCCCCTGACGAGTCCGGATAATCCTCTGAACACAAGGTAGATTCCCCGACAGCCGCTTCCCGCATGGCTCCATGGTAACGTACATAACTAGCTTTCGGTCCGGTTCAGATGGTAATACTTCCCATACACGGTCTTCTGGCACGGAATGCACCGCAGCGTAATTGGAGAGACAGCACTGCTCTGCGTGTGTATTACCCGCTAATTCCATAGTGTAGCCAGTTGAGACGATCCGGTCGTCTTCAGTCTTGTAATCGCCTTCTTTGCGGGAGATGAGGATGGCGCCGACGCGAAAGTTGGTCGGACGGGGTGGGGATTTTTCGGCCAGAGAGAGACATTCTCGTAGATATTTGACGTGTGGAGATTGCATATTGTTCAATTCAGCCAAAAAAACAACCCTGACCAAAGGAATGAAACACAGATTTAAGCGATCAAACTTGAATATACATCAGAAGACCGAGGTTAAACAAATTTAAGTGCAAAACACTAAACGAAAATAGATTGAAGATCAATGACATCGAAGGCGGGGAGAGCTCCATTGGTCGATCTAACCCAATCGGGCAAGCAAAATGGTTTTCCCAATGGGCGCGTCCCAACGCGTCTGTCCGCAGTGAATCAATTGACTCCTGCTTTTCTGTTAGTGTTTTCTTCCATGTCTTTTGCTCTCACTCGTTCTCTACTCTTTCTGTCTTATTGAATCTTTGGAAGGTGGTGAGCTGTGATTATTATCTATTTTCTGTATTTCTTTTCACATTTCTTCCTGATCTTTCATTATGCCACACGAAGACGACATCCCCGATATCCCTGAAGAAGCTCCCCTGGAGACCGATCTCTATGAGACCTTGGGGGTTAAGGGGGATGCGACTGCAGATCAGATCAAATCCGCGTACAGGAAGCTAGCGCTGAAGCATCATCCCGGTGAGCAATGCCCTTTCACATGTACATCGCTGAGTGTACTATAAACTTTACACCGTGGGATAAGAAAGCTGTGAAAAAGAGACCCCTTCCTAACGAGACAATAGACAAGGCTCCAGAGGATCAAAAAGAAGAAGCAAACAAGAAGTTTCAGCAGATCGCCTTCGCCTATGCAATTCTGTCGGACGAACGTCGCCGCCGCCGATTCGACCTGACAGGTAGTACCGCCGAGGCAGTAGAAGAGGATGACGACTTCAATTGGGCAGACTTCTATCGGGAACAGTTCTCGAGTGCAATCGACGTAAAGGCGCTCGACAAATTCAAGCAGGAGTACCAGGGCTCGGAAGAGGAAGAGAGCGACCTGCTCGCGGCGTTTGAGAAATACCGAGGCGATATGGACAAGATTTATGAGTCAGTCATGCTGTGTAACGTGCTTGATGACGATGAACGCTTCCGCGCCATTATTGACAAGGCGATTGCCGATGGCAAGGTAGAGAAGTACAAGAAGTACTCCGAGGAGCCGGAAAGGAAGAGACAGCAGAGACTCAAGCGTGCGCAGAAGGAAGCTAAAGAAGCCGAGGAGGCTGCTAGAGAACTCGAGGAGAAGGAAGAAGTCAAGGGGGCCAAGGCGAAGAAGGGAAAGAAAAAGAAGACCTCCGCTATGGATGACAATGATCTCGTGGCTCTGATTCAGCAGCGACAGGCTTCCCGTGCCGAATCATTCTTCGATAAACTCGAGGAGAAATATGCCCCTGGCAAGAAACGAGCGGCGAAGTTTGAGGAACCTCCTGAAGAAGCTTTTGAAGCCACCGCAGCTCAACGCAGCTCGAAAAAGAAGAAGGCTACATAAGTCATGTGCATGGACAGGACTCCTTGGCTGTTTTTGCTCTGCCTTTTATTTTTTTGTATTTTTTTGTATGTTGATTCTGACCGTTGCTTTTCTGGAGCAGGAGTTCTGGGAGACCCTTTGGCGGATATTTCTTGGTCCTATTGCTTGTTTTTATTTTAGGGAACTATATCGTCATACAGCGAGATTCGAACGACCTGGACTTTTCATGTTACAAGACATATGTCATAAAGACAAGACTAATGACCTTTTTTTTTTGGCGGTTATTCTATTTCAAGGATATCTTAACATCATGATTAGCGCACCGTGAGCCCATTGTTCTATATGTAGATAGTAGAGGACAGTTTGTAGGAAGAGAATACGAGTCAGCACAGCCATCTCTTACCAAATGTTAGTATCTCGATTCTCTTGAAACGGCGATGATTGGCAATGGCGTGAATGTACCACTAGGCTACTAACAGCTGATGCCCGTGTAACGGCGTTCGTACCCATTAAAATCCTAATAATTCACTTGGGTCAAGCGTGCCACCGCCTCTCGTCTTTATGCACCTTGTGATAAACGCAAGGGATTGAAAGTGACACCAAATGGGGGAGTGATACTAATGACATCGCCAGCATAGAGTTCAGCCTGGATGTGGACTTTCTTTTTTTCTTTTTCTTTTAGTTATGTATTTTTTTTTTAGTTTCTTTCTTTTCTTTTGTTTCTCCCTTCTTCTCTCCCCTCAGAAGCTCAGATCAAATCTCTCTCTCTCTGTTGCCCCGCCATAAATGCCCGAGCTCTTGGTGAATGCCTCTTGAGTTTTCTAGGACCCTTTTTTTTTCCTACTTTTTTCTTTTCTTTTCTCTTTTCTGTTGATCCCCTTTTTGCAGTGAAACTCTCTCTCAAATATCCTTTTCTGCATCGACTCTCGGGTTGTTGATCATTGGGCAGTTTCTTTGATTCATTCTGTGGCCCGACGATCGTGAAAGTGGATTCATCGGGGACAAAGAAGAAGAAGACCCTCTGGACTCTGGACACTGGAGAGCTCCTGCCGTGGGTGCCAACTGAAAGAAGGGTCCCTTGCAGACAAAGTTGCGAGCTTAACAACGCCCAATAATAATTGATTATAACCCCTCTTACTCCCTGGACACCAATCGTCGTCGCTTCAAATCACCACCATCACAGTGGCGGCGTTCCTCCTCACCCACAATAAGCCCTCCCAAGGACCATTTGTGATTCAAGCCAAAACAAGTCTCCTCTTCTTGGCAGCGACCGGAGAGAAACTAGTGGAAGATCGCCTGTGATTGACATGGCTGCCTACACATGGAAGAGGAGTTGTTAAGTTTTTAAAACTACCGACTAAAGACGGTGGTGAGATTTGGATCGACTTGACATTTTCTTTCTTTCTTCGAACAACCCACGGTGTGGTTTTGTTGATCTTCTTCAACCCACCCCCCTTCCCTCCCCCAAATATTGGCACACTATACGGTTTATACTCAAACGACCAAACAGCGTCCGCCGCTGAAAGCGGAAGTGTGGACGCCCCCGTCCAGACCCGAGCTAAACCCGTCATTAGGCGGTCGATCTCCACATTCCGCAGCTGTTTGGCCAGCCTCTTGTTTCTGGTACGAGTCGGTTCTCCACAGCTTATCAACCGCCGCAGGCGGCGCCACCCACGATGCAGCACTACTACAGTAGGAAGCCCGCCGCAATGTCGCTGGAAACTGCTCTGGAAGAAGAGCGCCGTGAGCTTGTTCATGAATATGAAGGTCGCAACGGTGCCCGCTCGCGACGGAACCGCAGAACAACCCCCTCGGCCCCAGCGCGGAGCATGCTGGATATTGCTCCATCGCCTGGGGCCCTGCCTCCACGGCATGGGTCCATCGCCGGCATTGGCGTCGGCGTGACTCCCCCTTCCGCGCGACACAGCTGGCATGAACCTTTAGTTACAACTACGTCTAGCACTGCACCTCCTCCTGTCAAGAAAACTTCCACCCCACGACGCACGACATCGGCTGTGGCTCCGCCGCCAATTCCGCCGAAGAAATCTTCCGCTGATTCCGAGGACGCTCCCCGCAGATCCAGCGACCCGCTTTCGGTCACCAAGGATAGCAAACTCGATAATAATAAGCCCAGACCAAGTATCCGTTGGGACGATTCGGTCACAATGCCGCCTAGCGTCCTCTCTCAACGGCGTGCGAGTCAGGCACAGGAAAAACCGCCCACCAAGGCCCTGCAGGGCAGAAACGCCATGGCAGCGGTGATGTCCGGCCTGGATATACGGGTCGGGCTGCCGAGTTTTACCAGAGGGAGAAGCTCATCACGGAACAATTCAGCGCGCGGGACGTCGTTGGACTCGCGCTTGTCCCCGAAGAATCGCTGGCTCAGTCCGAGCTCTCGGAGCCCGGCATCCCCGTCGACCAAGCCGACAGCAGAAAAGCCGAAGCCGACTGAGACAGAGAGTAGTGGTAAACAGCAACCTGCTACACCCGCAGCTCGCCGCCAATCATCCGACGACAATGTGCGTTCGCCAACACCTGGAGATGAACGCTTGGAGAAAGACATGTACGACAGCGAAAACAACCTAATCGAGACCAGTGAAGAAGAACTCGATGATTCTACCTCGAGCGATGATGAGGCTAGTTCCGAGCGTGGGCGAAAGAAAACCCCAGACCGTGCCACTCCTATCGGGGACAATGAAACAAGCTCCTCAACAACTGATTCGAAAGAGCGTATGTGCCCCTCGTCTTTTTTTTTTTTTAACTTCCCCTCATTTATATCACTAACATAATTATAGAAGCTTCGGAGGATAACCCCGACGACAAATCTGAGAAATCGGAGTATAATCATTCGGCGAAACAGGGCCCGATCCCCAAGAAGCCTGAGGTTCACCCTCGGACAAGCTTCGACACTGCTTCGGCGGTAAATACTCCCTTTGGATCGGAAGATGAGGCGGAGTTGTCCGACATCAAACGGGCGCAGAAACTCGGAATTCAAATGTCGGCCATTGACAGTTCTGTGCACAATAGGTCTATCCGGACTATCATCCGCGGTGACTATACCGGCCTATCGGAACAAACGGAAAGTGGTCGTCGCCGACAACGCAAGTATCTGGTAACTACAGACCTCAGTGAAGAATCTGTTTACGCCCTGGAGTGGACGATCGGCACGATCCTTCGAGATGGTGACACGATGTTTGCCGTCTGTGCTATTCATGAAGAGACTGGTGCACCAACCTCCGTTCAGATTGGTGAGGGCGCCAAAGCCATGCAGGATGCTGCGGCCGTTGTGGGGTCGCAAACCGAAGAGACGGCACAGCAATCGCAGAACGATTCGTCCACCAATTTGTCTCGTGCGCTCTTAAGCCGACTTGGCTCGGGAACCGACAGCAAACCTGGCTCTGTCGATTCTCGGGGGATGTCCAAAGCGGAGTCCGAACGTGTTCATGCGGTTGAAGTTATCTCTCAAACGTGTGTCCGACTCCTCAGAAAGACACTGTTACAGGTACGGGTCGCCGTTGAGGTGATCCATTGCAAAAGCCCTAAACACATGATTACCGAAGCTGTACGTGGTACAACTCTAGCCCTTGTTCTGCTCTCGTAGCTTCAAGTAACTGACTTTGTGCTTTTGTTTTTTTCTAGATCGACGGGCTTGAGCCAACCCTTGTCATTGTCGGTGCTAGGGGCCGGAGCGCCCTGAAAGGGTAATTGTTCATAACCTACTCGAAAGTATCTACAACAGCTAATGACTTCCAGTGTACTTCTCGGGTCATTTTCCAATTATCTGGTCATGCACTCCTCGGTTCCGGTTATGGTCGCCCGGAAGAAGCTGAAGAAGCAATCCAAGACCAAGAAGACAAACATTCGTTTGTCGAATAATTTATCAACACCCAAGAAACTTGCGATGGCAAAGGTGGATTAGGTTGGCTGCACATTTCTTGCGTTTGCATTTCGGATAGCTCGACGGTTTCTAGTCATACGGCGCATGTCTTTTTTTTTTTTTTTTTTTGCTACACTTTCTCGATCATTTACCTTCAATTCTGAACCTGTATGATTATGAATTATTGTTGCCATGATGGACGAAGATGCCCGGTTTGCCTATCTTTCTTTTCATATCTCTTATCATTCGTCAAGGCTGCTCTTCTCTTTTCATCTTTTTTCTTGCCTTTTTTTTTGTTTTTTTTTTTAATGACGTCCGACACGCATATTGCCATGTGGATCAGTTTGATATGATAACCATCAGCGCACGGATATTCTCATGACACTTAAAGACCAAAATAAAACATAATGAGTTGGGACAAGTTCCCTCGACAATCAAAATTGTGTCTCTCAAGTTATGTATGTGTATGTCTGTAGACGATGTCATAGCTCGAGCTGGTATCACGTGCACGGGTCACCGCCCAACAACTGCGGAGACCAGCCATCATATCGGACTACGTACGATCTCACTTGGCCCCGACGTCAGGAGCTCCTCTTCCTTCACTCCCCACCCTCTCCTTCGTGGCCCCCTCCTGTATCCATTTCGGCAGCTGGTCAGGAACTCTGCAGCCATGGCGTCCGAATTCGTTGACCCCAGGATGACTTCTGTCAAGCCTCGTATTCGCTACAATACCATCGCAGGTATTAACGGACCACTGGTCATCCTAGATAATGTATGCCCCTCCACCATGTCTCTGATGGCGAGCTGAAGAAGCTTGCATGTCAATTATATATGCTCACAGCGACGTTGTCCTAGGTTAAATTCCCCCGATACAACGAGATTGTATCCTTGACTCTACCTGATGGTACCGAGCGGTCTGGTCAGGTCCTTGAAGCCAGAGGTATGTTGAGCTTATCTAGAAGAGCGTCATATAGGATTGATCAGACAAGCTAACTCAGATATCCGATAAATAGGAAACAGAGCCGTTGTTCAGGTGCGAAGTACTCTAGAACATAATTCTTTGATAGAAGTTACTTGCGGGCGGAGCATTAACGTGGTTTTCCGGTTAGGTGTTCGAAGGTACTCCGGGCATTGATGTCAAAAAGGTATACTACAACGCCAATAATCTCGTCGGGTGGTTGCACACCTTAATCGAGTCGTCATGCTGACTTTGTCTTAGACCAAGGTCGAGTTCAGCGGCCACAGCTTAAAGCTGGGTGTGTCGGAGGACATGCTGGGTCGTGTATTCGATGGTTCGGGTCGCGCCATTGATAAGGGTCCTAAGGTGTTGGCGGAGGATTATTTGGATATCAACGGTCAACCTATCAATCCTTACTCGAGAGTACGCACACGTTATGCCCCCCGTGGATTCGATGACGGTGCTATAAATTGCTAACGTGATGATGTAAAGGTGTACCCCGAAGAAATGATCTCCACCGGTATCTCTGCCATCGACACTATGAACTCCATTGCTCGTGGTCAGAAGATTCCCATTTTCTCCGCCTCCGGTCTTCCACACAACGAAATTGCTGCCCAGATTTGTCGCCAGGCTGGCTTAGTCGGCAAGCCGACTAAGGATGTCCACGACGGACATGAAGAGAACTTCTCGATCGTCTTCGCAGCTATGGGTGTTAACATGGAGACTAGTCGTTTCTTCACCCGTGATTTCGAGGAGAACGGCAGTATGGAGCGTGTCACGCTGTTCCTGAACTTGGCTAATGATCCAACGTACGTCCATTAACAAATACTCGGGGTCCTTCTGCGTTGACCATACATTCGATACTGACTGTTTGCTTCAGCATTGAACGTATCATTACTCCTCGACTTGCCCTGACAACCGCCGAATACTACGCTTATCAATTGGAGAAGCACGTCCTGGTTATCATGACTGATCTCTCGGCCTATTGTGATGCGCTTCGTGAAGTCTCCGCTGCTAGAGAAGAAGTGCCCGGTCGTCGTGGTTACCCCGGTTACATGTACACTGACTTGTCCACTATCTACGAGCGTGCCGGACGTGTAGAGGGTCGTAACGGATCTATCACTCAGATTCCTATTCTGACTATGCCTAACGATGGTTGGGTTTCCCCCTTCTATTAGACAGACAATTTGTTAACCTCGTGTTAGATATCACCCACCCTATTCCCGACTTGACAGGTTACATTACTGAGGGCCAGATCTTCATTGACCGTCAGCTGTACAACAAGGGTGTCTACCCTCCAATCAACGTCCTTCCATCTCTGTCGCGTCTGATGAAGTCTGCCATTGGTGAGGGTCGTACCCGTAAGGACCACTCTGATGTGTCCAACCAGCTGTACGCCAAATACGCTATTGGACGAGATGCCGGTTAGTTGCCCCTAACATGAGTCCGAACGAGCCATGCGGTACTAATTAAAACTACCACGACAGCCGCCATGAAGGCAGTCGTCGGTGAGGAGGCCCTGTCCTCCGAAGACAAGCTGTCCCTCGAATTCTTGGAGAAGTTCGAGAAAACCTTCATCAGCCAGTCGCCCTACGAATCGCGCAGTATCTACGACTCCCTAGACATCGCCTGGAACCTGCTCCGCATCTACCCCAAGGACCTCCTCAACCGTATCCCCAAGCGCGTCCTGGACGAATTCTACGCCCGCTCCTCCCGTAAGATCGCCAACAAGGACACAAGGGACAACAGCGTTCCCGAACAGACTCAGTCGTCGACTGGTGATCTCATTGAGACCTAGATTCGATCCGTATAAATGAACTGGGCTCCCGAAGATGAGAAGAAGGATGACGGCGGCGGGCGGTTTTCTTTTTATCCCGAGATATCTATTGTTCGTGTTTGCTTTATCATTGCATGTTAAGCTATTCTTCTGTCTTTGTCCGCTACGAACTTTGCATATACTCTTCGTCGTAGTTGTATATCATATAGATCATATTGGTCATTTCTATGTTCATCCTCTCGATGAGACTGGATACGTATGTGCGGAATGATCTACTGTTACCGGTATGATGGAATGGGATCATAAGGAATGGGAAAAGAAAAAAAGAAAAAGATACTGAGTCTAGACAACCTGCATGCTGGATATCCAAAACAGATCTTAAATACAAAGAACCAGGAACGACGTCATAATAAACGTGCAATGTAAGGAAACTTTTTTCTTTGTTTTATCATCGCTCATCAGCGAACGTCTATCGAATCAATCAACCGTAGGGCTACGCGAAGCCTGGATATCTAAACTAGATCAAACCAATAGGTACTTAAGTTTTGCGTTTAGAACGCAGTCGTAGTAAGGTTTTTTTTAAAAACGCAGATCCCAACCGATTTTAGGACCTAGGCGGGGAAGTTCATCGGCAACGCTCTGGACATCCTTGTCACCTCTGCCGCTGAGGTTGAGGACGATGTTTTCGCCCTTCTTCATGGTCTTGGCGAGTTCCATGGCGCCGTGGATGGCGTGAGAGGATTCCAGGGCAGGGATGATACCCTCGCATTGGGCGAGGGCGCGGAAACCGGCGAGGGCTTGGGCATCGGTGGCGGCGATGAACTGGGCACGGTCGCTGTCCTTCCAGTTGCTCAGTTCCGGGCCGACACCGGGATAGTCGAGACCGGCGGAGATGGAGTGGGTCTCGGAGATTTGGCCGTGCTCGTCTTGCAGAACGTAGGTGCGGACACCGTGCAACACGCCCTTACTACCACCAGAGAGGGTGGCAGAGTGTCTGTCAGTGTCGACGCCGTCACCTCCGGCTTCAACACCCAGAAGTTTGACGCTGGTGTCCTTAGAGAAGGGGTAGAACATGCCGACGGCGTTGCTGCCACCACCGACACAGGCGACGACTGCGTCGGGCAGCTTGCCGATTTGCTCCATCATTTGCTGCTTAGTCTCGTCACCAATGACAGACTGGAAGGTACGCACAATGGTAGGGTACGGGTGAGGACCAATTGCAGAGCCGATGATGTAGTGAGTGGTGTCCAGATCAACAACCCAGGCACGGAGGGCCTCGTTGACAGCATCACGCAGGGTACGGCTTCCAGCATCAACGGCCACCACGGAGGCACCGAGGAGCTTCATGCGGAAAACGTTCAGGGCTTGACGGCGAACATCTTCTGCACCCATATAGACAACACACTCCATGCCAAACTTAGCACAGACAGTCGCAGTAGCAACACCGTGCTGACCAGCACCCGTTTCAGCAATGATTCTTGTCTTGCCCAGTCTCCGGGCAAGGAGAATCTGGCCTAGTGCGTTGTTGATCTTGTGACTCCCGGTGTGGTTGAGATCCTCACGCTTCAACCAGATGTTTGCGCCTCCAACCTGCTCTGTAAGACGATTGGCAAGGTGAAGGCTGCTAGGTCTGCCCATGTATGGGTAGTAAGAACGGTATTCCTCCCAGAACTTGGGGTCGTTCAAAGCCTCTGCGAATCCCCGCTCCAATTCGGCCAAGCAGTCCATGAGGGATTCAGGAACATACTGTCCACCGAACTCACCGAAACGCTGTGGTTGTGCAGAAGGATTTCCGCCATTGAGAGCTTCAAGCTGGTCGGCCAATCCCGGCCCCGAAGGCGCATCGACATCAGTGACAACGGCTGTGGGCTGTGAAACGGCCGGCTGCTCCTTCTTCTCCACGAAATCAATCACATTGACCTGGCGTATAATTGCACCCTGCGCATCCCTCTCGAGCTTGCGACCGGTGACACTGGAGAGATACTCCTCGGCGTGCTTAGCCGCCTGACCAGCAGGGGCTTGGCCCAAGACAGTGATGATCTGGCTACCAATAACACATCCCTCAGCTAGATCCTGCACAGTCAAAAAGTGCTCACGAGTGCTGACACCGAATCCTAGGGCAGCAGGCACATTGCCAGACCAGTTGTGGACACGAGACAAGAGCTCGGGAAGGTTTGCACTGAGCTTTCCGGTGGCACCGGTAACACCCATTCTCGATACGACGTAGATGAAAGAATCGGCGATCTTGCACAGGAGCTTCATGCGGGACTCTGAGGTTGCGGGGGCAATGAGGGGGACGAAAGAAAGTCTGTATAGCATGTCAACAAATTGCCATTTGAACGAGCAAATGAAGGATATCATGCGAAGACGTTCACTTACCCATTGCTAGTGCAGTGTTCTCTGAAACGCACAGCTTCCTCGGGGGGCAAATCGACCATAATGAAACCATTGACACCGGCCTCTCTGCAGTCCTTGAGCATACGCTCCTCACCATAACGCATCATAGGGTTGTAGTAGCCCATCAAAAGGATCGGTACTTTGAGACCTCTGCGGCGGGCCTCCCTGACCTTCTCAAGGACAGTGGTGACTGTGACGCCGTTCTCCAATGCTTTGGTGTTAGCCTTCTGGATTGTTGGTCCGTCGGCGATGGGGTCAGTGAAGGGCACTCCCATTTCGATAATATCTGCATAAATCGCCCCATTGCGTCAGTGAACTGCATTCCAAAACGGGACCGATAAGTGGTGGGGTATGAGGGAGCCGTCACGTACCGGCGCCTCCATTTTCCAAGCCAAGGAGGATATCCACAGTCTCCTCGACGGTAGGATATCCAGCAGTGATGTACGCTACCAAGGCAGCGCGCTTCTCCTGCTTAGCCTTGGCAAAAGTCTTCTTGATGTCTTCCATAGTGTTGGTGGTGAATGAGGGGAGGGGTCCAGGGACCAGAAATGCGGTGGACTCTTCCGAAAGGACAATGAGATTGAGAATGCAGTGTATCCCCGGGGTGTCAATTAGGTCAGATAATGGGTGGAATATGAGGGGGTAAATGGAGAAGGACGAAATGTAGTCCCGATCAAAGTCACACTGCGTTTTGAGTCATGGCTCATCTTGTCTCTGCATTCAAATTGCCATCGCCGATGTCCCGCCGAGTCAGGTGATGTGGCGATAAGATAAGCTCGGTCAGGAATTCTCTTCTCGTACGGTATGCACGGTAAGCATGTATCGATTGTACGGTACCATGGGAATTACGGCATAGGGTACGTACGGGATTAGGGCTTGAAGGAATCACCAAGTAGAAAGAATAATCAGCTATTATTAAGGCGGAATCTTGTTGCTATACTATAAAACCAATCTCAAGTCAATCAATAACACAGATGTGGTTGAATGGAATCGATAAAGCAAAAAAAAATAGAAAAAAAAAAAAAAAAATCAAGATAGCGGTGTTCACAGACGCCAAAGCTATGCATATATAGTGGAATCTCGCCCGGTCGAGGTCGACCCAAATAAGTAAAAGAACACAAAGTCCGCCTGAAGTCTCAAATGTGCTCAAGGCACAAGTAAGCCACAGCGCAGCAGAAATTCAAACAAAAGACACTGCACACTTTTCCTTCGCCATCCAACCCACAATCCCAAATACCCAGACCTGCGAAATCAAAAGGAACGACAGCAGCGCCATGCTATGCCAAAATAATTGTACAACTTCCGGAAAGGAGTGAAATCCCAATGCCCATATATAATGCAAATGCTGGAGGGAACGGACAACAGATCGTCTAAAATGCGTCATGTCAACAGGCTTTAAATGACGAAAAGATGGGGCATTAAGACATGAAGAATAATGGAAAGGAGAGACATCGGATCATACGAATGACCATCAAACAAAAAACGCTGAAGTCAACTTGAAATGATCCCAGCACGTAAGACATGATTATTGACCCAGCGCCGTGGCTTTAAAAAAGGAGTGACGATGATGGATATCAGAAAGGGTAAACTCGAAGACACAAAACCGAAAACGCCGTGCAATGCGATTGGAAAAGAGGTAAAATATTATAAACGTCCCAGCTTAATGAGACGAGTCTTGAACGGAGTATGACATCGGAGTCAGGTAGTTGTAGGTGGGGCCTCCATTTGTCCCAGGAGCGTTGACAAGAGGGTTGATTTCCCAAGTTCTGCTAACAGGCGCAGTGAGACCAAGTTGACCCTGTTGTTGGCAGACCGCTGGATAAGAGTAGGGGCCAGCTATAGGATGATAGGGTTGGCTAACAGCAGGTAGCACAGCTCGTAGCTCATGAGTGCCGGTCATTCCATGACCGGGGTGATGTGCTGGAGGGGAATAGGCTGCGGTTGCCACATGGGCACCATAGGTGGTTGATGGACCAGTGTCCGAGACAGATTGTGGGGATGCCGCGTTCGGCGGTTCAGTACCGGAGTCCGATGCGGCGCCGTTACTTGTATAAGTTGAGCTAATGGGTGTGGGAAGTGCCCCGGCTGTCGAAGAGTAGCTTGCTGACTGTGACCCATGTACGTCAGCATTTGCGTCAAAGCTCTGCAGCATAAAGAATCCACCACTTACATATTTACCAATGATCTTCTTCAGTGCATGGCCAAGTATCCGCCAGGGGAATACTTTGACATCCTTCTCAATATTGCGCGGCTTCGGGGCGGGGAAGCCCATGATTACCTTGAAGAATTCCTCACTATCGGCTTTTGCTTTCGAAACAGTAAGTGGCCTGAAGCCTTCCAGATTCCTGCGAATACGATTCTTCTCTTCCACGGTGAACCTGACACCAACTAGCGACTCAAGGAGGTAGATGGTATCAACACTGGTTATGAAGCACTCATCTTTACCATCCCAGTAGATGCAACTAATGCAGATACTGTTGGGAGCACGGTCTTCAGGAGCAACTGGATTAAAATCCGCATGGATAGTGCTTCCACTTTGCATACGAGTGAATTGAACCAAGCGACGCTTGGCCTGGCGCTCCTCTTTAGTCCAGCTTTCCGTCATTGAGTCCAAGCTGCCATTGAGCTTCAAAACAGCCTTCGAGGGATACATGGCATATGGGTTGAACGACTGGGTATGGTGGCCAAGGCTGCTTGACTGCTGCAGTGTAGAGGTGCGAATAAGCGTTGGGTTAGAGAGCCGCGCGGGGGAAGTTGGTTTTTGCTGGCGGAGGCCGTGGGCATAAGTGAACCCAGGAGCTCTGGTATCTCCGTGAACAGTCACGTATGAAGGATTCCATGAAGGAGCGAGGGGCGAGGGTGCTCGGATGTTGGACTGTGACGTTGCCGTTACAGTCGAGTACTGTGCTGTAGCAACTCGGGGTGACGAGGTTGGGTGATATGGAGCGACGAAGCCATTCATCGCAGGCAAAGATTGCAAATAAGGTGAATAAGAGTAGGCTGGTGGCTGTTCCTTGCCCGGGATTGGCGGCCCAGTCGTCCTCTTGCCTGAAATAGGCTCATCCGAGTATGGCGCGATCCTCCTCTTTCGGGACTCGTCCGACGGCGAGGGGTGGGATGCGTTTTCGTATGTATACACACCTACTTGCAGGGTAGTAGAAGGACACTCGTTTTGGGCATTCATCGCCACTTGCAAGGGCACAGCGAAAGACGGCGAACCCGTTGAGATGAATGGAGGGGTATCCACCGAGAGGGCATACTGAAACAATGACCCCTGGAATCCCAGGAAGTGTGGTACACACTCGCACTTCTTCGAACCAAAAACCAGGTAAAGAGTTGCATAAGATGAAGTGTGAAGGTCATATGGGGACTGGATTTGCACAAACACCCGAGTCCCTTCCGTTCCTCTTTGAGGAGAATAAGAGATAACCTCCGGTAGTTGGCGGGATTCGCCACCTAGCATGGGTGACCGGCTGTCTTCATAAGAGCTGGCGTATTCTTGATTACCCATGTATGGGACACAGTCCGATATTTGACTCGCCTGATCGGCCATGGGGGAGGGCATCATTGGCGTGCTCGTCACATATGGGGCCTGACCGAAACTGGAATAGGAGGCACCATCTTGTACGGACCGAGCAGATTCGTAATCTAGATATATAGTCAGCAATTTGACTCAAACAAGGAAGGGCGCCACTATGTTTCTCCCCGTGAAGCACCAGAGTACCAGTTTCGACCAAACTTACCGAGCAAGGCCGCCTGTGGAGGCTTCTGAAGAGTAGACATAGACAGGATGGGTTCAGACTTGGCCAACAGGCCGTCTGATAGCGAACCGATAAACCGTGACTCTTCAGTGTCTGATAAATCTAAGGATTCGTCTAGAATCAACGGCGTTTGAAAATCAGGATCGAACTGTGAAGTGAGGATGTTAACAGGCGTCCAGTATTGTCGAGACAACAAGACAATTTGGAAGTCTCTAGCGAGGCAGAAATTCAACCAAGCTTCTTAAACAGAACAGGAAAAAGCAAGGCAAGATGGTTGGAACAGGTACAATTGGGCAGCAAAAGGAGAGGCAGGTTGAAGCATGTCGACGTACCAAAACACCGTGTGCCTTCGAGTAAGCCAGCTTGAAGGTGTTGCAGAAACTGCAACGAAACACAACCGCTTAGAAGCGAATGACAGCGAATTTAACTGGGGAAACGATAGGACGGCGGAGAGTCTTGAATTGCTCTCCGAGACAAAACGAGTGACGACACGAAGCGGCTGTCAGGCTCAACAAGGAAGACACAACAACGGGCTTCGAATCAACGACCAGCATCCAACGACGGAGAGTGAGACCCGAAAGGATGGCTGCAGGACGAGAGCTAGAGATAAGCCACGCTAACAAATACTGCTTGAAAAGCCACCTATAGGGAGCCAGTGTGCATCTGCGAAGGACGTATGATAATTCCAAGTACGAGACAGTGATTGGATTCCGCAGACCAATCTCAACGAGCGAGTGGTATCAAGTCGATGCAGATAGAGACAGGAGAGGTTTCACTCTTCGTCACAATTCCAGAGCCGACTAGATCCAGGTGAACTGAAAGACAGTTGGGGGCCACGAACTACCCAGTTAATGAGTATGAACCTTCTAAAGGTCAAAGGAATCGGCTTGCTGCATAAGCTAGTAGGACTGACCAAGAGTAATAAAGGATTCAAAACCGTAGGAGAGGCTAGCTGAAAGCTATTATGCAAAGTTCACCGTCCCCAAATATCTGACGAAATAGCCTACGCCATAAGAATGTCAATAACAAACATCCGGGACTAGGGGAGCAAAACCAGTCGGGGAAATGACAAGCACCTGGTAAAGTCCATCATGGGCCCTAATTTTCCTCGGGGCCCGTGTGCCCCAAGGGCACGACCTGGGAGAAGCAAGGAGCCCAAAAGGAAGGGGATGGATGCAAGGCACCATGGCATCAGTGGCAAAGGGGATAATTAAACTAACCTTAAGAGATTACACCCTGTAGCGAATTTGAAGCCCTTTAGATTCTCCAGGAGCTCACTTGAGAACTTTGCTGGGAGTTTCGTAATCAAATGGTGCCCTTAGCCGAGACAATGATTCACGATGCTGTAGGCCCAGATCGAAATGGTACAAATATTGGTAGATGACCGTTTAGAGGCCCACCCTCTCAACGAATCGAGACCAGGCAAAAGCCTGAATAAAAAAGTAAATGACGGAGGGGAGTCATGGACTGGGGACACAACTTGACGATCTTGATGTCCCTCCCGCAGTACAAACGAGTTTGCGGGTCCTTCCTCTATAGCTTGTAAGCCTTTCTGAGACCCGACAAACGGCAATTGAATAGTGCGCACAGAGTAAGTAAAAATATTTGTCAATCAATCAAAAGTTAATCCTCCTAGACAGGCACCTTTCTTTCTTGTCGAAATGAGATGCCAAGGATGAATAAGTCGTCGGGTTTGCACGGAATCGAGGTCCAGGCAGAAGTAGGCAAAACGAAAGTCGTCGAGCGAAGAGCGAGTGCGATATCCCGTGATGACCAAATAGTATATAGAAGTGCAATTAAAACCGTCAACGCATCCGCTTTCTTCTTTCCCTTTTCCTGTAACCTGATCTTATTTTCCTTTTTTCTTCGAGTCCGCTTCCACTGTTTCTGCTAAGACCTTCTCGTATTTTCTTTTTTTTTTCTTTCCCTTTTTTTAAATTGTTATGCTTCTTCGTCAACAACGTAGCGAACGATTATATAGTGTCGAAACAAACACAAAGCGAGTGTGATGGCGAACGTGCGATGAGCGAGTGTAAAAAACGAAAGTAAGAGAAGTAGTAGTCGAATCCGTTCAAGGTGCCATAACAGGAAACCAAGAGGGGGAGGGGAAAAGGGTAAGTAATAATAAAACGAGGAAGAGGAGGTGAGAAGTTAAAAGGGTTTAAAAAAAGAAAAGGCCAAACCAGACAAGGGACAAGTACGAGGTGACGAGAGATATATTATTTTTTTCCCTTTTAGCACTAAGGCCGAGGGATGGGGTGGTTAAGGGCACTGGAAAAGGATGCTGGTCCTTAGTCTTAGTGTGGCGGGGATGCAAAGTAAGAGGGAACAAGTAAAGAATCGAGGGTGGTTATAGGCTGGTAAAAGGCAGCAGTAAGATAGAGTAAGTAATACTGGGGCTTGAATGAGGTTGGTAAAAGTCAAGTAAATAGTAGAAGATTTGACACCCAGGGTTCTCTTGATGTAAAATAGGATTTTTTTTAAAAAAAAAAAAAATTGACGGTGATTTATGATTCTGATTATTATAATACCCTTCGAGATTTTTTCTTTTAACTTACCTCCATATTCTAACTTATATAGAAAAGATATTTTTTATTTCATTCTAATTTTCCTTCGTGGCTCTTGCTTCATAATTTGTTTTATTCTTTTTTTTTATTTTTTTTTTTTTAGGTCACTTACTATCTTAACTTGTAATCGTGTTGAAAGATGGGTTGTTATAATTATCAGTACTATTAATGTTATGATTTTAATATTCCTTTTTTTAAGAACAAAAATAAAAATAAATAAATGAATTCTGCTTAGTGATCGAGTGTTATTGATTCTAATAATTATTATTACCATTGCTAAGCCAGATATCCATAGGTATTTCCGTATAGTAACGGAGGATGTATTTATGGAGCATGACCTCCGGCGGAGCCCATTACTGGTTTAGTTAGGGATTCTGGTCGGGTTGAAGGATAGTAATTGCTGGGTTTTTGCTCCAGTCGAAGATTCCTGGTTTCCTTCCTCCACACCACATCTGAACCGTTACCAGTCCGTCCATGGAGAGCGTGAGAATGGGCGGTCTCCATAATATTCTTCGACGAAGTTTCCGCGGTGTCCGCTTTCCTTCGGAGATCCACAGAAGGCAAAAAGAAAAAAGTGACCTCATGGCATCCCTTTTCTTTTCTTATTTTCTTTTTATTTTGAGGGTATTTTCTATTTTTTTAAGATTTTCTTTTCGGTTGTATTCACTTATCCTTCTGTTTTTTCGCGATACTGTCTTTTAACCGCCCGTCCTCAAATTTGTGGTTCGGGGATAACTAAGCTACTAGTCTGGATAGATTCCATCAGGACGGAAGATAGCGTGTTCTGGTAGTTCTCGGAAGAGGTGGGGAAAACATACCGGCGAAAAAGAAGAAAGAGGGAGAAAGAGAAGAAAAAAAGAAAAAACAAAAAAAAAAAGGAAAAACAGAGAAGGAAAAAAAGAGTGTGGAGGGGGTGTTCTTGCTGAAGGTAGGTTAGCTTAGGTCTAAAATAATAACAAATGCAAATATGATTCGAAGGAAAACCCTCAATACCCAATCCAAATGCAGAAGCCTACTAGCAAGGGTGCTAGCAAAGAATAGCAGCAGACACCGTTCGGGCGGTCCACGCCGCCTTGAGCCTGTGGATCCACCCAGAGGGTGGAAAGGCATGGGATCAGTCAGGGCTGCAGAAGGGGATGTGGATGGAAAAGGAAGGGTCATGGGAGAGAGGGAACTTTGGGACTCCGTACACAGAAGGACTTCGATTCAGCAATGCCTACGGGCCTGTTATGATACTTCCCATGACCGGTGGCTTTCGTTTATTTACGCCTTTTATGTACGTTGTCAGAAGATAAGATGATGAGTCCAAGTTATTTAGCAGAAGGATAGTAATGTTTCTTTCTTTCTTTCTTTTTACTTCCTTTTCTCTTTCATACTCTTTCTCTCGCTCTCTTTATTTTATTCAATTTTTAGCTTTCTGTGTTTTTCCCTAAAAATTCTCTGATGTGCTTTTTTTTGGCTCCCTCTTTTTTCGCCTTGTTAGCTAATCAGAAAATGTGAAATGACCTCATTCGACAAAGGAACCTTGGTACTTGACGGGAGCTACTGTGGTTATAGTGGCAGCATCAGATTTGCACCGCCTCTTTTCTGTCTCTTTCCTCTAGCTCTTTAACCCCTACCCTTCCATTCAGATTCTTTGCTTCTTTCTGCACCATGTATGGAGTAAGTTAGGTGCCTCGGTATACATCATTCACAAAGACCCACTCGGCGTACCCGTCCAATCAGACATAGTATGATCGAACCTAGTAGTAGTCACCCTGGCAGACACCGAGATGTGATAACAAGTACATGTAGAAGAAGCACAGAATATAGAACGGGAAGTGCCTCGCATTCCCACGTCCTACGCCCTATAGATCATTAAGCAACGTACCTCGGTAGAAATGGTAGTGGGCAGTCTCAAGGTGAAACGGGTAGCAGAATCGATATGTAAACAGAAAATAAAAATAAAATACAAACCGAACAGTAGGGAACGATGCCCTAACCCATCACAACATATTATTAGTTCTTTGGAGAAAGGCTTTTACCCCACTGCACCCCTTTCTACATCGGGCAACCCTATCTTCTGTCCCCCAGGTGCCAACTTGGAATCTCGAAACCTACTTCCTATTGGAAGTTTCTTAATTTGGAGCCCGGGGCAGAAGATTCGAAAGGTAGTTAATCCGACATTTCGCCCTTATCCCAGTCTTTTCCCCCTTGGGAATGCCCCGTCCCGATTTTGAGAAGTAACTCCATATTTCTCAGCCTATCTCCCGAGGACATGCCGTATACCGTCGATGACCGACTCCCGGTGGAGGTGGAAAAACAGAGAAAAAAAAAAAAGAGGGAAGCCTACGGACCTCTGGGGTGTATGGCTTTGTTCTGACAAATTAAATTGTACAGTACCCATCGTTGAATGGAGCCACTGAGAAGCCTAACAGCCGGGAGAACTTTTTTCGAACGGTGACTAAGGGCTACCATCAAAGCAGCCGTCCCGGTTTTCCGCCTTTTGGGTTTTCCGCCTTCTTGCTTCTCTTTTTCCTAGCCAAGCAGGTAGACGCCTCTTCGGGTTTGGACTCCACCTGCGATCTATGGAACCCGAATCTGGTAAATGGATCAAGAAAGCTTTCCAAGATTGACTTGCTGTTCTGCTAGTTCTTTAACTTAACGACCCAAAATACTTTTGAGAAGTCGCGTGCAAACCAATCATTGCAGCATCTCTAATAATATCTCCACTAAGTTGGGTGGTAAAAAAGTTTATTCGGCTATCGACTTGGACCCTGCGAATTCGAACACGAGCCATCGAGGCCCCAACTGGTCAGGTTAACGATTCGCATGTCGTGTAAGACGACACTACAGTCAGCCCACGCTGTGGCGGCGGCTCTATCAAGACGCAGCATCCCAGATCTATTCTTGTCGAACAAAACAAAGCAAACCCAGGGTTGGATGCCTTATGATGAGAACGGTGCCTGACGAGAATGAAAGGAAGGCTAATGTCGACTAGTACCAATTCTCTCCCATCCTACAGGAGCGTTAAAACGGTAGTGAGTTGAGCTTGTATACTAGGGTCGGTAAGGTGCCAACAATAAGGCCATGCTACTATCTCTCCTATGAACCAAAAGGTCAGTAAAGTAGCTCTGTACTATGTTAGTCGGACACCGGCAAGCACAACCTTCAAGAATCCAAAAGTTCCCATCGTTGGTACCTGATCGAGCCTAGCGGCCGATCTAAGATGCTAAACATAGCAAGCCTTGCATTGGTTTTCGAGCCATGCAAGGGTGATGAGGATGTGATTGGTCTTGACAGCACACGATTGGTGGAACCACTCCACTGACACCTGGTAAAATCCGCTTTCTTTTCGAATCCTCCGTCCTCCAGCGCCCATTGTGATTTGTTGCCTTTAATCCGGTGGCACGATGGATGCACAAGAAGTCCTTCACCTGGGAGGGTGGTAGACATAGGTACTAGGGTAGTAGCGGCGGACGTGACTCTGCACTGTCACCATAACTCAACAACAAGTCAGCGTTGGCCATAGCTTAACTACTAAGCTGAGTTGTTGAGGATTCCCTACTTATTCTTACCGCTTCTTGAACGAGGAAAATCCTTCTCAGTCGCCTAGTTAAGCCTTCAGATACTGGACATTGATTCTTACTTTTTTATATTCTATTTTTATTCTTTTTCTTTTTCACCATTTTTAATTCGAAGTCATCTTATGATGCAGTGGCTTTTGTCCACGAGAAACCCAACCCAGGGACTCAGTAGGTCAAAAGAAATCATGAGGTCATCTCACCACGACCGATTCAACTTCAACGAGCAGTTCAGAACTACCACAAACTAGTACTAACACGGTTGGAACCCAGGGCAAAGGAAAAAATAAACCGAAAGTTGTGTCCCACTAGTTTCCGATGAGGTCACATTGACAGTCCAAACTCAAAAAGTAAAAGAAGAAGAAATGAAGGCAAAAGCGCAGATCACACCAGGAACGAGAAACGATGCACAGCACCCACACCCCCCGTCCGTCCCTCACAGATAGCGATGAACCTCAAGCACAACCTGAACTAAACCAAATGTAAGATGAAGTTCCGATTCGTAGTCAACAAAAAGTCTGGTACACAAGTTCCGATGACAAAGCAAATCCCGAGCCCCCTCCTAGCTACTCCGGGTAAGGTATTGTTATTGATGGTCAACTTTTTCTGCCTTTTTTTTTTTTTTTTTTACTTTTTAATAGTCGTTTTACCCTAGAACTTATAGATACTAGATTCTGTTCAAACTCCACATGGAACACTCTCTCGGATCCGGAAAACACCGAGTCCTAATGTTATGTATATGGGAATCTTGGTATAGAGTTTGGCACTCTGGACTTCCCATCCGCATGCTTAATTTGCAATGTCCCGTGGGAATAAGGGACCGTGCGACGGGATAAGAGCGGTTTCAAGCACGTTGGAAAGCCGTTTTTGCCTTCGAGTCGAACATGCATAGTTAGGGTTAGATTATCAGTTGCCTGTGGGGACGCCCCCAACCCTGATCAGCAATCTCTTCAGGTGCTTGGCCCAAATCGGATGCGCGCCGACGATAGGGTGCATACTCCGTATGTAATGATCGCTTTTTTAGGTTGACAGATACTACCTCATGATAAGAGCGGCAAATGTTTACTTTCACCACAGGAGTATAGGCGGGGAGACTAAACAAAGCAAGAAACATTCATGGTCGACACTAAACTACAAACATTGAATAACTATGACAATCGTGTGACAAGAGTTTATTCAATTCAGCTAGCATCATATGGCCAGGAAACCTCGAACCCATAACCTCCCAAAATGGAAAGCGAAAAGAGAAACGTGATTTAGTACAACGTATATACCAAAAAGCAAAGAACAAAAAAAAAAAAAAAAAAAAAAGAAGGGTTGCGCTCAAGCGCCAAAATGGTGCATAAAAAAAAAAAAAAAAAAAAAAAAAAAAGAAAAAAAAAAAAAAAAAAAAAAAAAACAAAAAAAAAAAAAAAAAAAAAAAAAGACGCAAGAACCCTAATTCGGCGAATGCTCGGTAAAAATCCCAGCTCCATCCGAATTAGTTCAAGTTCATAGCCACACAATCCAAACCTGTTAAACCATACGCCAGTTTGCTCCATTAACCTCTAACCCCCGGTAACAGCGCTAATCCCGCTAGTCCCTGGTCAGCGGGATCAAGTGGGGTGGACTTCTTTCGGTCCGTATCGGAAACCTCAAGGTCCGAATAAGGAATGGTATACAGAATCCACTGACGCCCCCTCATAGGTCAGCTGAAGGCACCTGGACGGAGCTTTACCAGATGGGGTTTATGGGCCCCTTACTGAACGGGGAACAAACTTGATCTGGATATTGTTATTTTCGGTTCCGTAAACCTTCCATAAGCATTGCCTTGAAGTTTAAAATCAGAGAGGATTTGGGCGCATTGCGCTCTACAAATGGGGATCTGAAGAGTATACGAATACGCTACTCCATATTCGAAACGGGGATGTATTCCCGAGCTTCGGATCCATATTTACGGGTCGGATTTGGCCACATGGGAGGTTCCAAGTTGTTGTAGGGTGCTAGTTACCGTGTGGGAGCTGGTAATTGAGTTAGTTAGCATAGGGAGGGGATAAGCTGTTGATGGATTCGGAACGTACAAGCACTAGTTCTTCCCATGTCTATGCTTAGCTCCGGAGTACCCATACTAGTCATTAAGGTCGCCGACCAAATACATGTCGAGTCATTCGGCATGTGTCCCCCCTCCCCCTCTCCCTCCCCACCCACGAGATGTGACATCGGTTTGTTCTAGGTGGAATTGTTACTTTTATATTATCTATTTAAAGGACGAGTATATACTACGGAGTACAGTGGTCGATATTAGGCAGCCGAACTAGCCTCTGGACACAGGACGTGCGTACTATAACGATTACAGGACGAAGCCGGTGTTGTGTCGGGCCAATCCATGGTTCCATTTTGATAGTCTCGAAGTGGGTTTGAGCGTATTCCTTTCGTATAATGTTATAGTAGGGCGCAGAAGAAAGATGGACATATGATGGACCTGCTATAGTTACACAGCCTATGATGATCGTCTTAGCTATGATCATGCAGCATCATCGCATGACATTAACCGATCGGCATAAAATCGTATCTCGATAATCAGCGAGGGCAACCTAGATGCGATGCACACTATCATTAAGAAAAGCCAGCACAGACGCTCCGTAGAAACCACGAGCGCAAAAACACTGAAGAGTTCTCCGTACATTATGAACAATACAATCCCTATATGGGAAAGGGGAAAAAAACAGTATATCCTTGCGTTGTGCGTCGGCTTGTAAAATTAAACGAGTTGGATATAGTAGTATATCCCTTACATACACATACAGCTCTCAGATCCCACACATACACATACACATACACACTCACACCACACACCCCCTTTTCAGCTCATGACAATCCCTCTCGGAACCTTAGACAATCCTATGCCAGGGTGAGAAGTGAACTAGTGGCTTAGCTCGGAGAATCAGGTCGGCGAGAACATAATTAAGTTATGCGAAATGTTTAATGTTATCCTCCGGAGATTCGGAATTTTCGTTTCCAGCACGCTACGGAACAGTACCGAGAGACGGATACCCATATGTACAATTAATTGTCATACAGGATACATTGTACATACATCTGCATGCCGCACGGGGTCATAGCTGTGACTTCTTGACTGCGGCGCAGCCATCGACTAAGGTTAGCCAAGTGCTTGTCAAACAGGATCCCTAACCGTGTCCCATCGGGCCAGTGAGCCACCAAGGAAAAGCAGAAGGAAGGGGTTAAAAAATTTCTCAAAAATTCAAAAATTAAAATAAAAGAAGAAAAAAAAAAAAGTTTTGAATAGGTGCCAAAATGGTCCACAGCTCCGCGCCGGCCGTTCTGATCGGCACGTTTTGGGGGCTGGGGAAAAAGGTTGTCGATCAGATTACTATTACAGATGTAGGCATAGGTTGTAAATTCAAAAATTTTGGTATCCGGCCGTCGGGAAGTCCAGTCCCATGTTTGACCATCATGGATTTCCCCATTCGGCTTTCCTGTCGCAGGTTCAGCCAGCCTCAACCGTCTGTTTCCCTTGAAACCCCGCCCCGGGCCCCTATAGCATAGCGCATAAACACCAAGATAGGAAACCGGTTCTCGCTGGAGTCTCCCTTTGGAAAGGGCTCGCCCTGTGTCAATCATCTGTAACTTAAGCTCAAACGAGGGAAATAACGAAATGAAAAAAAAAGGGTGACCACGCTGCATCCATGGATCATCGCTGTATCTCCTAGGGATAAACCGCAGATGTCTCACCAGTGTTCCCCTCCATGCAAGTGACCAAATTTTAAATAAATTATTGGAGAGTTTAGTCTGGTATCTAGAGTCTTCTAGGTAGTTGTCTAGAGAGTTTAGACTACACCTAGCGACGTGATATAGAGTTATAGTTCAGGTACCGTGCAAGGTACAGTAATGGGAGTAAGACAGCTATAGAACCTAACTATCCAGGAACATCGGTAGTTCACCTTGTTTGTACCGGACAAAAAGTCGCAATGGACGATCACCGCACCTGGGAACCAAGTGAGACTACTCTTAATGGGGTATACGCTTCTACTCCTGACTACTACTAATGTACATAGTATCGGGATCGATGATTGTCGAGAAGGATGTGCGAACCTCCGACGGTTGAAGCAGACTGACTCTTCAGGAATTTCGGAGGGTAAATGTGGGATGAAACGTTGCTCTCAGCTTTGGCCAGTGGGTCAGACACTCTTATTCTTATCCAAGAACAAGACTATTGAGCAAAATTAGGTTGGTAGCTCAGGGTTAATTAATTTTAGTCAAGGTCTTGGGGTCCATGGTTTTCTATCTGCGGGTACAGGGTAATTTCGTGTCGCTCGGGTAAGTAAAAATTGGCCGGTGAACTGATCGATTGATCGTTTTCTGCCATCATTGGCTGATCTTAACAGGAGGAATTAAGGCGATACATGGAAGACGGTTTAAGTAATCTTCACGATTGGCGCAAGCAAGATACTACGTAAAGTAGGTATAATCAATGAATATGGAGCTGGTATTAATATCTTTAATCTAATTAAATGTTTTGTGACGTGCCCGCCGTATAGTACTGATTTATGAGGGTCACACTTAATAGTTATAAGTGCCAGTCTTATAGTGATGGGGTCGGTGGAGTGTCGCATCATTTACCTCTGCCACATGGCATGATAGAGGCATATCTTAATTTCACCCGTTATGATGTGTTGCCGGTGTAGAAGAGCCAAGATTTTCAACGGGGGTCTGGAATACCGTTAGTCACAGCCTCACAGGAGGTAATTCCTTTTTGACTACTCCGTACTTCACTAGTATACATACGTATACCTAAGTACAGTCTCATCTGTATCTAGGTACACTATGGACTAGTCGTCGGTACCTAAGGATCTCTCAGAGATCCATGATCATCTGTCCTACTTACTAAGCCTGGCGGACTGACCTTTATCCATCTCTTTTGAGTTGGACGCATGACACTAAATTATATATGCATCTAACTCTGACATATTAGGTTAAATATATATATCCGTGGAACTGAAAGGGTTGCATTGGATGCATCGACTTTGTACAGGAGAACATGACGGCATAACCCTATGAAGGAATTCAAGCTGACAGCCATTGTTGATGGCTGTTACCTCGGGATTCTATTCTTAGTATCGTTTTTGGGGGGAAGAAGGGTACGGATACCCAAAACACTATGCATCTTACCCACCGAGAAAGTTACGGTTCGGCTAATATTTTTTATCTTAGTCTATCTCTAAAAAAAAAAAAAAAAAAAAACCCTCGCAAAGGTACTCCGTACTTTGCAACTAACCATTCAAGAGAAGAGAAGAGAAGTTTGGAATGCTAAAGACCCCATATTGTTCTGTTGATATATTTAGCAATTGGATACTACTACTTCGGTGTTGTTCCGTGGGTGAGAGAATGTCAACCCGTCCCTCGTCACGGGAGACCTCCGGAACAACCATCGGAAATGACCTAAGATGAACCCATTCACACCAAACAGAAGAGACATCATATCCCCAATATACACACGCTAGTCGCAGAAACGGTTGCAACGAGAGGGAAAGGGGTCGTGCGGAAAACCGGCTACTCCAACGGTATCATCCACTGATCAGCAGAACGGTGTTCAGGCGTACCATTTGGCTACGCGAGACGCATCCCCAAAATATCCATCTTGACTCCATTCAACGCTGCTCAACAAACGTGGTAAAAGAAAGAGACTTGAGTCTTTTCGTACCGAATAACCTGTCTTTCGGAAAAAGACCCATATTTCAGCTCAGAGGGACTCAGCCAGCACCGCCCGGTTAAGAGACGATCCCAGGACCTACCGGTGCGAACGCACCTCTGAGTGGCTGGGTTTCTGATATTTTTGGTGTCGATGGCTCTGATTGAGCCGTATGCGCAGGTGGGATGCTCGCACACTGCAGATTGGGTACCTACGGTGTAGATGAGAGCACGAGGTCGTCCTTTCATAGACCATCCTTGAGTTTTTTTAGTCCTCCTAGGGACTCACTAGTCTGCGTATACTGGGGTGTGGTTTCTCGCGGTCATTCGTGCCCGTTGAGCCTGCGTTCACTCCTGTCCCCTCCGATATGACCCCACGGTGAATTCCCTCAGCGGGCGTTTCGTTCAGTAACGGAAAGGGGTGCGTTATCGGTGCAATAGGGCCTGCAGCTGCCAGGGCCTGCAGCTGTCGATCAGAACTATCTTCGAGACAGAATAGTCATGCTATCTCTTTACAGCTCGTCACTTGTCGGTCAATCCTCACCACGACGTGATTTGGTCGGCCACGGTTCTGTGGAATCCTAGCCAGCGTAGCGCTAGAAAACAGGAAACATTGACATTCTATGGCCAAGGAACGACCAAAAATGAGGTCAGACTAATGTCAAATTACAGACAATACCTTCCATTATAGACTAGCATCCAATAGGGGTGCTCTGTCAGGAGTCCTACACGAATATTCATGCTATTCAGGCAAAAGGGACGTTCTAGGGTATATGCAGTTCTAAGGCCGATTAACTGTGTGACTTCGGCGGTGATATAATCACTACCTTTGGGACTTTTCTGAATAATTGAGGTCGTCAAGATTGATTTTGAATATCAAGCTCTATCATGCTATATCACCTCCTAACAACCCAAGATCAATAGTACGCCCCAGTATACTGTAGGCAGAACGATATACACAACTTCAGTGGGGAATTCATAGCATTTTGGTACGCCTACTGGGAAAGTCGATATATTCGTCCTTGGAGGTGACTGTAGTCGACTAGATACTCGCCTCCGGAGACATGAAACCAATTGAATCTTGCATTGCCCTTATGAGAATACATAACATCTGCGTTTTGGCCTCTCGGTGGCAGACGACCAGGACAAGAGCAATCTCCTCTTTCAATTAACGAGAAACATGTTATCTAAAATGTCTCACCCAGCGACTCTGAAGCCACTGAGCCGACCATGGATGAACCTCATTGGTGCAACTTCCGAAGCTCAAAATAGCCATCGAAACAAGCAAAATGAATGAATGTGTGAATGAACTGCTGCCCTCTTTCAGATCGTTAGAACTGCTCATATGTTTCCTTCACAGTCCGACCGTAGCATAGGGGAAATAATCTTGCCCAGAAATTGAATAGACCGATTCGACCGTAATTCTCCTTTTGCGACAGCAGCCAGTGAGCGAACGTGCACTCTGAGCGAAGCGGATTCGTGCTTCGAAAGCAGACAATCTACCATGAGGTAAGACGCAGGGAAGACCAAAGGCCGATGACAGTTTTAATGAATAGGATAACTCACCTCGTCATACCTTTGCAGGGCAAGATAGTATTGCACCGAAAGGCCGAACCTCCTCTTCAACGTCTCCTTTTTGATCTTCCGCGCCGCAGTCCTATACATTAGAGTAACCTTCGCCTCACTCATGCCCTCATGGGAACTGGCAGTGATACCTCCCGGCATTTTCCACTCACTCCGTTCGTACACAACCTCGACGAGACGCGTGAGAATGTCGGCTTGCCATGTCATCAGAAGCTCCCCGTGAAAGGCTTTGATGTGGCGTTGGACTCTCATGACATCTAGCTCAAGCCCAGCAATATTGTTGCTCAGCTTTCTCGCTCTGCTTTCTAGTAGCTCGTTGCTGGCATGCAATGCCTTCAGAGTAGCTGAGTATTTGTGGCAGATGTTCGAGGTTAGTCTGTCTGTGTTGGTTTCATCTAGGATGCCGATTGACCTCTTGGATCTCATCGCAGTGGAAACAGCGACATCCCTAAGTGACATGCTGGGCGATCCCACGGGAGCATTCATTCGTGCTGAAGGTTTTCTGTGAGCTAGATAAAAGGATAGACCGGGTCCATATAACCGCATGATATCGACGCTCATTTCTCCGGGCCTCAAGTCGCCGAAGCTTCGTGGGTAAAACAACAAGTAATTAATGAATGGAGTGACGCTTCCCTAAGATACGAAGATATATGTGCCACGGGCTATATAATGATAGCGCTATACTGGTTTCTCTTCAGGAGATCATATTGCGCCGGGTCCTATAGCCAGGTCTATTTAACGGCCTGATAGGATGAAAGCCTAGCAAGGAAAGTGCGACCCAACGAAATAGATCAGACCAAAGATAAGAATACTCATTACTACAAATGATGTCTATTCCATCACTCGATCTCGGTCCTTGTCGGTGCTATGTGCCAAGGTCATCGGCAATCACATAGTGAGTTCATTCCATCCCGACCGGGGCTATGTACATATACCACATTCATACGGTGAGATTCGCTAAAGATTCAATTACCAAGCTAGATCCTTACAATTTGCTTCCCGAAGACTTCCCGAATTCGACGACCAACTTCCCGAATTGTTTGCCTTCCTTCATATCCTGGAACAGCCCGTCGAGCCCCGCGGTATCACCCAGTTCGGTCTGCAGAACGCGCGAGATCACGGGGTAGATCTTGTTTGCTTTGACGAAATCAACCATTTCTTTGAATTCCTTGCGGGAACCCATAGTCGAGCCACGAACGTCAATGTTTTTCAAGACCGCTTGCATCAAGAAAGGCATCTTGGGAGAGACAGTCATTCCATAAACGGAGAGCACACCACCAGCCTGGGTGTTGTCAGTGACATCCAAATGGATTTAGTGTATTGATATCAAGAGGCTCACCTTGAGCAATCTGACCGCTTTCTCGACTGAATCGCCACCGGCACCATCAATAATAGCATCGAAGGCCTTCTTTCCCGAGGGAAGCATTGTAAGAAGCTTCTTCTCCCAGCCTTCTTCCTTGTAGCTAACACCGCCCTTTGCACCCAATTCAATGGCCTTTTGAATTTTCTCCTGACTGGAGCTTGTCACGTAGACATCTGCCCCCTTGGCCACGGCGAACCGAAGTGCCATCAACGCGACACCCCCTCCAATACCAGTAACCAGGACTGCAGCACCCTTGCCCGAATTTCTTTCGCCAGCCTTGACCACCAAGGCTCTCCATGCCGTCAATCCTGTCAAGGGCAGAGCAGCGGCCTCCGCATCGGACAAGTGCTCCGGGGCTTCTTCTACCTCGGACTCGTCGATGGTGAGGTACTCCTGCATCGTGCCCTTGTTGTAGAGCTTGGTACCGCCCATGATCCGATACCCCTTGGGGTCTTCCGGTCCATCGGGCGAGTCCTTCCAGCCCGTTCCCGGGTTCAGTATGACGCGCTTTCCCTGCCAACGTTCTGGATTCGACACCCCGGGCCCAGCACCGACGACCACTCCCACACCATCTGCCCCCATGGGAACGTTGAATGTGATACCGGGATATAGATGCTGGCGCAGGAAGACATCACGATGGTTCAGTGACGCCGCGGTCATTTTCACCAATAATTCGCGACCCTCCGGTGTCGGCTGGGGTAGGTTCTGGACGGAGAGGGGATAGTAAACCTGCCCCGGTTTGCCCTCAATTTGGGAGAGAAAGATTGCTTTTGACATTATGAATATGATACTTGCTTTGTTTATTGTGCTCTACACAGTGGATTTGTAAAGGATGTAATGGATGTCCCTCAATGTTGTGGTTCGTAGGTGTCTCATGCAGCGGCGGTGCGGGGAATATATTTATATAAGCTTGGGGTTTGGGTTATCGATAACCGATGACTGCCGGTTGTCCGATTACAATATCTTGTCTGAACAGAATTGGGTAGAGTCAGAATGACAAGAGGCTGAATAAGAAGATAGTTTCTATATAACAGTAAATCTAGTTCAGGTCAAAGAGATCCTCGATCCGAATGAAGTCGTGTTTCGGTTGGGATCTTCTTCTGGCACCCACGGCTTTAACGGGATTGAACCGAGGTCGAAACATTCAGATGACCAGCAAGTACATGCATCGATCATGTAGCTTCTTCCAGGTATAGTCATGGATAGACAAAGAAAAGCTGCCTATAGAGTCTAAGGATACTTTACTGTAATTAAAATATCGTGTCTGAGGTTCGCAGAAGATCTCATCTACATACTAATCAGAGCCTGTCAACCTGTCAATCATGGATAGCCTAGCTGAGGCTCAGGTAATCCATGCCTATGCATTGTATATCAGTATGGAGTGCATATTAGGTTACACTACCTCTTGACTCAGAACAAACCGTAACAATCACAAGTCTAGATTAACTCTTATTAAGATAAACTAAGTCTCTTGTCCAAGACGCAAAACCCTCGGTGACCAAGGATACATATATCCCGATCTATCGTCTGCCTGTTGAAACACTCCTTTGTCCGTTTTACGAGGGACTGTTCCGTCCACTAGTTGTGCGCAAGAGAATGTTCGAGTTTTCCTTTTGTTTCTGATTCAATCTAGATGGGCGATACTGTACTTTATTCGATAATGTTTATTTATCCTCTTCCTCCCCTCCCATCTCCAATAACTAGTAACTAAATATACAGAAGATCTCCAGTTCCTCCATACCAGATCTAATATCAAGTCACATGCAACCCGGCATGCAAATCGGCCAACGTTAGCCACGAAAACAGCCCAAAGCAAATAAAACCCGTCTAGTTCTGTCAGGAGAGACACTCTAAGTGGAGTGGCACAACGACCACATAAAATTTCAATAAAAATATAATGAAGAGAAAAAAACCAAAAAAAAAAAATAATAATACAGGAAAGAAACGCTGGATGAAAACGCGACGGATGTTATTCAAGGAGGTTGATCTGCGGAGGTTGGGGGGAACCAAACAAGAAGCAACGGTATGTGGGAATGGAAAAATAGTCCAAAAGTCGATAACGTCACTTCCCGTTCAACCACCACAAATTGACCTTACAGAGTGCAGATGCAAAGGGAGAATACCTCGTCAGAGCGTGTGTAAGCAATGGGATTGTAATTTGATCTAGAGGATTTGTCATCGGAGAAACATTGTTAGTTATTAGTTAGTTATTCGTTGATTTTTGTGTACTCTTTTGATCTGATTTGATTCAATTAATTTTCTAAAAATACCGGGTGAAAGTTGAAATGACACGCCGAATGGAAGGGCAACCGAAGCGTTTGCGGCCAAACCGCCATTGACCACACCCGCGTGGCAGTAGTCGATATAGGTTTGTCTGGGGTGCTGTGACCACGCACCCTCACCCCGGAGAGGAAAAAAAAAAATTGACTGGGAGGATATGTACCAAATCATACAGGAGGTATTGGAAATGTGACCAAGAGGGACAGATGGATGATGTCGAAGGGAAATTCTAGGAAAGAATCTTGAAAGCTCGTTTCCTTTCGTTCTTACTGTTTTCTCCGAACCAGGTTTGCCGCTCACAGAAATGAAATTATAGAGTATCGCGGTGATTGTGTGGGTTTTTTTTATTTTTATTTTTATTTTTATTTTTTTTTGTGTGCGGGTACTGTATATGGGACAAGTTCTGGTAATGATGCGGTAACTTTGGGGTTATAGTACGAACAAAAAGTGGCTGGCAACGGAAAGATAGCCAAGCAGCCATGGACAACTGTTAGGATACCTGAACGTACCCGACTAGACTAAATCGGGAGACAGCCGTCCCCTGTGGTAATTCCACGACCCCTTGCTAATTCGCCGCAAGCCTCTTTCATTTTTCAGGAACTCGTCGAACTCGATCTTCTGATCTCGACTTGGATCTGTCTAGCGTTCTTGCTGCCGTTGGCCTGTCCTCAATTTCTCCCTTTTGCTACGCGAAAGCAAACTGCTCGAAGTCGAAACCAAATTCCAAGTGCTGGTGCGTTTGCGTGCCACCCGTCATTCACGGATGCTCTTTTTCCCTCGCTCTAAAAACCCATAGCTGATCTTTCCCCCCAACTACTAACTAGCTCTATCGTCCTCTTGCGTCGTTCCACCTCAAAACGTTCGCATCTCCTCCTTCCTTCGCACGTTCATCCACCACCGAAAGAACAACCAACGCTCGTCTTGGATACTTCTCAAGCTTTGGGTTCGGAAATCTTTCTCCATCGCCCAGCTATCTATCTCATAATGCCTACGCCACTCCCTTCTAGTTTTGCTTCGGCCGCTGCTGGCAACACTGATGCCTCTCGAAGAGGTGATGGAACTGCCAGTGGAGAATGGTATGGAAAAAAACAAACACCTTTGTTGTCCCCGCTCTTTTCGTGACTTCTATTCCGTCCCTGTGAGGCGGGGATGCCATGCTGCATTCTCTCGTTCCTTTCAGCGGCGTGATCGCCTCCCCTCCCTCGTTGGATCGTGATTGAATTCGGCCTCTCCTAACGTGAATCCCAGGGCTCGAAACCGCATGAACGGAGCAACACAAACCTTCCGCCGTCCGTCCGTGGCGACTAATCCTTCCCACGGCCGGGATACTAGCCAGCCCGCATCCGCTACGACTCCTACGGCCGGTACTTACACTCCCCCACATATGCTCTCGAATTACCAGTCTAGCGCACTCCGCAACGGGGCAACCAATGACACTCGGTATTCCAAAGATCAGCTGTTAGAACTTTACAAGGCTCAACGGGAGACAGGTATATTGGGTAAGAATCTCGCAGAATATCTCGCCGCCGACTGGAATCCGCAGGTAGAGGCAGCCGCTGCCAACGGCGCTTGGGGCAGGCGGGAGGATTCGAAAGATAATCCCTCTGGGCCTGGGGTGTGCTGGGATCACGGAGGACAGATGGAACCGTTGAGCCTAATGGACATGACTGATGAGGAGAAAGAGGTTCGTGTCTTTGTTACCTTCCCTGTTTGCGAATGGCCGCAGTGCCTTGTTTGGGAAGAGCTGTGCTGAACGGGCGTAGTTGTTTTCTCTCTCAGTGAACTCCCCACTGAAGCCACCACCCACGAATGTTCCCAAGGATAACACGGGCACTACTCCGGGAGGACGCAAGGGGTCGATTTCTCAGGGTCACATGAACAATTACAACACCTCGTCCCCGAGCTCGAATCGACCTGGGCCCAGGCGTCGGGAGACCGGCGATTCGATCGGCAACCCTATGTCTCCTACAACGGGCGGTTCTCGATTCTTCCGTGACGAGCCGAATACTTCTACCCCACCCCCGTCGCTCCTACGTCGCAAAACCGATTTTCGAGATACGTCGTCCACCGCCCGGTGGGAGGAGAAAGAGAAGGAATCGGCTCGGGACGTTACCTCGGAGGCCTCCTCTCCGTTTAATTCCCTAAAGCGCAGTTCGACTAATCCGCTGAGTGCAGCGCCGGGGACAACAAGTTCGCCGTGGGGCTCGGCTTCGCAAAATGCCAGCTTCTCGCCCATGGGGGCTTTTGGGGCGTTCTCTCTCGGTACGAATCCCACGGAGAAAAAACCAGGCTTTGGCAGTCTTCGCGGCGAAAGTCGCCTGAAGGGCCTCTTCTCGAAGGATAGCTCGGAGGATATTTCAGCTTCGGTGAAGGAGAAGCCGTCCCTGAGCAACCTGGAGCGTTTGGCAGGTGAGGGTGAGCAGCGCTCGCAGTCGCCTTGGGGGGAAACTCTCAAGACCCGCACGGGACGAAGTGAGACGAACCCATTTCAGGAGGAACCTCGGAGCGGGAGTGCTGCGCTTGGGGGGTCTCAGGAACTTCCATCTCAGAGCGCTGACTCGACTGGATTCGCCGCGTTTGGAATGACGTCCAGTATTCCTGGCTTTCGAGAGCTGATCCAGAGCCACGAGAACTCGCGTAACCCCACCCCAAGTTTGCTCCAAGGTCATGAGCCAACCAGCCCGACCAATACAAACCCGTATCAAAGCCCCCATGGTGACAGAGGAGACGCCGATGATGTTGAGACCGACGGCTCTGATATCCAAACCTCGCACCATCCTGGCCTCACTGGACTGCGTGACACTACCGCGTTTGGCTCGGTCAGACGAGTCGGGTCGGGCATGGATTTGCCCTCGATCGATCGGAGCGCAACTTCCAGCGTTGCCGGAAACCGCAGCTTCTCCAGCTTGGGTGGTCTGGGTGGCCTCCCCTCGATTGGAGGAGCGGCTGGATGGCCTGCAAGCGGTGCCATTGGTACTCCAACTCGAGAACGATCTGCTTTTGGCGGCGGCGGCTTTGGCGATCCTATCTTTGGCACGATGGCTGATCTCCAGTCCCCTAGTCTATCGACCCTGGGAGGGGGTGGCCTCTTCAGCCCTGGCATCAGTGGCACTGGCAGCATTGGGCGCTCTAGCAAGTTAGGATCTCTCTTCCCCGCCGCGATGCAGGAACAGATGCAAGGCGATCAAGCACGGGCTGATCTTGGCAGCCTGGACGACGGCTCCCGGCAACCAGGTATGATCCTCCAGCGGCCAACAGCGCCACATGATTTACTAACCCACGGAGAAGATCCCCAGCAGGTCGACAAGTCTGGCCAAACCAACCCGCCCACAACTACGTCTACTTCCCAAACTCCTGTCTCTGCCGTTGGTTCCATCCCCACTTCCATGGCTCCTGATGCACCTCAGCCCAGTCAGACTCCTGGGCAACCGGGAGGCAATGCCGGCTCCGTTCCTCCTGCCCAACAGCGTACTATGGTGATGCCAGATCGTATGCGCTGGATTTATCGCGACCCACAGGGGAACATCCAAGGTCCTTGGACAGGGCTTGAGATGCACGATTGGTTCAAGGCAGGTTTCTTCAGCCCTGACCTGCAGATCAAGAAGCTCGAGGACCCAGAATTTGAGCCTCTGGCTCAGTTGGTGCGGCGCATTGGCAACTCGCGCGAGCCCTTCTTGGTTCCTCAGATCGGGATCCCTCATGGACCCGATCCTAACCCTGGTCATTGGACAGGAAACACGGCAGGTGCTGCTCAACCTCCCTTCCCTGGCAGCTTCCCCAGCTTTGGTACTACTTTGACCGCCGAACAGCAGAATGCCTTGGAGCGTAGAAAGCAAGAGGAGCAGTACCTGATGGCCAGACAGAAGGAACATCTCGCGCAGCAACAGGCCATGATGAAGCAAATGCAATTCCAGGGGCTCCCCCCCACTATGCACCCCCATCAGCTCCAGCATCATTCGAGCGCCCACAGCCTTCACAGCCAGCCAAGTTTCGGTAGCATTGCCTCGCCTGTTGGTTTCCAACCGTCGCCTATACAGGGACCCATCCAGCAGCAACAGCAGCAACAGCAGCAGTCACAGCCGCAGCCTCTTGGTGGCTTCTTCGACGCCGCCGGTCCGATAAGGCAGAGCGCGCTGCCCAATGTTGGTCCTCAGATGCTTGGGACAGACCTCGGCGGCAGTCAAGATCAGCTCCCTGCCCTTCTTGAGCGTTTGAACGTCAACCGACCGGACCCATTCGCCTTTGGCAGCGCAGCGCCCTTTGCCACTCGGCAGCCGGACAACTTGTTCCATCAACAGCAGGTTGCCACCATGCTCCAGGATCGGGCTCAGCTGCAACAGGAACAAGAACAATTCGACAGCACTCAAGGTGACAGCTTGTTCGACCAACAGGCCCGTGAAGAACGGCTCCGCCAGTTTCATGCTTTGAGGGCACAGGAAGATGAATTCGGCATGCGCACTGCCGAGGGGCTTCCAACTCATCCTACTACTGGTCCTTCTCCCCAGCCTGAAGAGTCTGTCCAGGATGTTAACCTCGACTCCCCCGTGATGGAAGCGGACCAGCCTATTGTAGTGGACGAAGAACCGGTCCTCACGCTTTCCCAGCAGGTTCAGAAGGCGGCATCCGCTCAGAGACAGCAACAGGAGCAACAGGAGCAAGAACAGCAGCAGAGCCAGGCTGCGAATGATGCAGCATGGACCGCCAAGGGTGATTCAGCCATGCCTCAGCCGTTCCCTCCTCCACCTTCCGCATCGCCGCTCCCAGCTCCTGCCGCACAGCGCAGCCGCCAGAACGTTGCGGAATCACTCGCAGCAAACTCGAGATCGCAGACCCAGACTCCTGTGGAAGCTCCTGCTACGTCCATTGCCCCATGGGCCAAGGAGGTGCATGAGATGCCGAAGGGTCCCTCGCTGAAGGAGATCCAAGAGGCTGAGGCTCGTAGCGCTGCTCAGAGAGAAGAACTGGCTGCCGCTGCTCGTCGTGCTCAACTTCTCGCAGAACAAGAGCGCCTTAGCCAGGCTCAAGTCCAGACTCCTGGTCTCCCTTCGACTGCCAACTGGGCCAGTGCTGGATCCCCGTCTACTCCCGCGTCCACCGGGTCGGTCTGGGGTAACAACAAGGCCCCGGCCACTGCTACCGGCGGCGCTAAGAAGACCCTCGCGCAGATCCAGAAAGAGGAGGAGGCTCGTAAGCAGCGTGCCGCTGCCGCCGCCGCTGCCGCCGCTGCTCAGAGTGCAGTCACAGCAGCGCCTAGCCCACCGGCTCCTTCTTCTACTGGCAAGCGGTATGCGGATCTGGCTAGCAAGGCTCCTGCTCCTGCTGCTCCTACCACTCCCGTGACTACAGGTGCTTGGACCACAGTTGGCGCTAGCGGTAAAGCCAAAGCTCCTCCCGTTGCTCCCTCCGGACCGCGATCGACCACCGCAACGACTCCCTTGGCAGCCTCTCCAGTGAAGCCCAAGCCCGCTACAATCTCCACCCCGCGTGCCGTTACTGTGAACACAGTGACTCCGGCTAACCCTAACCGCGCAGTCGAGGAGTTCACCAAATGGGCCAAGCTGGCGCTGGGCAAGGGGTTGAACAGCAACATCAATGGTATGTCCTTCATTAAAAAAAATACACTATGCCTTATTGAAACAGTACTAACGTTTATGTAGTGGATGACTTTGTTCAGCAGCTACTTTTCCTGCCGGCCGAAGCGGAGATAATCTCGGACTCGGTGTATGCTAACTCGCAGACGCTGGATGGCCGCCGGTTCGCCGAGGAGTTCATCCGCCGTCGTACCTTGGCTGACAAGGGCATCGTGGACCCCGTCGCAGCCAGTGCATTCGCGGAGAAGAGTAGCAGTGGATGGAGTGAGGTGGCCAAGAAGGGATCGTCGAATGCCCATCGTGAAGAGGATAGCAGCAATGCCGCGTTCAAGGTTGTGGCTCCTCGTAAGAAGGGTAAGCGGTAAATGACTGTGAATAGTGGCATATTTCCCGCATCTAGTGAATACTTCCGAGAGATGTACTAGTAGTTTGGCATTCCAGCATGATTTGGTGATGTAAAAAATAGCAATGAGTTTCACGCTTACGTTTGCTTCGTAACTATTTTTTTATTATTATTATTTCCCTGGAGTTGGTAGGATGTGCTCTATGGTAGCCAAAGAAGGGATTGTGTCGGGGCCAGAGTATCGTATGCATAAGTCAAGCAGGGACTGATTTGGCCCCAGCATTGGCCAATGCCAAAGGTGCTTAAGCTGGTAAAGTCTGTCGTGAAAAGTCTTTGGGATGAAGAATGAAGTCACTGCACAGTACGGTCTTACTATAGAATGATTGAGATGTATGGCGGCCAAGAAAGCAGTAGTACAAGTGGTATGGGAGAGTATTTTGTCCCGAGATCAAAGAACTAGGCTCTAGAGCTTGCCTTCGAACGTGGTCAATGATGAATATGCCAAACATTCGCAGAACATACCAGGCGACTCAGGATTGCGAAAACCTCCATTGGTCCCAGGGTCCATGTGTGACAAGCTTTAATGATCTTCCGGTCACAGACTTTTCAAACCCTGTGTGAATTCGACCATTCGGCTCCTTTGTTGCACTGGCTATGCTATGAGGATTTCGTACTTTTGAATTCCCATGTCTTCCTATTCTATTGACCTGGCCACATTCCTATATGAATACCGCGTCGTTTTAAGGTTCCCCGTATAAACTGCCTCATGTAAGAAAGATTTGGAGTACACAAGTCTAACAGGTGGAATATAGCCATTCCTATTGTATGTGTCACTGATTTGCATTTTCCAAATATGTCCTCATATGATTCAGGTCAACATAATTGGATATAAAATAAGGCTGTGTAGGTAAAATCTTAGTGATGTTAAGCAGTAAAGGCAAGATGGCCGAGCGGTCTAAGGCGCACGGTTCAGGTTAACCTGTCCATCAGAACTTCATCCAGAAGTTTCCGTGTCATGAAAATGGCGTGGGTTCGAATCCCACTCTTGTCATATTTTTATTACTCATTTTTAATTTTTTAGATTCTTCACCTATCTATCCACTTGATACATAAGTGATTCAACTATTACAGGAGTGTCAAAGTTCTGCAACACCTGCGCCAGTCAGACCTTACATACTTACGACTCCTTCAAGAAAATGATTGCGTTATACTCCTTTGCAGCGTTGTATATCACGGGATTGGCCCAATGCTTCCTCCTACTAAGTAGACGGACTCAAATACAATATATTTTATTATCTTCGGTGGATGAAATGGGACAGAGGACAGGGAGCTTTTCTTCCAGGTCCTGCACATCATTATGTTTAATTATCTATCATCTTACATACCCTCAAGCGTCGAATACCTCCAATCCTAATTGCGTTATCGAGGAAGATCGTATAGCCTGGAATCTTCGATCCTAGGAGGGTAAGCGTTGCATTATCAGGAACGAGGCACGGTATGAAAAGCAAAGCGGCTGTCTCCCGGTGGAGCTGCGCGATGGTATTTTCAGGCTCAACGGTGTGTTTCTTGTGCACGGAGATATTGTGTGTACCACCTGATCCAGTTCCATATATATCCAAGGTCTTATGCATGGCTTTCGAACCGCGCAGATGGCGTCCCATGCCTAGATAGTCGTTATAAAACCACACAGCAATGAGATTTCCTACATTCCCCACATGAGCTTGTACGAAATGGGTGGCAAGGTGATTGATATTACTTGAAAATACGGTATCAGCCGTAGCTTTCCTTCTTGTCTACTTCCTCTTGAAAGGATCTGTGGTAGTTGGAATCATTCACAAGAGCCCCCCCTTTTTTGTATATTGAGAACATTCTCACGTACGAAGTCAGCAATACGACACATGGGGTCAGGAACCGAGTTAAACATATAAGGGACTCATTGCTAAGCATGGCACAACGGTTGTCACATACATTGAATATTTTGTTATGGAACTACCTCAGCAGTAGTCCTGACAACATGTGAGCTATGCAAGCCTTTTCTGAGATCTGAGATAACCCTTACGCAAGCAAATGCTGACGTACAGCAGTAGACCATCATATTAGGATGTGCAGGAAGTCAACATTATTTCTGATCACGGATTCACTGTATGTAAATGTACCGGACTTTATATCCAAACAAAAAAATTGCAACAATTTACCATATCAACAAAGACACCAGAAACAAAAGAGATTGGTTGGGATTGCATTATCAAGCGCGTAATGAGTACAATTTTCGGCGGGGTCAATCCTGCCTAGAACATGCATAGCTGATTCACCTACTATTTATTTACTTGGTTTACTCTAAGTGCCAGTGTAAGAACCCTTCTCGTATACGTAATCTGACTGGCGGTATGCCTTCAGAACGCTGTAGGCCAGGAGACTACAGGATGTATAGGACTAGGAAGTTATGTGCAGCGATGTCTCGGCTTAGACTATGAATTATCCAATGCTTTACTCCGTACGACGATCAGATACCGTCGTAGTCTTAACCATAAAATATGCCGACTAGGGAGCCGGCGGTGTTTCTATGATGACCCTATCATGGGTTAGAAAGTTATGGGAGGGTATCACTCAACGAAATTTTATATGATAAACAAAATCATCAGTGGATAGAATACTAATAGTCACAGGTCGAGTCAAATGACAACCAAAGAAGGTTATCAATAACGAGGAATCAAGCAGTCCCGTAGAAAGAAATAACACAACAATACCATTAGAGTCTGTATTAAGATACTGATTAGTCTTTATATCAGCGTCCCATATTTAATGTCATACTATCTACATAACCCAAGTCAAAGGCCGACTGTATGACATCTAATCCAAACATAGGCCGAATTTGTATTAGATCCGAGTGGAGATCAAAAGAAGAGCTGCTTTTTTCTATATCCTAATATCTCTCAAATATGCATACAATTAGGCAAGGTGGCCGAGCGGTCTAAGGCGCACGGTTCAGGTTAACCTGTCCATCAGAACTTCATCTAGAAGTTTCCGTGTCATGAAAATGGCGTGGGTTCGAATCCCACCCTTGTCAGACTTTTTTTGCTTTGAAAAAGTCCAAAGCAACGCCTCCATTCCCCAAGTGGAAAGATCCGGTCTCAAACCCTAGCCAGGGACCAACAACCAAGGAAGCACATGACGAAGATAACTATATAAGAAAGTAAATTCAAATTCCATGGACCCTCTCCAATCATATCAGATATATCCTCAATACAATATGACACCCAACTACGTGTTTGAATATTTCCATGTGTGAACTCAGTTGCCAACTTGCCATAGGCTTCTTGTCCGTCTTCTATACAAAGATAGCTACACAACCACAGGTCTTTCTTTTATTTATCAAACAGCCATTTTGGACTACATCCGTCACGGATTCGGTGATGACTCTGTATGGTGACTATACTGTATACCCTGCCCGTTCTGCATAGACAACTCGATGACCGAGCGGCGATGTCAGAGACTCAGAGTCTATATCTGTTGCCTTTTCAATGGCGTATAGTAGCCCTCTGTCAGTCCAATTCTGTTAGGAAAGAAGGGGGCCCTTTTGGCTATAAAGTTAGCCTGATGTTGATAATAGAGGAAAGCAAGGATCAGTCTTCTGTCCATATAGTATCCACGGCTTAGCTTTCGGTCGACGTACCCTTGCCTAGTTGACAGGTCTTCTACCCTGAATAGCAGATAGTTCTTTGACAACATCAAAATTATATATATACAACTACCGGTCTCTATACATAGAGTGAGACACAGTGTGTGGCCTTAAAAAATATGGACAGCATCGGCAATGCTTGCCCCGTATGTTACACGTTAATTGATATCAGACCTTTCCGCACAAGGGTAGTGTGTTAGCTCAACCTGATTTCAACTCTCTGTTTGGCTGTCGGTGTATATATACATTGCAGTTAGCCAACCCAAGGTTGCATTTATAGAGATGGTGGGTGCTAGGTAGGGTAGATAGTTGTCCATGTCAAAAACAACTTGAGAGAGGGACTTGGATAGATCAAGGGCAAAAAATATCTGACAAGGGTGGGATTCGAACCCACGCCATTTTCATGACACGGAAACTTCTAGATGAAGCTCTGATGGACAGGTTAACCTGAACCGTGCGCCTTAGACCGCTCGGCCACCTTGCCTATTTATAATAGTGAGCTATATTTTTTCAATTCATGAGAGACACCATCAACTATACATACTGTTACCATGTACTATCTGTTTAAGAACAGAATTGTACTTCAAAAGTTATTAAATTCGCTGTAATTCCCAAAGTACTATGCGGTATTCCATACCGCGTATATGTCAATGATACTATACAGGGTAGAAGGGCCTGTCAACTAGGTAAGGATATATGACCCCATGGGAAAGAAGACGGTCAAGCGTCCATAGCAACTTGCAAATACTGTTGAGACATCAGACCAATTCTTGACGTTATAAATTGCCCGGAAGTTGAATATTATATCTGAGGGCTCTGCACCTAATGGATATAGAATCATCAATTAAAATCCTGGCCATTATGTCACCTTAGTTTCCACCTCCGTCGACGGTAACTACTAACCGATATATATACACAGAGGGCAAGAAGCAGGAAGTATATTGCAACAGAATCTGCTATATAGGGTAGGTAGTCCGCCAAGCAGATATTAAGGATATATACACATGCAAGGAAGGGAAGAAGTGCTTATTACTCGAAGAGCCATAGAACAAAATACAACGGAACTGGCAATCCTCTCTTTTCTCTTTGCTCGGATTGGCCTTTAAATAACTTGCATCCTTTCCCCCCTATCCGGTAGGGATACAGGAACAGAATTATAACTGATCGGTTAGGCCGCAGCTGACCTCTTGTCAGGTCTGTTTAATACTGCAAGAGGGACTGGGTTATCTTACAGCTGCTAGGCTGGTTCGATATCGGCTCTACAACGTCTGTGCTTGGGGAAGGTATAATGTATTGTCATAAGGCCGAACCACTGACTGATCTATATAATGCTAGCTTGGCTTCGCTCTGCTGCGCAATAAAATAGACGTGAGACCATGTTATATTTATCACATAGTCTATGCACAGTCAGTCTACTTTACTCCACAACGCGAGCATCAAGACAGCGTCTACACGTGGGCTTATGTTTATATGACTGAAACCTCTCCTAGCAGACAGAAGAAAAGAAAATTTGCAAAAATATTATGACAAGGGTGGGATTCGAACCCACGCCATTTTCATGACACGGAAACTTCTGGATGAAGTTCGGATGGACAGGTTAACCTGAACCGTGCGCCTTAGACCGCTCGGCCACCTTGCCTATGGTTGTGGATTCAGATACAGTATTAGCAAATTAGAGAAAATAAGATTCTTATACCATATCGAAATGTAGTACACTAAGGCTACGCAGTTGTCTCAATAATGCTTGCCTAAGACGTATTAACACGTCACAGGGACACCACAGAGAAACAGTACTGGACCGAGTCAGCATCCATACCGCAACAGTTACAGAGGTGCATTACCTCCTGACTGGCTTGCCTGGTATAGCAGGCACTCTTAACCTTGCAAATTCTCGTGGCCATCGTCCTGATCGTCTGCAACTTCTCCCTCACTATTGGGCAGACATGGATCAGACACGATCGACTCGCACAAGACGTTCAACCAAAAGAACTCGGACCGGATGTCGGACCTGCCGGTAAATGTTCCGGAGACATCATTTCCCTCTTAAACCAGGAAACTACTAAACTGCGTCGCAGAATTCGCAGAGTGAAATGTGACGAAACACCAGGAGCATGTAGGAACTGTACGTCCAGCGGTCGAACCTGCGAGGGATACGACATGTATCGCCTACCGATTGCACGAAAGAGCGGCGGCCTTCCCCGCCCTTTAAGCAGTAGGGCTGTAGTGATGACTTCAGACGACCGGCGATGTTATTCCTACTTTCAATTCCACGTAGCCCCCGAGATCGCCTCGTTTACGTCGGTTCTCTGGCAGAAGTTAGTGCTCCAGATGACCGAGGCAGAGCCCGCAGTTCTCCATGCGGTCATTGGGCTGAGTGCGATCAGTCAGAGTGTTTCGGCAGCCTGCAAGGCCCAGAAGCATGCAATTAGCCTGAAGTACGATCCGTGGCGTCAGTTTGGCCTGGAGCAGTTGGGCCGGTCCTTTGCATTATTGAGCCGTCGACACTCCTCCCACGATCCCCAGCTGGTCCAGGTCACCTTGATGTGCTGCCTTATCTTTATCGTCTGCGACTTACTGCAACACCAGTATAACCATGCCTTTAACCATCTACAGAACGGCATCCAGATCTTGAGCGAACTGGGGTATGGTCGAGTACTTATACCGCAAGTCTCGGTTGAGCAGGAACTAGTGGCAGCCTTCCAGCAACTCGAGACCCAAAGCACCCCATTCCGCGGCCAACAGCCAGTCCTCTGGTTGCCCAAGGAGAAGAGTGCAACCCATCCATCGAGCAAGCGTTCTAGCCCGGGCCTCCAGTTGACCTTTGAATCGTTAAGGAGTTCCGTCCTTAAATTTACAACAGACTTGGTCTTCTTACCAGAAGGACAATCAGCCACACAATACGAAGCAGAATATCTCACACTTCTCGAGCGCGGGAATCAATTTATCAAGGAGGTCGACTCCCACTACGCGCGCGTCTATCCCCATCTCAGTCAGGAAGAGAGGAAACACGCAGACTTGATGAGAATTCATACGTCCGGTGAAGGTCTTGTTCTGAAATGTTGCTTTCCAACCGGGACGCTTGAGCCGCATGCCGAGCATTTCCGGTCCCATCTTTCTCTGATCGAGACGTTTTTGCACAGGTTTCCCGAGCGACCGGGGATGACGATGGATGAGGCTGTTCTTCCCAGCCTCGTTCTTGTGGCATTTGGGTCTCCGGATCTTGATGTTCGATGGAGAGCCATCGATGTGCTGCTGGCGTGGCCACACCTTGAAGGGCCGTGGGACTCTAGGGCTATTGCGCGAAAGGCTATCGAAAACACGCCGGAATATGTGCCGGGCTGTGTTGAGATAGAGACTGTCAGGGTGAGGAAACCAATATCGCAGAAGAGGTTCACGATGATCCTTCAGGAGTTCTTTCATGAGATAGGTGATGTGAAATCATAGATGTATAACTTTTGTGGTTCTCGGGATGCTGGCGCATACATGTAGCATTATTCTAGATTTAAAGCAAGGTATGGGCTGTCAATGTGCTCGCACGCATTTGACAAGCGTGGTATTGTGTATTGGCTTTTGCCAAAGTAGGTCTGATGGGGAAAGAATTGAGTTGATGGTGAAGGTATTGGAGGAGCATCTTCTTACTATTCCGGCTCGGGGGAGAAGGCATTCTTTTTTTTTTTTTTTTTTTTGGCTATCTTCGCCGTCCTGATGGCGTAGTGAGTGGTAGAGAGATGGCAGGCAGGCCTTTCTTTCTATTTTTTCTACTCTGTACAGATAGATACTCACAGTCATTGTTGGACGTACCATTTCACTACCAAGGTAGTCGAATACTCTATACAACAATGAAATACACAAGTCCTGCCAGCACTGACAGACCAGACATCTGCACAGATGACACCACCGATAGATAGTAGAGTACTTACTGAGCTCCTATCACTTTATGCTGTCACGTTCTATCTTGTGCCTGCGCCTGCAAAAAGACCTGATACTCCTGTTCCGCACTATCCCTCTTGAGCTGCTTCTGTATGAACTTTTATTGCGCATTCATCCTCGCAGAACTGCAACCATGCGATCCTTTGAATCATTCTGCGCAAATAGCTAGGCAGACGTGTCTTTGTTATAAAACATGCTTGCTTTACTCCCACCGGCACTACTTTCCCTGAGTCTGCGACCATGTTTTAGCCGAACAACTCTGCTACCACATCAGTGGACTCACAGGATGGCCGAGCATCAGGTCATTGAAGAACAGAGTCTGCCATTCTACCGTCAGAAGCATCACCTCATTGAAAGTTTGCGTTCAAACTGAGGAAAGTGAGTCTTCTCCCGTATTTAACAAATTCATTTGCTCCGCCGCCTGGGGAAGTCCGCCGAAAAAGACCATCCAGTACTGGACTTTCACATTAGGGTCAGCATTAGGGTCAATCCTTTGAGATCGACGGTCCCTTGGGGAGCCACTACGGCGTCGCCTTCAAATCTCAGGGCAATAGCGTCCACACATTGCAGGAAACATTCTCCAAGCCCAGGTGCATAAGCTTCTCGTAAAGCCCATAATACACTGCTTGTTCTTCGCGGTAAACTGGTCGTGTCTAGATTCAGTGGAACTTTTTAGAATTGTACCATTGGACCTGTATTCGAGGTTTAAAAGGTCAAGCTTCCTAGAAACCGCTTGGCCAGGAATGTAACGAAGATTGGGTTCCTAAGCAGGAGTTACTACTCGTAAGCTATCTTCAGTACCCCACTCATTGTGTTAACCAGTCAGTTAGTAGCCGCTGCCATTAAATCTACATTTAGAATAGATTCTGACTTCTTATGCTTCAAATCCATAAATTTCCGTTCGTTCCCGATTTAGAACTTTGCATTTAGTTATTTAGAGCTACAACCATAAGTCGTAACTATGATAGTAGGATAGATTAAATTATTATTACCTTGCACGTTGCATAAACTTCGTTCTCCGTCTCCGTCTCCGCATCTCGTAAACAAAGATGACTCACTGCATATCAACTTCAAACTATATAATAATAGTCATCCAGGCTCTGGACCGTCTTTAGAATCAAATATCATCACCATTTCTAAACCCTCAACAAAATGACGACTCCCTTCGGAGCCCAGATGCGAGAGCACTTCCTCTTCGACACTAACTTCAAAAACCTCAACCATGGTAATATATATATAAACAAACCCCCCGTAACAAAAGGATCAGCACCAATGACTAACTATAATCCAGGCTCCTTCGGCACATACCCACGCGCCGTCCAGATAGTCCTCCGCCAACACCAACACTCCGCCGAGGCCCGTCCAGATCTCTTCTACCGCATCACCCGCGCCCAAGGCATCGACGAATCGCGCCGCATCGTAGCCAACCTACTCAACATCCCCGTCAACGAATGTGTCTTCGTCAAGAATGCCACCACAGGCGTCGGCACCGTGCTCCGCAATCTACGCTTCCAGAAGGGGGACGCAATTGTCTACTTCGACACTATCTATGGCGCTGTTGAAAAGGGTTTACACTCCGTCATGGAGGCGAGTCCTGTGACCACCCGTAAGGTTGAGTATCAGTTGCCCATTAGCCATGAGGACTTGGTGAAACGGTTCAGGGATGTGGTGAGCCGTGCCCGAGCCGAAGGGCTGAATGTGAGGGTTGCGGTGTTTGATACTATCGTTAGTAACCCTGGTGTACGGTTCCCGTTTGAGAAATTAGTGGAGGTTTGTCGGGATGAGGGTATACTCAGTCTTGTGGATGGGGCGCATGGCATTGGTCATATCCCGTTGGATTTGGGGTCCTTGAGACCCGATTTCTTTACTAGTAACCTGCATAAGTATGTTCTTTCTTTGTTTCTTTGTTTCCTTTTTTCTTTCGTTTGATTATTCACTGGGCTTGTTCTGGGATGCTCACTAAAAGAAAAAGATGGCTATTCGTTCCCCGCGGCTGCGCAGTTCTTCATGTCCCGCTGCGCAATCAACATCTCATCCGCACCACATATCCGACTTCTTGGGGATATATCCCCCCTCCCGCATCTGGGGAGATAGCCCCCACCGCTACGCAGGGTAAGTCCGCCTTCGAATATCTCTTCGAATACGTCTCCACAACCGACGACACGCCATGGCTATGTGTCCCTGCGGCCATGAAATTCCGAACTGAAGTCTGCGGCGGTGAAGACCGCATCTACGCCTACTTGGAGACCCTGGCGCGCGAGGCCGGGGATATCGTAGCCCGCGCCCTCGGGACGGAGGTGATGCAGGAGCCCGGGCTGAAGGAGGGAGAGACGAGTCAGCTGAGGAGGTGTGGGTTGGCTACTGTGCGATTGCCGATTGCCGTATCTTCTTCTGCTACTGCTGCGTCCGGTCATGGTGGGGGTGCTGTTACGAGGGTGCAGGGTGAGGATGGGACTTCGTATTTGCGGATTCAGTCGTCCGTGGTGTCCACCGTGAGTACGTGGTTTCGGGATACGTTGTTTGATCGGTACGAGACGTTTGTGCCGGTGTTTCAGCATGGGGGATGGCTGTGGACGAGACTGAGTGCGCAGGTTTATTTGGAGAAAGAGGATTTTGAGTGGTTGGGAGGCGTTTTGAAGGAGTGTTGTGATAAGGTTGAGAGGGAGGTTGGGGTTTCTCCGAAGCTGTGATCTCTTATTATTCAGATTCATTTATAGAGTAAGTCTAGCTCTGATATTACTTTCGTTGCAACGAAATGTCATATAACTCATACACCCCCATTCTAGCCCAACAAATCTACTCCAATCTATATATATACTACGTACCTACTCTACTATATGATATGTACAACACCACACCTACACCTACACCAACATAAAAACCTACTCCCTCCTCCAAACCCTCCTTCCATCAAACCACGTCTCCCAAACCTCTGCCTCCAACAACTTCTCCTCCTCCCAAACCATATCAACAACCACAAAATCCGCCTTCTTCCCCACCTCCAACGCCCCCGTAAACCCATCCGCAAAGCAACTATACGCCGACCCCCCCGTAGCAGCCATAACCGCCTCCAACAACCCCAACCTAAAATGTTCATTAACCGTCTCCAAGGACTCCGGCTCCCTCGCCGACCGCCGCGTAGTCGCCGTATACAAATTCCTCAACGGCAAATGCGGCGCCGTCGGTGAATCCGTACCAATCGCCAAATTCGCCCCGTGGTCCAAAAAATCCCGGTACGCAAACGCCCGGCCACACCTTTCCGCCCCAAGCAACCGCGGCCACGCGCGCAAGATAGCCGGGTCGGCATGCACGGGCTGCACGGAGGCCGTGATACCCAGGGCCCCGAGCCTCTTTGCATCCTCGGGCGCAGTGAGCTCGAGATGTTCAATGCGATGCCGGGATCCGGGCGTCGCCACGCTTTCCAATGCGTCGATGGCAAGCTTCACCGTCGCGTCGCCGATGGCGTGTAATGCGCATTGCAGACCAGCGCGGTCTGCCTTCCGGACTACCTTTTGGAGGATATCTGCCTCCCAAAGCGGGGCGCAGTTCTCCCCGTTCGAAGCGTAGGGTTCTGTCAATGCAGCCGTGCATGCATCCACAACCCCATCGCAGATAACCTTGATACCGGCGATCCGTAAATCGGGACTCGTGGTCGCGTTGTATGTTTTATGTAATTCAATTGCCCGATCCACCTGCTTCAATACTTCCCCTTCATCTTCCTTCGGTGAAATAATCCAATGCGCCGCAACCCGCACATTCACTTCCTCCCGTTCCCGAAGCGCAAGTACCGTCTCCCACAGATTCTCATCCGTTGCCATCTCCACCATCCCCGTATACCCGGCCTTCGTATACTCCCTGACCGCCGCGCGGATGAACCCCAGTTTCTCCTCGAGAGTGGCCACTTTCGCGACGTGCGGCCAGACAATGTTAACTGCTGCTGCTTCGCTGAGCAGGCCGGTGGGCTTTCCGGTCTCGTCGCGGTGGATGACTCCGCCGGCCGGGTCGGGGGTGTTGGAGACGCTGAGTTCGGTCAGGGCGGCGGTGTTGCACCAGGCGGAGTGGAGGTCTTTGGAGTCGATGAAGATTGGGCGCGGGTCGAGGTCGTCCAGCATGGAGGCGAGGGCTTCGCCGTTGGTCATGGAGTGCATCCAGCCGCGGCAGAAGAGCCGGGGGGTTGTCGGGTTGGCGGTTGCTGCTGCTTTGATGGTGGCGCGGATGTCGGATAGGGACGTGCAGTTTCCGAGGTTGATTTTGGAGAGGCTGGCGCCGAAAAGGAGGAGGTGCATGTGTCTGTTTATTTCTTCTTTAGTTTCTGGTGTGGTGTGGTGTTATTGTATATAGATAGTTTGGGGGGGGGGGGGGGGGTGTGGGATTGAGGTGATTTTATATAGTATATCTGTACGTACCCATCAATGAAGCCGGGCAGGACTTTACGACCTCCCAGATCATGGATCTCACTTTCTGGGTGGAGAGTCCTTGCGGTGGATTCCTCGCCCAGGTAGATTATACGGTCGTTTTCCGTGACCATGCATGTTGGGTTGGAGGATCGCGGGGTGATGAAGTGGGCGTTTTTATAGAGGGTTTTCATGGTGAGAGAATATGTTGTTTTATTGACGATTGTATAGGAATTGACTGGGAGGAAGAGAGAAGAGAAAGACCGAGAGACAAAGTTGTCTGAGGGGTAAAGACGTTATATTTATCGATAAAGCTAATCTATGGTAGGGCGCGATTTAGGGCGCATGGCATGTGGAGTATCAAGGAATGTGGAGATAAATGATTAAATATGATCTGATAAATTATCCATCCCACGATCGACTTATCTATGTCTCCTCCGGCTTGATAACCAAAAAAATAAACGGTTCATTACTGCGTAACACTTCCAGAGTGACTCTTATATGTCCATTCCACCCATTGTCCAATTTACCATGGATCCCAGCTCTATATCACTTCCCGTAGCTGGACCGAAAGACCTGCCATGACCGTATCAAAGCAAAGAACATGAAAGGTGTCGCATCGTGAAAGACGGAGACAACGTTACTGGTTGCCTCCTCCGAAATGGCTTCGAACCCAACCAGCGAAGCCTCCACCTTGATTGTCATTCCGACTGGATCGTCCTTGATCCTGTTCTTGTCCTCCCATCTCTGGCCCAGTCCCGTACCACTGTGGCGGCGACTGTCCGCTATGCTCGGGAGCAGCGCCACTCGGACGACGGGGTGACGTCTCCGGGCTACTGTTTATGACTACCGGGTTCTCGCTGGTTCCTTCGGGTCTAGAAGGCCCAATTAGTGACTGAAGCAGACCCTGGCGTAATTGAAAACTTACTCTGCCGGAATGTTGATGCCTCGCCGGCAGTGGGGACACGTATTGTGCTGGCTCAGCCACATCTCGATGCACGTGTAGTGGAACCAGTGCTTGCAGGGTAGTACCGTGACCTCCGTGCCTAATTCCACCGGGTCCATGCATATCGAACATTCTGCCTTGCCTTCGCTACCTAGCATCTCCTGATCAACTTTCTTCTTCGGCAGAGACTGGATCGCATTGGGAGCAGCGGGTGGTGGTGCTGTCCCGCGTGCGTTTTGATCAATCAACTGTGATATTACCCGGTCCAGCTCTTCTTGCGAGTAGACCGCATCGCCATGCCGATCAAGGTTGAGGAGAGTCGACAAAATCGCAAGGGGATTCGGCCCGGTCATGACACGGACTCCGGGGCCATTTCCTGTTGGTCCATTGTTTCCGAAATCGGCTCGGAACAGCTCAAGAATACTATACAAGTCAGCAATCTCTCCAAGCTCGCTGCATCCAAGGGAGAGAACATACTCGCCCAGAGTTCGTAGGGGAGTACCCATAGGCTGTGGACCATCTGCGTCACGAGGATGCAGTCCCCCTGTCGTATTGAACTCGGACCCCATGCTCCCATTACTCCGCGTGTTCATGTCGATATCAAACGATGTGCTGTATACCCTCGAACCATTTGGGCTGAACCCTTGGCTCTGTCTGTCGCTCCTCCATATTCCCGGTGATGAATCTCGCTCATTCGGTTGCCTGTACTCCGTCTGCCGGTAGGTGTCGGCCAACCCATGAAAGATAGTGTCCAAGCCGCGCACCATAGGCATCAGAGGATCCGCCGGCATTTGCTGACCAGACGAACCACGGCGTGTGTATGTAGTGCTGGAAAAAGTAAACCGGCCGTCCGGAGATCTGTACGTGCGGTGACGGAACCCATTGCCTGAGCCCCAGTCAGGGGTGTCTCTATCCAAATCATCATGATCCCAGGGGTTGTGATCTGCCCATGGGTTTCTTGGGGGAGCTGGCCGGTCCTCAGGAACGGATGTTGGAGGGTCGGGGACTTCCTCTTCCGTATCTGGCGGAATTTCAATCTGGCCCGTCAGTATTGGTGCCCAAATCCACTGTCGTATAGCATGAAAAGCGGTAGAAGAAAGGATGACACACAATTTCGGTGAATTCAGAGTGACAGTGTGGGCACTCCAGCCCATAATCTCTGCGTAGCCAGACCCCGCCACAGGCATGACAAAACATGCGATCCCCCACATCGGCCATGACGGAAGTGTCAAGGTGGAGAGGTAGTTTGTCGTGGTGAAAATCAGGAGGTGAAACGGTGTTCAACACAACAATGTTCAGATATAGTATCACTAGGCAGACGGAATCGAAAGATTGTACAAGAATGTCAGCCGTCGGACAATTGTAGTTTGTACTAGTAGTAGTAGTAGTCGAAGAGTCGCAATGCCTCGAGTCGAACTGCAACGTCACTCATTGTTTCGGGGCTACTATGCACGTTTTGCAGGCCAGATCAGTTGATCTGTTTGTGGACTAGCGTTTCAAGTCTGCATTATAAGGTGAGGCGATGATTTAGAATCGTGTTGAAGTCGGTGGAGAAAGAAAGAGAATAAATGATTGGGGAAAGTCGGAGTGTCAGGCGGATGACGTTTACCCTCACGGAAAAACCAATGAATGAAATCAAGTGACTTGGCTATTTTGTATAGTTTCTGTTTCTTCGAATTCATTCCCCTTCCCTTCCCTTCCTTCTCCTTCGATTATCATTATGAAAATAATAACAAAAATAGCATACGTGGCCGGCCATTCAAAGAGTCATGTAATAATCACAAAAGCCAGCATGATCATGGATAATACAACGCCATCGCATGCGAAACATCCCACCAACAAAAGAGCAACAACAAAGAGCTACCATATATACACAGCGTAGATTCCCGACCTCCCCAAGGCACAAAGCCATTCACTAAGAGAAGACACACTATTACCGTCTCTTAGCGCCCCGGAACACCATACCTCCCACCAAACCCGCGGCGAGAGCAAGTCCACCCACGATCGCAAACCCCATCAAGCCTTCCTTAGACACTCTCTCATCGATCAGGGTACCGAGGCTGGCGGCCTGAAGGTTGGCGGGCTCCTTTTCGAGCAGAAGATCGTTATATCGTCGGGCTTCCCCGTAGTTTCCGAGCTTGTAGTTACCGAGGGCTAGATAGTAGAGACATTCCCGTCGACGTTCGGGAGCAGCGCGGAAGATCTCTGATAGCAAGCGAACTCCTTCCTGTTGATCCGGTCGGGCGTTGGATTTGATCAGGCCCTAGTTAAGACCGTCAGTTAGTCAACATGGACATACGAGAGCCAGAGCCAAAGCTAGGACATACCCAGGCAAAGTTGAACTTGGTTTGAATACCGACATAGTCACCTTCCTTTTCGTACTGCGCCCGCAAGACCTGGAGCTCCGCTGGCTTTAGCGGACTGCAATATGTTAGCTGGAATCAACATGAGCAGGGGCGTCGACAGTATCAGCGACCTTTCAGCATCGGCGGCATCTGCAGAACCACCAGTCAGTCTCGCCGTTCAGGACACCAAAACAATAGCACGGGTAGGGTCAAGAACGTACAGGGCAGGTTGGAACCCATGTTTTCAGATAGACAGCCTTTCACGAACTGCAAAATCAAGCGAATAAATAAGGAAAAGTAAAATCTGAAGCAAACTTCCGTATGTATCGAAGAATGATAGGCATCCAAATCCAAGCGCATGAATCTGACCCTCCGTCACGGGTGGCGGTGCAAGTGGCGCTTAGTGGCTGATCCAATCAGTTGCTCCCCCAACGCCGCATATCAACATTCATCGTACCGTCGGTATCAACCCCACGCATATATCGGCCAACAACTGCAAGCCTGTTTGTCGCGGACCAATACCACTCCTAATCTAGTCACAATGTTGCTCGACGAGAATCCAGGCACGGTATGTGCTTCAAAACCATCGGGGAACCTGAATACTGACGCGTCGCAGCTTATCCACCATACCATTGGAAATTTCAACATCCAACCGGACAAACAAGCTGTCACTCGCATTAATGACTCCTTATCGACCCTTCAGCAGTCGCGCGAGCTGCGTATGCGGGAGGCCGAGTCCTCGCTGCGAAAGCTCTCCCGCCACCTTCACACCTTAAACGCACAGCATGAAGAAGCGGTAGCCGCACATGACTCGAGTAAACATGCGGCGGATATGGTTGAACTGGACACAAAGAAATTCCGCATCGCAAAAGCAGCCACGGAACTTGAAATTGAGAGCGAACGACTGGAGAGTGAGCTGGAGATGTTGAAGGAACGATTGGCGGATTTGGAGGCTCAGGGGCTGGAAGGAGATGAAGCCACGAGACGGGAGAGAGAGCTGGACGATGCGACAATGTGGGTAATCAGAATTCTGTATAATGCTCGCTCATTGCTAACTGACCTAGTCTTCGCCTCAAAATTTACCGCTCCCTTGGCGTTGACATTGAGGCCGACAACGCGGGCAATTTCAACAAAGCCGTCATCCGCAATAGTCGGAAAGGGGACGTGCACGTCGTTAACATCGACCCCAAGTTCTCGCGATTCTTCTACTCCAACTACTTTTGGTCGACCTTGCAAGGTTAGCCGAGGGAAGGCTCTGTCATGTAACGGCGTTTACTGGTTGGTGCAGTATAATGTCTAGGCGTTAACTGGTGACGATGCTATGATTGCGTTTTATTTGGATATACCCTGGTTTCTGTGCAAATAATATACAGTATATACATATTTACCTTTTCGCGGCTCTTCACCGTCGCAGTACCAACGTGTCTCTTTTGTGTCACGTAGATGTATGCTTCATGCCCGATGCTGCCTCAACTTGAGCAGACTTGCTGTCCAGATACTGCATGATCCTCACCCTATCCGTATCAGTCAAGGTACTACAAGACCCTGTTCCAAAAAGCAGAGGCTTCTCTTCCGGAAAAAGCTCCTGAACAGCATCTAGCAGCTCCGACTTGTTCCTCTGCCATCCATTGAAATCATCACCCCACGACCGCAACCAGCTATCCTCAACTGCACTGACCTGACTCTCTACCTGTTCCATATTGGGAATCTCCTCCCCGTCCCAGGTGAGAACAACCCCCTTCGACGAATCTACATCTTCGTCCGCCGAATACCTCACCTCAACGCCCAGGTTCACCAAGCCTAGTGATTCAGCCCTCCCATTCCACAAGACCTGGCGTAATGCCCCGTCCCGCTCAATCATCATCCACATCAGCGGATATGAACTTCTAGCCAGGGCATCTCGAACACCCTTCGTCGCCTCCCGCGGACTAACCAAAATGCCGACCTCATCGCCTGTCCGCCATCCCACCGGCGACTGGTTAAAGGTCCCTTCCAGCTCGCGGACCAAGTTTGGACCCAGTTTAGTTTTCAGTGATTTACATTGCACGATCACCCGAAGAGGATGTTCGCGGCGCGGAAGGTGCCAGGTTCCCACGAGGTCGATGCCTGCATCGTCACGGCCGCCGACGCGGTGCAGCGTGAAGGCGGAGGAACGGAGGGTTCGTTGTACTATATACTCGTAGTGCGTACCTATGTACGCTGTAGTATTAGAGGAGAGAGAAGTCCGCTCTGCGTAGGCAAGGAAGGAGGGGAGGTCATGGTGGTTGGCAGATGGATGTGGTGGAGGAGAGGGGAGCTTGAAGAGACGGCGCGTGAAGGAATGCAGTGGGCGATGACATTGGCGGCGGACAACAGAGGTGAGATTGAGTCGGAAGAAGGAATGGAAGGGACGGTGGAGCTTCATATCAGTTTCCCATGATATGTTACACGCGTGAAGTCTTTAATGTTTGCTTATGCGGGTTGCCATTTAAATTGATCATTGGAGAAAGTTGGGGTTGAGTCTAAATATATGGAAGGAAATTAAATCTTATCGCCGGCGATCTCCAATTTATCGCCGATCAACCTCAGGCAAAAGCTACAGGACCTCTTTGATTCAATTGTCACCACCTTCACTGGATATTCAACCTCGCCTTCTCACCTCCTTTCAAGTCCGCTCTATATTCTCCACCATGGCAGACATTCTAACGCAACTCCAAACTTGTCTCGACCAAGTAAGACCCCCCCCAACCATGATTTCATGCCCCATCCACACACTGTGCAAACTAACCACCGTGACAACCAGCTCGCAACCCAATTCTACGCCACAGTAGGCTACCTCGTCACCTATCACGATAATTCACCCGCGATCCCACCCCAAAATGAGCCCACTGCCGCGCCCGCCCTCGCCAAAATCACCAAGAACTCGACCGCGCCGCCCGTCCCCGCCGGCGCGCCTGCTGCCTCCCAAGCATCTCCACAACAGCAAGCAGCCCAAATCCCAGGCCAACAGCAGCAAGGAGGCGGCGATGCAGGACAGACACCCGGAGCTGGAGGAGGAGCTGGAGGGACGCCCGCGGATCCGAATCTACCGCCTGCGCCAGATTCACCGCGGACGTTTGCGAGCCGGCAGCGCGAGTTGGCGAGGGATCTGGTGATTAAGGAGCAGCAGATTGAGTATTTGATCTCGGTACTTCCTGGAATTGACTCGTCGGAGGCGGAACAGGAGAGGAGGATTAAGGAGCTGGAAAAGGAGCTGAGGAGTGCTGAAGAGGACAGGGAACAGAGAGTTCGGGAGTTGAGGAGGTTGCGAAAGAAGCTGGAGAATGTTTTGGGAGCCGTTGAGGTAGGAATTTATGGAGATCGCGGAGTCGTGGTATCTAGGAGGTGATTGTATAGCTGTCCTACTGTGGGGCGTGTTTTATTTGGTCTCCATCCCGATTTTATAGATATGGAGTTGTCGTCCTATAGACGTTTAATGTTACCTACGAAGCTTCGGACTAACTGATCGTGAATACCTCCGGAAATCGTTGAGCACAGGTAGATTATGAGTAGTACCTGTTGTCTCTCTTCTACACTGCGGCTATGAGGACCATGGTCTATATGTGAGCCAGGTGTGTCCTACGAAAGCTTCAACCTTGAAACGTATCCTCTACTCATATCTTCCTCCAGCATTTCATCTATGTGATGACTCTAGGACTTCTCCTCGAGTCCCCGCCTGCGACAGTGCTTTTGACTGGAACAATCTCAGGACGACGGTCTAGACAAACGATCTTCCCGGACCCATTCCCCAGAGAAAGGTTTACCTACCCTAGGACACCGTGCTACGTCGGTTTCTGGGTTCCCTGTTATACGCATTGCAACAATAACAATATCCTGAAGTGTGCCACGGACATCGAACGATAGTCAGGTTTACTTTCGCCATTAGACTCCAGCGAGTGATCACTTATATTCTTCAAGGAGCTCTATTCCCGAGATTGCGTAAAGTAATCAAACTATACATAAAAAAAAAAAAAAAAACTCAGTTGTACAAGCACTAGCTACTGATAATAGCATAACTCTTTCCGAAGACTTGTTCGTAACTACTAGATAAGCAGACACTTGGGGTACATAACATTTGTAGTCTTGGCATGGATAAGAATGCTACCAGGAGAAGAGGCCCCCTGTAGTCTTTTGGCGAAAAGATAGCTTGGGTATCTGATGCTCTTAATGCATCCTGCCAGTATGCTTTGTAAGTAAGACACTTTTCAGCAAGGAGCTTAGTCTGCAGATCATCGAGTGCCTCGTGAACACCGTTAGATGAAGCTCCCGGAATGGCCCACAACACAAGGCTTTCATCCACCTCAATATGCTCAATGGGGCCAATATGTGATATCAAAGATTGTGCTAAGAGCCTGATTCATCTCTCACATAGAGGCTCTAAAGTTTCATGAGGAGCCTTGGTAGACCGTGCCCTTACTGTATCAAAACTTCTTCAGGGGAGTCGATGATATGTGCGATCTCCATGAAAAACCTAAAGCGTGCCAATCAATACAGAGAGTCTTCGTTCCCCAAAACAATTCCTGGATATGTCAATATGGCAGACGATGTCTCGAACATTACTGTAACTAGTACTCAAGTCAACAATAACACCAGCCATATTTACAGCCCCAACGAATGAGCGAGCTATGTCACTGATCAATCGGCCGAAGTAACAGAACAAACACTTCTGCATCTCTTTGAATGTGCATAAATAAAAGTTGGGCCCTGGGACTCATTCCAAACATATAACTACTACAGAATTCTAAGATGGCAGCATGGAGAGCATAATGGGTTGAAACTCATAGTCTCCGGCAACGAACATCTAGCACATATCTCATAGACATATAAGCACGGCCATTTCTAGTTGAAGGCATGTTCCTGTCCTCAATGGCTAATTCGACCCCAGTGCCCACGCAATCATACACAATATCACAACAAACGGTAACCAGAGGAGATGAAGTGGCAGTCATGCTTCATAATGAGTGGGAAACCATACCAGGTAGTGGAACGTATACAGTGATTATTGGTCGAGGAAACCAACTTCTGCTTTGTTGCTACGCTTATCCCCTCTTTTACAGGAAATATTGCCTTTTAATACACCTCGGGAGGATGGTATGCATGTTGGTGATTGCAAGAAAGGACTAGTGTATTCACATTCCAATGGGAGACGGTGGCTGTCTTGCAGCGGGTGTGGCAAAAGCTAACCAACATCGACTATCACCCTAATGCAGGGGCTAATCGCTTTGGAACCTCACTGCGTGAGGTGCGAGCTCGTATTATCTGGCTTTCTGTCGCATATGAATGGGTCCTATAAGGTATCTATAATATCAGTGTAGCTCTTAAAGTTTCCTTTCTTAGGGACTTGCCGGAACTGACCTATTCAGTGTGCCGAGTGCCATTGAAATTAATCCGAGGCGTCTCTAGCTATGCAGGGAACAATCTTATCCGAGGTTTCATGGGAGTTCGCATTAGAGCCGTCATCTTACCACCTATGTGATGGGTGGGCAGCGGATGGATCCATATCCCTGTTGCAAGGGTCCTGATAATTATGAAGCCCCGAGGACCTGAGTGGCGACGACCGATAGTATGTATGCCTTGGTGAGATGCTTAGATGATTTCTGAAGGTCTAGCAGTCACTGTATGAGCCGGTTCATTCCCACAATCAGCTTGCTCATTTCATTTATCCTAACTTGCTGCAGTTGCTTTGGATGATGTCCGGACCCTGTTGGACATGACTGGCCCCACCATGTCCTTGAAACACGGCGGCAATGACATGGTGATCTGCAAAATGTTATCCCCTGGTGACATTCTATTTAAAGTGGCAGTATGGCTATGCTAAACTAGGATCGAAAACGAAAAAGAAAAAGAAGACCCGGTTAATGTAACGTAGGGCTATTGTTAGACTTTTGGGGGTGTTCATTGGCGCAGTCCCGCTGCTAGTCTCCGTGACTAGAGGCCGCCGGTTGTCGGTTAAAGCCCCATAAGCATCGCAATACGCTGGGTTTCTCGATAAAATTTGAACTTCGTTTTAGCAGATTTGGGGGCCGTCTCCACTATGGTCGGCCTTATATGGATTTAATCTTATTCTTAACCCTCTCTCCCTTTCTTCTTCGCCTCTCCATACTACTTGATATATCGTCCTTGAATACCATACTGATTTTATATCAAACATCACCAGAAAATGAAGCTCTTCTCGACCTCGGCCGCCTACCTGGCCATCCCGATGGCCCTGCTTGTCTCGGCCCAGAGGAGTACTGAGAGCCTAGTCGCCTGCTACGGCGACAGTGGTACCTTTGAAGAAGAGGGTTCATACCCATACCAAAGCCCGGGATATTGCGCCAACCTCTGCAGAAAGACGGACGCACAGTATATGGCCCTGCATGCTGGTAACCAATGCTGGTGCGGTACTTCCCTCCCGGACAAGAAGTCCCTCGTGGCAGACGACAAATGCAACACCAAGTGTTCCGGATGGCCCGATACAACTTGTAAGTATTGCACGTGTCAGGAGGTATGCATCAGCTGGAATAGGTGCTAATCAATGGCTGCTTTAGGTGGTTCTGATGATGCGTGGTCTGTTTGGCAACTTAGCCCCTCTTCGAAGGAGGTGACTGAGACTGCCTCGACTTCGACATCGGCCGCTATCTCTCACAGTGGTAACGCTACCGTTACCTCGACCTCGTCCAGCCTTGCAAGCGCTACCCCCGGATCGAACAGCACTGCGTCTGCCACTAAGTCGGGAAATGCATCCCAGAGTGCCTCTTCGGCGGGCGCTACTCCCACGACTTCTACCTCGGCTGCGACTCGTCGGTTCAAACTTCCTTTTTTCCTGTAATATAGGAGCACTGGACTATTTTTGACGAGGTTCTTTGCTTGGGGTATTTATTTCAACGGTGGCTGATCTGCCTGGAGCTGCTCAGCCTTGAATCAGCTGTAAAACTAGTATACCACTCCGTCTGAAATTTGACCAACAATTAAAATACATCACCATCTCCGAGAACAGATGCAGGTGATCTTCAAGGACAGAAATTGAAACATTGTATAGATAGCTAAACATATATCTGACCTTGGACTCTAAAACCACAAGTTAGAGAAACAGCCATCGCATCTTCATATGGAACCGTAGTAGACTTAAAGCGGATGAGTGATGAAACAAGCATGTGCAGAGTACATAAGGTGTAGCACTATCGACTTGCTGTCGTCAGGGACCTGCTAGACAGGCTGTGTACTGGATTTCGTCGTTCAGCCCTGAGCTTTGCAGCTACTCCTCGTCGTTTCCAGGGAGTTCTGAGCCCCGTGATATCATTCTCAAATGGTAGCGTCTCTGGTCGTGCGATACCAGTTATCATTGATATTATATACCGAAGAAAGAAGACCATCAGTTGGGTTTCCACTCCGCGCTATATAGGCTCTAATTGTCCACGGGCGATAGGATAGAATGATAACAACGATCCAGGCAGATAATGTGAATGTTGCATAAAAGATGGTTAAAATAAGTAGATAAGAGGAACGGGGAAGTAGAACTGTGTTGGATTCCTCTAGGACAATCCTAGACATGTATGCTAAGTAGTAACGATAGAAAAAAAGGAATAAAGAGAAGAAGAACTATGTCAAGACTATATATGATGTAAGTAGTTTGTATTACCCTAGAATACAACGCATGTTGCTACCGCGTTTCATACGGCATACAAGAGAGCAAATCCCTATCTATACAATGCAACACCCAACAAACGACGCTCCCTCTCTTTTATAAATCTCGTAGCAAGCCCCAAAGAATGCTCCAGCATTAGTAACACCAATGATGATTAGAAGAACACACAAAGCAATCACTATAAGTTTCACAGAGCGCATGCGTATAACAACGAGGGTGGGAACAAGAGCTCTCATCATTTCTCCGTAGCTGTGCATCATGGCTCTGAAGGGTAACCTCCTGGACCTCTCCGTTATATAACTCTGAGCGAGAGCGCTGCTCGTAGACTCTTCTTGCCGATGCCATCGAAATGTCGAGCTCCTCACACAAGCCATCTGCTGCCACGGCCAGAATCTCACCATCGTGATCGAGTAGGTAATACCCTCCGTTTCGATCATCCAAGGTTCCCTTTGAGTACGCGGCCGCCATGTCGTTGAGCTGCTGGCGCGTCTCCAGAATTAGGGTTCCTGCTGGGACGGGGACAGTGTATCTGGTTAATGATGCGAGGGCCGTTGCTACGGTCAGGAGAAAGAGCACAAGGGTCCCAGAAAGGTTGGATAGAATCATTTTATGAGTCTGTTGTATTGTGAGCTGGTAGCAATTCTATTGCGGGCTGGAGGGGCCGCTTACGTGATTTGCGTCGACGCTAACGAATCCTTAAATTGCTTTTGATATACCAAGCCTTGAGTGCCAAGCTCGTACTGAGTCAAAGTCGAAGTGAAGCTATGAAAGAAAATAGGCAAGACTGCAAATTTTATGGTGGATATTAAACGTCTTTCACGAAACCAAGATGACGAGGCTGAGGGTTGCTCGGATGTTGAGAAAACAACCCGCTTATCTATTTTGATAGAGTTAATATAATTCTAGTCTCCAATCAGGTCACACATGTTGTAGGCTAGCCAATAAGGCATGAAGAAACCCTACACTATAAGACAAAGAAATTAATCTGACAGCAGTCGATGCTACCCTACATGTTGCCCCTAGCCACAATCTCCCGCACGGGTGTGTTTCGTGTAGTTTCGATCCATAACGGACTGTGGTGTCTAGTAGAATCGGAATTTGTGCCTTACATACTTGCATCGTAGATTAGTGCTGAGTTATATAGACTAAGTCATTTTTGGGCTCATTTTAGTCTACCTACAGTATACAGTTAGGGCTAATCATAACTCCCTTCTACCTCAGAAAGCTTCTTGTTCTGCTGATTGACTTTCAAACTTCTCAGTATAGGAAAACAGTGGAGATGTTTCTAATACTAGATGATCCTAGCTCCTGAGAATGTATACTGTCAATTAAGAACGATATTGAGATAGGGCCACGTATACGCGGCAGCGACAGGAAAGAAAGGGGAATAGGAGAGGAAGTTAGGGCACCACAGATTGATTTCTGTTCCGAATCCCCTTCGCCTTCCATCTCCTATCCACTACTGGACCTGAAAAAGATCTGGCTGCGCCCATTCCCCAGGGGAGCGGTCTTTGCCATAGTTTCTGGGAAAAGTTCGCTCTGACCCGGAACTAACCGTGTTTTCACCTATTCATGCCCCTTACTACATCTCCCATCTCCACCACCTAACCTTACATAGTGGATAAATGAAACATGTATGCACGATGTAAAATGTTTGGTTCGCGCCATTTGCCTCAAGACATCAAGCTCTGGTTGTATGGCGCCGGAGGCATGCTCACGAGGCTCAGAAGAGAAAAGGGACTCTCATATTATCCAGGAAGCAGTGCGTTTGACTTATACTAATATATCTAACTAGTAATATATGAGGTAACATTTCCCAGTCAGGGATTACATATCTTTTCAATTACGAGATATGCCAGCCGTACTTGACGAAGGTACACACATCATATCATACTAGACAGAATTCAGAGAAGATTTTCCCTATTTCTTCTAATGAAACTCTGAAAATCAGGCCTACTTCAGCCGGGCGGACCATGGTCTAATTCTTCTGTTGCCCGTCAAACGATTCTTTATCGGCTCATTCACACCGAGTCATAATAACATGAGGGTGATATCACTTATATTTGATCTGCAACCTCAACCAACCTCAACCATAATATTCAAATCACAATGTCCTCCCTCGCTTGTTGCTCCCTATGTATGGCCGTATATATAGACACTTAACAACAATCATGGCACAGAAGCTTCAAATCTGATTTACTAAATAGCCAAGTAGAAAACTGCATTCAGCTATAGTCACTTAGAAGAGACCACAATAATATTCGAAGAGCAAAAGATTGGTAGACTAATCAGGCAAAAAGACTGACAGATATTTTGCGGCAAACCAAATCGGATTCAGTAAACATAGGGTAGCTGATAAAACTATAAATCAGTAAAGGATTCTCTATTGAGCGAAGTCGGAGGAGTGTCTGCCCAGTTTGAGCTAACGTTAAACCCAGTTGTCAAGCGATATCCACGAGCTGATGGGCTGCGGTGCACTCAACAGGGCAGCTTCATACTTGGGCATATGAATCCGTGCATGCTGATCCTCAGAGAGAACGTACAAAATATCATTTTTGCATGAAAGGATCGTGCTAGCTGTGTCAAAACCAGCCTGGACGAGAGATGGCCACGACTCGGCAATTGTGCCTTGCCATATGATCTTCACATCTACCCATTCCAAGCCTCGGAAGGAATATGTTGCCCGTTGACCCTTGGACCCCTGGGACAACCATTGCCGCGTCTCTTCTATCAAACTAGGCTTTTTTCAGGGACTACCAGCTCGAAGCAATAGGTCAGGATTTACTATTTTGGAATGCGGCAGGCGGCGTCAACCATGATGAATCAAAGAGGGATTTGACTTGATTCGCGATGAGATTTCCTTGAGGAGAAAGAGAGAAAATCCAAGTTGTGGAATTCTCAAGGATGCAGGGAATTGTGGCCAGGTTGGATGGTCTGGTGCTCCCCAAGTTTATATGACTCGCCGCGATTTCTGCCTATGTATGAAACTTTCACTACTCTACTCCCTTTTATGAAGTATGTCGTATTTAGCACGTTAGCTCACCTGCGTCTCTTAAATATTAGTCTGCATAATACCTAACAATATGTATGTTTCGACAGTCGGCCAGAGAGGCCTGCTGCATGATCTAATAGAAGGAACATGTCTCTTATGGATATGTCGTCTAGTGCATATGTTATTTGGACCTATTCTACTAGGAAGCAGCCTCATAACCTTGATTACTAGGGGCTGCCAGCTCAACGAACTGGCAGAATACTTGCGCAGCGAAAGAATCACATAACCTTTTATTACACTACCTAAATTACTAAGATTATTTAAAAGATTTATAGTATATTATTTAGATTACCTAGATTTTCTAAACCAATTACCTATCTAGATTACTTTCCTAGATTACCTACCCTACTTGAATAGGCTGTACAGGTATTGTAGCGTGTTTAAATAATCTAGAAATTGGTTAGATTACTAGAGATACACTGCCCAGATTATCTAAATAGACTTGAAATAATTATATAAGACGAAGCGGAAGGTGACATCTACAGCGGACTAACCAACACCTCACCGCTACCCGAAAGGCCATTACTGACAACCAAAAGATCTATCCTCTCCGAAATGACTTTCCAAGAACAGAAGTGGGTGGCCTATGCATTCCGTTAAAGGATTAAATGATATATACTGATCATGCCATATGTCCTTATGTGGTCGGTAATAGGATCATGCTCCGGTTAGGGGTCCCATACCATCAACAAGAGATAACGGCCATAAGTACCCGCGTTTGTGAACCATTCACACTTTCTTCTGTAATGGTTGTTCTTTTAGACTCTCCAGGTCTGGGATTAAAGGGTCGCCTGGTGTTGAAGCTCTTCGACCGACGCTTTGCGCCCCAGCTCAGAAAGGACCACAAACTTAAACCTTGGACGTCGGACATCGAACGCCAATATCATGATTTTGTCCATGATGGTTGTGCTTTAGAATTTATCACCAGACTTAATACTGATAGTAAAATGGCCGAGGAAGCAGGAGACACATGGAATGACCCCCAAAATGAAGCGTATCTCCATGACCATATGCAGGATCTCTGTGAGGCGGAGGTTGAGGTGTACCAGACCCTAAAAGACATCCAAGGGAAAGATATCCCTCAGCTATTTGCCTACCTGACAGTGCCTAGCTCCTCTTCATCGCAGGAACTGTCGGTCAATACATATATTGATGTCCCAGGGGTTCTTTTGCAGTGTATGGACGGTTTTCTATTGACCGATATTGCTGCGCACGCTCCGCAGGAGGTCTGGCAGTCCGTCTGTGATGATGCCATTCAGATTGTTAATCTGATAGGTGATAGAGGAATTCTAAATGAGGATGTCAAGACAAGGAACTTGATTGTGCAGGAAAATTCAGGAAGGAAGTTCAAGGTGTTTATGATTGATTTTGCCTTATGCAATTTCCGCAGGGAGTATGGGGATGAAACGGACTGGTGGAAATGGAAAGCAATCCAGGATGAAGAGGGGGCAGTGGGATATGTCATGCAGAAGTATTTGCATGGAGGCTTTGTCTACCGTCGATCTGGTCAATATAAACAGCTGGACAGGAAATTTAAGATGGCAGACATGTATTGATTCACGGAATCGGTCTGGTTCATGTAATCTTTTTAAAGGCGCATTCACACTGCTCTTCTCTTCTTAGAGCTCAGTACTGAATTTTTGCTCTCAATGATTGTCACACTCTGGTTTTATAACTCATCTTTTAAACATTTTAACAAGGTAAGGATGGTTGCAGGAGGATATGTATGACCTGCGGCCCTTACACAAGGTGTGTCTGTGTAGCTAGACAATTCAATAATTGATGTCTAACAGATTCGTAGAATCTTGATTGATCATATCTCTTCTTATCTCCATCCTCCTCCTCATTATAACCAACGGGTCACACCGACAGGACGTTTCACCGTGATCTTTTCTCGGGAAGAACCTCCACTAATCAACTAACTATAAACAGACTCTTAGGTGAGGTTTATCTATCGTATCATGACAGGATCTTACCTCGATACTCCCTTTCGATCGAGCCAGATACCGATATCTAAGAGTCAACTAGCATGAGATATGCGTCGTTTCAGGCGTTTCTCTAGGCTCGTACGCAGAGATGGTGTCGTTTGATTAGATGGATTCAGCGATTAATAGAATAGTAGCCCATCAATTATAATGACACATGGAAGTAATATTAGAATAGCAATGGCATTGCCGTGAATACCATAGCATCAAACTAGACAAGTCCGCGGGATCGGCTTAGAGTGACGGCTGTACCACAGTCTAGATGCAGACAATGATCAGGAGCATGAGAAGTCTACCCTCGGTGGCTATCCTAGTGGTAAGACCGTGCTTGCTCAGATTCTTGCCTCTGGCTTGTATCCGAGTTTCCAACGACTATAAATCCTGCCGAGCCGAATGTCGGGTTATCTGGGCGAAATTTGTAGACCGACGCTCGGCTCGGCATTTCCACCATAGCGTAGTCAACGAATCTCAACATAACATCAGAAATGAATATATATTTCGACAAAATCTCCTTCTTTTCAAACTCCTATTCATACAGAAATCATCACTGATCCCCAAAGCATACATATCAAACTTTCCCATCTCCCAAAATGGCAGCACCCCAAACCGTGACAGTCGAATATAGCGGCAACCTCGCCATCGTGACTCTTGACAACCAAGAGAAACTCAATGCTCTCAGTCAAGAAGACTACTACAAACTAGCCTCCACACTGAGAGAAATCGCCCAGCACGACGAAGTCCTGGTCACGCTGCTAATCGGCAAAGGCCGCTTTTTCTCCGCGTACGTACTTAACAAGCCCGCCGGCTATCCAAAGAACCATCCATGGTCCATGACTAGCAAGACATGCATAAAATACTAATATATGGCCGGGACAGAGGCGCAGATATTACCCGACCACCACCCGACCTTGGTAAAATCGAACCCCGCCAGTACTGGCTCCGCGCCCTAGTCCTCAACAACATCGATCTAGCCGATGCATTCTACACCCATCCCAAGATCCTAGTGACCGCATTGAACGGTCCCGTGCTGGGCCTCTCCGCGGCAGTCATCGCGCATTCGGATTTTATCTTCGCAACGCCTAAGGCATACCTCCTTACCCCGTTTTCGTCGCTTGGGCTTGTCACTGAGGGTGGGGCGAGTCTTGCCTTCGTGCGCCGTCTTGGTGTTAGCAAGGCTAAGGAGGCGTTGTTGTCTAGCCGGAGGATTCCGGTTGAAGAGTTACAGCAAGTTGGATTCGTGAACCAGGTGTTGGATGCTGGTGGGGACGAGGAGAAATTTAAGGAGATGGTGTTGAGTGAGATTCGAAGTCGGTTTGGAGATCATTTGGTGGGTTCTAGTGTTTTGGAGATTAAGAGGTTGCTTCGTGAGCCTGGGGATCGGGAGTTTAGTGCTCAGGCTGTGCAAGAGGTTTTTGGTGGGTTGCGTAAGTTTGTGGATGGTGTTCCTCAGGCGGAGTTTAAGAAGATTGCTACTGGGCAGAAGAGACACAAGCTTTAGGGAGTTGAGGCCCAAGGCCTAGCTTGTTTATTTATGTTTGATGGATGGGACTAGGGGCTAGGGCTAGCGAGATAGTTAAAGCACTGTTATTGTGAAATGGATCATCCTGAGTGAGGCGATTTCTTTCTTTAGATATAGCTCATTAATTGGGTAAAAGTAGGAGGTGCTCACTTCAATTGTCTATGAACAGTAATTACCCATCTTCTGGTTGAGCCTCTTGTAGTCCTTGCCTCATTCCAATGGACACTTGCAATGAATGAAGGACATCTGCTGAGTCGGGGTATGCAGAGCAAGCCTCTAATGTATCGTGTGCAGCGTACATAGAATTACTTGCGCCTTTCCGCAGATGATTCTTGCTTCTGAGTGAATAGCCAGACGTTTCTCGGTGTCCCATAGATGTACGTTGTGTCGAAGGAAAGCCTGGAGATATCTTGACGATGATCCGACTCTTGGGCAAAAGGAGATCTGGATTTGCTCGTCTTGGTCGAGTATATCTTTTCTTTCGGTGTTCTCCCACATGAGTCTCCTGACTTTGAGTCTCTAAATTAATCAGCGCCTCATTAAGCAGCGAGTCGAAGTATTTCTCGCTGTATATGAGCCGGGCGCCTTCGCGGATTGAACGTGCTATTGGCCAGACGGTTGATATAAGCTCTAAAACCTGAATGCAAGTTTCAATGTTCGCGCGCCATTGAAGGATTAGAGTGGGGCTAGAGGTAAGATTTTGACTTTTGGCAGCGCTTAGTACAGTTAGAACACTGTTTATACTGTGAGAAGGTTAGGTCATATTCTTGGAAGGATATGTCATATGGACGGGGCCGTACACTGATGGTGGAACATAAGTGACCTGTCCATGGGATATTATAGCCTGTATGATAGAGGCAATCGTGGAGCCTGCCTGCAAAGCTACGGCGGATGAAGCCGATGGGCGGGCTACTGCCGGGAGCAAGGCATGAAGTTGACATACCATCGTGCTGAACCTCTAGGTTAGCTTAGCCAGGAAAGAATAAATCACACACTTACTAGAAGATGGAGGATAGGATCGCGGACCAGAAGCTATGGCGTGATTGGGACCATCGCATTTGCTCAGGGCATTGTATCATCCATTGACTAAGACGAATCTCCCATTGGGCGAATTCAGATTCTGTGAGTGGTCCGGCTTTTCGCCGTCGGCCAACAACCAAATCCATCAGCTCACATAGTTTAACATACTGGATGAAGAACAGGACTTGAACCGAGTCAGGCTGATGCCCTTCGCCCTCGATAAAATCATCCTGTGAGATGGGATCTACGTTGGTGAGATCCGCGTCTATACTGATAGGCCTGCCATATGCGGCAGCCATGGCACGGTCTCTGGTGTAGAGAGTCCACCAGATCCGCCTCCAGACCCGGCGCTCTGAGAGCGACATCTCTAACTCATTACTGACAGTCAATGTTAGTTACAATTTATTGTTTAGAGAGTGATGGAGGGAAAGAAAGGGTGCAAGAGAGAGAAAACAAAAAAAAAAAAAAAAAAAGAAAGAAAGAAAGAGCGAGTAAAAGGATAAAGTGTAATATATGAACTGTGTATTCTAACCTTTGGTGCATCCCAAAGTTTTGTGCTACACCAATCGCCAACCTGCTCCAATAGAATAGTCCGTTTTCTGTGGTATCTAGAGGCAATGTTAAGTTGATACTATTTTTCGAGGAAACCGAAAGACCCACCTTCTGTTCCTTGCCAATACCAGCTCATCAGCAGTAATGACTGTACCACTGTGATATGGTCCTTCTCAAACTCTGCATCATAAAGGGCCTTTGCCCTTTGAAGATATACCATTGAGCTATGAGTCGCGGATGATGATTGTTTCTCGCGACTATTCTCCTCAACAACCCGCGATCCTGCGAGAAATATGGCTTGTAAAAGGAGAAGGGAAGGAGGATTCAGAGGGTCCTTATACATAGACAGGAAGACTCTCTGGTTGACGACAGGCAATACAGGGGCGACCCAGGAGAAGAAAGCGTCAATCAGTTGATCCTGTACATCCTGCGGAGGAATCTCCAAAGCTCCTTTAAGCTCGAGGATCGTTCGTTCTTCATCCTCCAGCAAGCTCAGGTGAGTTTTATAAGCACCATAGACGTCCATGTTCAGACTCAGTAGCTCTCTCCGGGTCTCAGCTTTTGCGCTTACTCGGGGGTGGTTAGTTAGTGGTTTCTAGTTATATGGGCTTATGTCAGCCTGTCATATGTAAATTTAGCTTTTCCGAGGTTATTTTGATTTCATTTTAGCCGTCGGGTTTTAGCCTACATAGCATGAAGCATTGGTACGTAGTCTGAAATATTATATGTTAGAAAGCGCTGTAGGAGTCTTCGAACAGCGGAGAAAAAGAGACTTTTCCGATTCCTATATATCAAATGGAGACTCCCTCCAAAGGGTCCGCTCCATATTCAGCTCATCCGCGTAGTCTTCATCGAATGCGTCGCGCATAATCTCCAAAGCCTCGTTGTTGATTTTGCCCAGATATTGCTTTCGTAAACTCCCAATACTCAGGAAAGTACCCAGCACACTCCCAATCCACTACCCTGGACAATCTACCTTGACTAATGATAATATCTGTAGAGTGAAGGTCCGCATGACTGAAGAATGACTTGTATGGGCGTGAAAGCACCGGGGTGATTGTGTGTCTGGTCTCAGAGGATGTGCGCTCAGGAATCGAGTATAAAGTGAAGTCTAACGTCTCGGCGAACGGTCCAAATTCACACCTAACACGATGATCGTACAGCGCATCGCCAAGTGTATTGGAGAAACAAAAAGGCATATGGTTTGGGATGCACCGAATCTGGTGGATAAAAACTTTCAAATCTTTGGAGAGCTGCTCACGCTCTTGATAAGAAAGTCTGTGAAGGACTCTATCCAGGGGTTGCCCTTGTACTTGAGTCATAACCAAAGTTGTGTTTCCGTCATCTTCATAATCGTCGACCCAAACTGGTGCTGCAGCAGATGTATGTTCCTCAACAAGTCGTAAAGTCATTGCTTCATTTTGTTGGGAGCGTGCACAGTTTTTCAGTATAGCCCGAAAGGGAGTTGGCGGGCCAGGACACCATCAGAGGGATAGAGATATTTTTCTAATTCGAACATGACACGATAGAAGCGCACCCTCATCAACTTTGGCACAAGATGCCAACATTTACGCATATATTGCCGGGCTGGTTTATCCCAGGTAACTGTTCCAGGGTACATTAGTCCTTCCATGGACCATAGTAAAAACGGGGCAACGTACATAAAGGAGCCGATGGCCATCCTGCAGCAATACAATCTTCGACGAAGAAAAGATGCAATGAAGAAGCAATCATATGGTGAATATAAAATAAGAACGGACTTGGAAGGCAATGGGTACGTGGATTGTCCATATTGATTGTGAAATTATATGAGTAGTGCCAGAGAACAGGGTGCCGTCGCAAAAATAGAGGTTTGTAGGTTCCTCTGGAAACATTCGGACGGCGATATACTGTAGGCCCATGAGCCACAAAATGTGGACCAGCCAGATCTCGGCCGTAAGGGGTTCGACGACGTGGACAGCTTCTTGGAGGTGAGCGTACTCAACATCCATATTCCGTGGGCAATGCGCTTCACCTATTAATTACCGGTATGCGGTTCCCCACCCTGACGCCATGGAGATATACACTCATTAGACTTTACTGTTTAGGACCGTGTGAATAAGATCCTAGCTCCAGCCATGGCAGATATTTTAGATTTCCGTCGGGTAAGACCACCGGATCGTAGAACCCATTAGATACAATCACTAACGCCAACCCGTAAAGGATTTATCTCGGCAGGTGGAGGCCATTAGACTTGATGAGAATACGGCCTACAAGAAAGCTGTTCATCGCACGGTCTTCCATGAGCTTCTAGACAGCAAACTTCCCCCAGCGGAGCTGCAGCGGGATCGGCTGCGTGATGAAGCGTTTAGCTTAGTGACAGCAGGCTCTGGGAGTACGTATGTCCTCCCATATCTGAAATTCTCTTATCATGGTGGACCTTCACAGGTTAACTCTCCATAGGGCCTATGTGTTGCGTGGCACGGCATATCATATTGCCGCCAACCCCTCTGTGCGACAGCGGCTACATGACGAACTCGTGGCCACCATTTCAGATCCCCAGCAGTTTCCCACCCTGGGCCACACTTGAGCAACTGCCCTACCTGATAGCCGTGGTACAAGAGGGATTACGTCTATGTGACCTTGTTACCCACTGGATCAGCCGCCAATTCCCCGACCAGCCGCTTCAGTGCCGCGGAATCTTCATGCCCGCCAACACGACCGTGGGAATGACAGCCATGTTCACCCATCTCAACGAGACAATCTCCCCCGAGCCTCGCGTTTTCCGGCCCGAGCGTTGGTTGGGACCCGACGGTAAGCGACTGGAACGATACTTAGTGCCCTTTAATCGGGGTACGCGCTCTTGTCTGGGCATGAATCTCGCCCGTGCAGAGCTCGTTTTGATTCTCGCAGCAGTCTTCCATAAATACGCTAAATCAGTTTGACTTTGATGTTTCAGCCGTACAACGGGAGTGCGACATCGATGTGAGTCGTGATTATATTCTGGGGGCGCAGGCGCGCGACACGCCGGGAATTCTAGTGACGGTGAAGGAGTGTTAGTAAAAGGCTGTATTGGTTCAGGTATACTCTAAAATCAATGTCGACCAGTCCAGATAGCACTCGGTGTATAGAGTGATTACCGCGAAAATCGTCCTACAGTGAAGGCAGTGTATTTTTGACAGGGATTGTGAACTGTGCTTCTAGCAAAAAGTGACGCTTTAAAAGCACTATACGCAAGACGAACTCCAAATATCCCCTCCCCCCCCCACATTCAACTATAGATAACATATTTCCAGAGTCCTTCGTCGAGAGTAGTATAGCTGGGCAACTTCCTTACTTCGTATTCTCCCTCGCGCCCTTCAGGGTGTAGGTGGTGCAGGCATCTTCAGCATGGTCTCCATCATTGTGGCAGAGAGGGTCGAGCCAGTCATCGCGACAAATTTGCTCAGCAACACAGTCAAAACCGAACTTACGACACAATTACATGCCATTGTACTTGCTGGTACTTTGATAGATATATCATCCATGTTCATACTGTCGACGGCCGATCAATCGATCGTGCACGCTGCTTTCGGGGAAGGATATCACCAGCTACTAGAGGTCATGAGAGGTTATGCCGGGATTCTGTGCAGCGGAGGTTGTTTGCATTGGCGCTGATTTATGTGGGAGTGGCCAATGCGACGCTTGGCGTAGCTTATATAAATGTATATCTCCGGTTTTGTATTTTGTTTCTTGGGATGAGAAACTGCCATGATGGTAAATGAACTTATAATAATGATTTGATCCTACCCCATTCATGCTACAAAAAATGGTTGTCATCTAATTACCGGGCAAAACATATCTAGGAAAGCAGTATCAGTCAAACATGATCTTGTACGGGGACTGGCGGTTGGCGCACTTCTAATAACATGTGAATGATTAGATCAAGTGAGCATTTCGACTGGAGCCAAGAAACGTGTGACGTGGCAGCTCGTGTGGGGGACACGTTATGGAGATTTATAAATTAGTCTACTCGCCTTGAAAACAATGGTAGGGGGCATTAATAGGGACACATACACGATGACCACGACTCGACAAGCTCTCATCGATAAACCAAAGGGGACTACCACATATCGTCTTGGTCAAACATTCCTCCTCCACGTCTTCTGGGAAGCACCTAGTCAAAGGACAGCACAGGAACTCCTGGATGCTCTATCCAAATGCGCCGCCGCTACCCATCGTGATACGCCATGCGTACCAGTGTACTTCTTCCGCCTTAGTCATAGCAACGAATGCGCCGCAACCTTGACGATTGACGATCACCCTCAGCTACAAGCTGCCATCCGGAAGCTTCAGATCGGCGTCCCCCGTCCAGCTGTTGAGGCTGACCTGCGACGCCGTGGACTAGACCCTGCGTTGTTAGACCTTGCTCCATCAGCTCCGTTGCCGGCGGAGTTACAGAATAAGCCTGTTGTAGTCGAGTTTACGGAGTTGTATTTAGACCGTGAGGCATTCTATGACCATGTCGGCTCGAAAGATTATTTGGCAGCCTACGAATCCGTGATGCAACCCGGTCTACAGAACCGACAGTGTACTCTGCGCTTGGGTGAGCCCACCCCGGACCTCGTGGAGAAGATCTTGGAGCCAATGCTAAAGGAGACTGTGATGCCATTGACATCATCATGTTATCTTTTTCGGTCCCCGGTCACGGCAGTAACGGGTGCGACACTGTATTCTCTTGATTTGAGTGACCAAAGGGAAGAGAACAGCGACAATCGGGCAGCGATGGCTGGTCGTTTGACTGATGCACTGGGGGAGGAATGTATCTCCTGTGTTACATTTCCACACCCTTGGCGTCCGAATATTTTGCGTCTGATGTGCGTCTCACTTGGGTTACCGACGAGAGGGGTGTTGGAGACAGTTGCGGCAATGCAGCTGGAATCTGGCGAGGTGTTTTGTGACGATATAAGTACAAAATTGGTACGTGAAATAGCTCAGCAGGTCGGCATAGGGGCGACTCTTGTTGTTAATGCAAGTGAGCATGTGGGATACTGGTTCCATGACCGTGTAGCTGAGTTGAGGCCGACAAAGTAGTGTGGTGAAGGGTGGTTGATCAGTGTTGGAAATCTGGGTTTTGCTCAAGTAAACGATGCAACTTCTTTGCATATAGAATCTACTCTGTAGACAGTAAAATGGATAAATATGACATTGGCAGCAAAGATTTCAGATGAGTTCCTTAGGGTTGGGGATGCCTTCTGATCCCGCAGTTCGGACTTCCGAACGAAAATGGCAACCCAGCGATCCGCGGTTCCACCTTCATGCATTCACTGGTAACCATACGAAGTATTTCACTGGCTCTGGGCTGGTCGAGTGATGATGATGATGATGATGATGCCCATACTCGTCATGTACAATTTGAAGTTATTGGACGAAACACCGGATATGTATGGTCCACACTAGTGACAATCCCTACTCCGAATAGTTCAACCGGACAACCTGGCCAGAAAGACTGCAGCCAACCGCGTCCTACTTATGGTGTGCTCCTAGCATGCATTACCCATACACTTCCTCGAACAATTATTTTTCTTAGCATAGCATAGTATGAGCACAAAGTGAACATGGAGAATGAAGATCAACTCACGACCCTGCGGTTGCTCTTATGTCCCAATGAAACAATCACTCCAGATTCACCGGAATATCGACCGCTGGTTCAAACATGGGCATCACAAAAGCAAATGAACCCTCGCCTTCTGGTTCGACCCACCTCGATTGAGTCTCTAAGCAAGGCCATTGCCTATCTCTACTCTTCGAGTCTGGACTTTGCTATCTATGGACATGGCTTCATGTCCGCATCAGCAAGGGACGTCCTTGTGAACACCTCGTCTTTTGATGATTTCCACCTCGACAGGCACTCTGAATTGGTGACCATCGGCGCCGGGCAGACATGGGCAGAGGTATATCGGAAATTGCAAGAGGCAGCGCCGGACTATGGAAGTGAGTTTTTATATATACTGCCTACTATTCAAGACATGCTTTTAAAGTTCAAGGCTGACATCATCCCATAAAAAAGTTGTGGGGGCCCGCACCCCTTGTGTAGGAGTCGCAGGCACCATTATCAGTGGAGGCTTTTCATGGCTCTCGAGTGAGTATGGCTGTATCTCCGACCCGGCGAACATGTTAGATATGAAAGTTGTCAAGTATGACGGCTCGATTGTGTGGGCCTCCCGGGAGCCAGAGCTACTGTGGGCACTCCGTGGCGGTGGAGGTGGCTTTGGTGGTAGGTGACTTTCAAAACCATATGTTACTCAAAGTCTTCTATATAATACTAATACAAATACCGTAGTGGTGGTGCAAGTTGTGCTTCGAGTATTCCTATATCCCCAGAATATCTGGGCGGGTCCGATTCTGATCCCCCGGGAGCAGCTCCACCAGGTGGCAGAGGGAATTGCAAGTTTGGTTTCCAAACCAGTTGATCCAAAGATCACCATGTTCTTATATGTCGTCAAGAAACGGCTGTTAGAGTCTATTGGGACGGACTCGGACATGTTGGTGATCCATGCCTTCGACGCCCACGGTGAAGCCCATGGCCGGGCCAGCTTCCGGTGGGCATTGGACATTGCTGGAGTTGTTGATCAAACAAGAGTAACTACTCTGGCTGGAGTTGCAGATCTACAAAGTGAGATCATAAAGCCTATGGATATCCCGATCCCACTTCTAGCTACATGAACGTTAGGCTGATAAAATGTCCAGACAAAGTACATATAGCCAAAGGTTCTATGAAACAATTCTGGGCACCTTTACTACTACGTGAGCTTTCGAAGGAGACCATTATCAAAGCGATCCAATGGTCCGAGGACATCCAACACCTAGACGAGTCTCTTGCCGATTGCACTTATCTTATCTTCGAGATATTGAGTTCGGTAAGCGGAACCAATTAAATATAGACATTGTGAAATTCAGTTAACCCCATATCCCATCTAGCGTGACCCAGCAGGATCAATGTCGAGCTGTGCCTGGCCAAGGCCACCTGGCGGAAAACATATTTTACTCCTCGGCACCGGATGTCCTTCTGGCGATGGACCAGATAAAGAGAAACTTGCTCGAGACCTGGCCATTGAGGCAGCGTCCAAGATTTTGGGGGCAGATGCAGAGGTACATTACCTGCCAAATGGGTTTGAGGACTTTCACGATCCTAAAAAGGTATGGTTGAGTCCAAAGTAGTTATTTGGTGCGTTTCTCATTCGAAGAAATAGATTTGGGGCCCTCATTTCGAGAAACTGCGCGTCTTGAGGAGACGATATGACCCCCATGGCAGATTCAAGGCAGCGGTTGATGTATAAGTGAAATGAAACGTAAGCACTGATTTGGGTACCATCTGATGGTTTTCGTGGGAGCTCAGCCGGCATAGCTTGCGGGGACAGTCTATGCGGAAAGAGAAGATGTGAATGAATCTGTGAATTAATCTTTGACTCTGTGTTATTTTTAGCTAGGAGTAATCACTATGAGTTTTGAATAAGAAAAGTATGCGAGAGTATATAGCCACCTCAGTATGCTTACAAATACAGTAGCGACATTGAATATTCTCTACAGTGAGAAAAAAAGCAATCAGAGAAGGAAGGAAACATGTCTGCCTCTCTTCATGCCACAATAAGATACTAACATTGTACATCATTTAACCCCTAACCCACGAACAATGCTCTTTTCATCTCGGTGTCAAGTCACATACATAGAGTCTCGGCGGAACCGGTGAGATACTTAAGACATGATAAGTCTATAGCGTGGCGAGTTCCATGATGCTTTCATTGCTGGTTAATAGTACCTTTTAGTCGAACAACAAGGAAGTCTTAGAATAGACCATTTATTTAGGACCAACTTGTTCGCAGATAAAGCCCGTGTAGCCTTGGGGTTGAACAAGCACCCATGTTAAGAATTTAAAGGCTAATTTTGTTATATCCACTAAATTCAACAGCACAGCATGATGAGACGAGCTATTGAGTGGGGAAACGTCACTATAATTCCCAATATATGGGGAACCTATACTATTGCAACGACCTCCCATTGAAGAAGATTACTCTGTCAGGGCAGATGTGCATGAATTTTGTATATGGGCCAATAAAACCGTGATATTATAGTTGGTGGGATGGTGAGAGAAGCACACTGGATATCGACCGAGGACTATGTGAGTGGGCCATGTATATACGGACCTTACTGTTGGTGTCACTGTCAATTAATAATTAACTACTAAAAGGGCTGCCATCTACCGATATATTTCCAGCCATTGGTGAGCAAGAAAATTGTCTTGGTAAAAACGATTTACAGAAAGCTTCGTCTACCCTATGAATGTCTGGACAGGGAGATCTATAATTCCAACAAGGACTCGTATGGTGCTTATATCAGAATCCTTTCTGATTATCTAAACCTGGTACCTTTTCTTGGGTTTAGTATGGGAACGCCACTGCATCGGCCGGCTATGCGTTACCCTAGCTTTCCAGTTAAATAGGTATTCTCGTGTCAGAGTCGAATGAGATAGTTGGTTTGATTGATTGGCAACACTACTCCTTTCTTCCTCTTGGCCTTGTATCTGGGTTACCCAAACGTCTCTAGAAATACGGTTACTCTGATTTAGAGGATATAAGAGTGCCCCTGCTCCGCTTAGATCTCCCATCAAACTTTGATTTCTTCCCCTCTGAACAAATCTCGGTGCGCGAGATCTAACAGGAAAGGTTGGTTCCAAGAGACATGTATGTGATACAGGATGTCTGCTTGCTTGCCAGAAGGCTCTTTACGCTCTCCATGAAGTAGACATGCTAGTCCTTCCTCCTCTGTCTCAACCTAGAGTATAATTTTTCATGACTCGTGAATTATCCTAACTCTCGGTCAAATCCCTGAGCTTCAGCAGTCGGTCATGATAGGGATAGCGCCGTCTCGGTCTAATCTTCTTGGTATTGCCGACTTAAGTCTTTTAACTTGCCCTTGATTCCTTGTGTCCAACATATTACCTTCATCTGGCAGCACTAGCCGTGGTTAGTTTGATAGTGGAGGTTTATACTCTCCGGTAACCCAATACTATACTTGATTGATTTGGCCTTTCCCCTTTAGGGTAAAACAACCCTTCCCGCCTACTAACCTGGTTATCGCGCCCAAATACGGTTAGCGTGTGGCTTGAGTACGGCTGAACGGGGCGGGAAGCCCAGAGTTCCACATCCTTTGGTCGTAGATCTATAAGGATACCAGGCTCATGTAGCACGCATGATGTGTGAGGAGGAGAGGTGTCTTCATGAAGCTGCTATAGGGTGTTGAAGACCATGGAGTGAAGACTAAAGAAGATGATCAGTCTGGAAGTCATCTTGTCCCATGAAATTGGTCACGTGAGCTGGACCTTCTCTCTTGAGGTTGTCTTTTAAGAGCATGCCAGCTATCAATGCGAGGTGAAGAATGCACAATATTTGCAAAATAATTAATTGACAAATAGTTGTCCCCAGTGGGGATAGCTCGCCATAAACAAAATCGCGGACCGGTAACGCAAGGTTTCTCTTGGACTAGCACGGCCATGAGAATCGACCAACCGAACGCATATACAACCTGACAGTGGGAAACCTGTCATTTCAGCTCTCAGGTAGCTGGATTGCAGAGAATGGAGTCTGATATATGATTCATACTAAAACAATGCGTTTTGTGTTGACGAGTTGTCCCCATTCTAAGGTAGCAATCGAATATTGTCATTTCACTCTACGGTCCACACCGCAGGGAAATATTTTACCATTAGGATTCAGTCAATTGAGATTTCCGGCCCTCGTACGAATTTGTTCAGGTACTTGGCCGCTAGCCAATGGCCCACGCCATTCGAGCAGTTCCATGTTAACGGGTAATCGTCGCGATCTATGGCGAGGTAAGTTAGCAGGAACAGTCCCACTTGGTAAACACTAGACTGGTGATAGAAAGACACACAAAGTTTCGACACAGATAGAGAGCGAAATCAAATACACTTCCAACACCTACATCAAGTGAAGAAGTGTTGTTGCGGTCCATGTGTTGTCATTGAGGCAAAAGTGACGACGACTTGAAATCCTGAAGCAGTTTAGCGCGTGATCCGTGATGCAGGTGATCCCAGAACTACTAGTAATTGATCTTATCGGCGCGATATCGAACGAGGCGGAGTCCCTCTTCTTCTTCGTCTTCTCCTACGGTTATTTAGTTAGTACTTACTCTTACTAACGTCACGCCCCTCTCTTTGCTTTTCGTCTTTCCTTCCCTTCGCTTTCTCTTCTTCACCCTGTTTTCGACGGGGCCTGACAAGCCTTTATGTGGAGTGCGCAATAGAGTGCTTTCACAGGTCTCTTCTTACATTCCCTCCGCATTTCAACCTTTCATCTCGTCATAACCAAAGTCTATGTTGCAGCCTCTCCCCCGGTCGCGATTTCCTCGACCGCCCTTAGCGCCAACGAGTCACTTCGCCCCGACCTTTGGTCGTTTTTGTTTGTACTGCGCGACCACGATCGAACTCGAAGGCCTTTGTCGGCTACCTGCATAAGGGGCTTGCATCATGGCATCTAACGCCGCCATGCTGTTGGACCCACGGGCCCACAAGAAACAGCTACAAAAAGATGGTAATGACCCAGAACCTGTTCCTCCTTCGTTAAACAGTCAGAGCGACGCGAGTTTGGGGGCTGCATATGAGCGATTAAGCTTTCCCACAACGTCCAGAGACTGCCCCGCCCCTCCCCAGGATCCCATATTTATGAACCCTAGTGCTGTCGATACCGAAAGCTCATTTACCCACGCGACAGGTTCCCAAAACTCGGGCTTCTCGAATTCTTCTGCTGCGCCGGCAGGCACGGCTTCTACGGCACACCGTCTTCTCAACCCGCAACGTCGACAGCCCTCCAATAAAGGCAGCCCGAGGTCGAGATCGCGACCACAGTCGGTTTCCTCGCGCGGTGGGGATAGTGCAAGGGCATCCCCACAACGTAGCGATCCGCGTGAACCTGATGTGGATGTGGTATTTACAAGCGCGCAGGAGGAAACCGGTGACGGGAAGCGGAATTCCGATCATGTCGATGAAGTGCGCCATGGGAACCTCATCGAGAATATGTATGGCGTGGAAAGACGGCTGAACCAGCCGTACAAGAAGATAAAGACGGAGAAAGACTTGGCTCAAAGTGGGAAAAAGACGATGTTCACGTCGACTGGGACCACCGGGTTGGGTGAATGGGTGAAGGACGGTGAAGAGAAGTCGAATTCCTCCACACCAATTACCCCAAACGTCGTTGACTTGACGATTGGTGAGCAAAACACAGATTTTTCGAATAGAGTATTATTGCTAATGGCTGTTTTAGACTCCTCCGCTGGAGCAACTGATGATGATGATCTACAAGTCACGGGTTCAAATAATCTCAGCATCCAGAGAGTGTGTTATGGCAAGCTAGAAAACGCAATGGTGCAAGCAGTACTGGTCCCAAAGCCTGCAGCTCAAACCATTTTTGGGGACTCGGCACACGATTGGCCCTCAATCAAATTAGGAGTGCACCGACAAACAAATCAAGGCGATAATCGGATCGAGGTTGCAGACCCCCATGGAAAAATATTTGGGGCAGTAGATCCAAAAACCGCTGTAGTGATTGCCCCTCTTCTCGATTCACCTGCGTTGAAAGTTGACGTTACCGCTCGGCTGGATGTTCGAAGGAGACTGGCAAACGAATGGCCGTGGGCGCCTTGCTCGGCCCTGTATCGAGCGTCTATCAACCTCTACGGCCTTCGGAAGGATGCTGAGCTAGTCGGAAAGCACCTTGGCCAGAATAATGTCTGGCTTGGTACCCCGTTTTCTGTAGAGCAGGGCGTCCCTGTATTCAACCCACACGCTGAGAGAAGGCGCGCCCAAGCGGCTGCGTCCTTCTTACCAAATGTGGCTGCGAGGGGCCGATCAACCGTCAACTACGAAGTCCGCACAGCAGAAGAGGTGAACGATGCAGTGATGAAGATGTTCGATCAACTTCAGAGCGCTGAGAATATACCCGAACTAGAACCTCCTTCGCTTCTGTCAACCCCATTGCTCCGCCACCAGAAGCAGGCGCTTTGGTTTATGACTGAAAAGGAAAAGCCGCGCAAATTTGGGCCTAGGGAAGAAGACAATAACTCACTTTGGAGGTTGGAGCATCGTTCGAATGGGGCAAGGCGGTATCGAGAAATTATCAGTGGCATTGTACGCGATGACGAACCTCCACAGAGCCTAGGTGGTCTTTTAGCAGATATGATGGGTCTTGGGAAAACTTTGAGCGTTCTTTCTCTTGTCGTATCCTCTTTGGGACACGCCCGTGAGTGGGCAAATATGGCACCAAGTTCAGACCTTATTCGAAATCTGCCGGGCATCCGCAACACCAAAACGACGCTTCTAGTAGCTCCCCTGAGTGCTGTTAACAATTGGACATTTCAGGTCAGGGAGCATCTAAAAGAAAATGCCATATCTTACCACGTATTCCACGGGCAATCGAGAATCACCGATGTGGATGAGCTGTCTAAATATGACCTAGTTATCACGACATACAGCATTATTCTCAGCGAGCTCTCCGGACGAGGGTCGAAACGAAATGGGAGCCCCGGGAGCCCGTTAACGAAGATGAATATGTTTCGGATTGTTCTGGACGAAGCGCATACTATACGAGAGCAGAGTGCAGCACAGACACAGGCTATTTTCAAGCTGAACTCTCAGCGGAAGTGGTCTGTAACTGGTACGCCTATTCAAAATCGCCTAGAGGACCTTTTCTCGGTGACCAGGTTTCTTGGTTTGAATCCCTACGATGACAGAGGGCAGTTCGGGATGCATATTCTAAGTCGATTCAAGACTGGAGATGCCACGGTTCTAGCAAGCTTGCGAGTGCTTGTAGATTCATTTACACTGCGCCGTGTCAAGGACAAGATTGACATCCCTACCCGGTACGACAAGATCATAACGCTCAATTTCTCTGAGAAAGAGAGGCAGCTGCATGAATTCTTCCGACGAGAGTCGAACGTGATGATGAAGGTAATTGCCGGCGAGGATAAGACAGCACTGAAAGGTCGGATGTATCATCATATCCTAAAGGCAATGGTAATTTTACGCCAAGTTAGTGCCCATGGCAAGGAGCTTCTCGACAGTAATGATCGCGCAAGGATTAAGGGATTGAGCGTCCACGACGCCATCGACCTCGAAGAAGGCGGGAATGATACAACAGAGCTGGTAGATAAGAAAGCGTATGAGATGTTTACCTTAATGCAAGAGTCGTCAGCAGATCTGTGTGCCGTATGTGGCAAACGTCTTGAGGATCCAAATACTGATTCTGGTACCACGGACCGCCAAGCACCAATGGCGATCATACTTCCTTGCTTTGATGTACTTTGCCCCGAGTGTTTCTCTGGTTGTAAACAAGCGTTTGACAGCCAAACGGGGCCATCAGTTCATGACATCAAATGCCAGGTATGTGATGGATGGATCCCTGTTTCATATTCCACCATCACCCCTGGAGGGCTACAGGACTATATGATGGGCCAGGCCCAGGCCAAGCAGAGCAAAAAGCAGGCAAAGACCCTAGGAGAGTACGAAGGTCCACACACCAAAACCAAGGCGCTAATGGCGTATCTATTGAATACGGCGGATGAGAGCAAGGGTTTAAAGGACGAACGTCCTATCAAAAGTGTGGTGTTTTCTGCATGGACGTCGCATCTAGACTTGATCGAGATTGCGCTAAAAGACAATGGCATCACGGGCTTTACCCGTTTGGACGGGACGATGACCCTATCAGCTCGCCAAAAAGCCCTCCAGGAGTTTCACGATAATAACGACATAACTGTCCTCCTCGCGACTATCGGTGCTGGTGGCGTCGGTCTGAACTTGACCGCTGCCTCTCGAGTCTATATCATGGAACCGCAATACAACCCCGCAGCCGTGGCACAAGCAGTCGATCGAGTGCATAGAATCGGGCAGACGCGCGAAGTGACTACAGTGCAATTCCTGATGAAGGATAGTATCGAAGAGAAGATCTTCGAGCTGGCCAAGAAGAAGCAGCAGTTGGCCGATATGAGCATGAATCAGAGGAAGCTCGATAAGAGAGAGGTGCAAGAACAACGGATGCGTGAATATCGAAGTTTATTCAAGTGATACTAATACCCTGTTTTCCACGATTCCCCTATTTATTTCCGGTATTTCATTTGTTTCCCTTTTCGCTTTTTCTACCTGCGCCCACCTTGATGCGCACACCATAGAGACGGATACTGCAATTGATACAAACATGGATAATACCTGATACCCAATGGTTTACACTCGGCGTTGATATATCCCCCGTGGCTTTACATTTGCTTTTTCTGGCGCTTGCTACGAACACGGAAGATTTATACAGCATAGTGATACACGGATAAATGCGATACCAAGAATTTGCTCTTCCCATAAAACGTTTCTACTACTAGGGTCAGAATTTCAAAGTCATACTGTCGTAAGCGAATCGAGGTATTATACGTCTTTAGTAACTCCGACTGAGCTGTACGGCGATCTAGGTTAGTGATCATATCCGTGTCGTTAGGTCTTTATGAAGACGTTATACAAGTACCGTTGGCGATAATCATAGGGTGCTCGCGCTGTTGGAGCCGACACAGTATACCAAAAGGCAGATTACTGAACAGTTTGGCTGTCTTTCCATACATCAGAGACAAGGAAGAGCTAGTAGGTATGGATCAGGTTTGAAAAGGTAGTAGGCAAGGAAAAGAAGAAAACGGAAAAAGAAGGCGACCACGATCGCTGACAGGAGAGAGAGAAGAATAAAAACAAAAAAGACATGACAAGGACGGGATTCGAACCCGCGAAGTTTCCCACTGGTGATTGGTGAAGACCTAAAACCAGCGCCATAACCACTCGGCCACCTTGCCTTGAAGTGTTAGTAATATTTTTCATTAATTAATAGATAACTACAATGAAAATAACTCCCATGCCCTAAATACATTGTTCCTAACCACAGCACCTCTCATCGTTGACTATATAAACCAGTATCATTCTTCGCTTATCAGTCACCATGTTATTGTCGAACATGAAGTTCACCTTATCCTGGGAGCCATTCTCTTCTGGCTGCGGTCCTGCATAGTAGATGCTTTGACTTTTGAGAAGGCAGCGCCCACCTCAACACTCGTTGATATTCCGGCATTTTGGCAAAGTAGAAGCTCAGATCTTACAGAGATGGATTCCTCTTTGAGGGCAATGCAGATTCAGCTCAACCAGACACAGAGAGGCTCCACTCCTATCTAGCCAACAGTGAAAATTGAATGTATACCGTCAGCTGGAATAATCGCGGGGACAACGGGCAAGGAGGGGTGGTATGAAAGTACTAATCAGGTTCGATTTGTCACGCTGTTCGTTCTCTCTTGATTTTTCCAACAGTCTCTAGCGAAGATGACCGAGGTTACATGACAGCAGACCCTGGTAAGTGCTTGCAGACAGTGCGCGATTTTGCCCTCATTTATGATGTGGGTTGTGATGCAGAAGCCTGCACACCCCGAGCTATTAGCTGCCCATTTACGTGGACGTCTCGAATTTCCCCTCGACCCCAAGCTTCCAAAGATGTCTACCATTGCACCGCAGAGTCTTTCATCTTCACTATCTGTGGATGAGGAGAAGTTTGAGCAAAACCGGGACAACGCTATAACCGATGATTATGTTGATTCGCGCGTCTTGGATCAAGGGAGGCGCCGCGGGTTCTGTCGCCAGTATGTGATTATCGTAAGATGCCTCCTGTTGACCCTTGGGGGTCTCCTGCTTACCGTCGTCAACGTTTCTTCAACCGTCTACTCCACCTCACACGTCATGTGCTGGGAGTCGTCTGCTTCGTTTTCACAGGAGTCACTACATCCCTCTTCCTCCCACGGCCACCATGGTACATCACCAAATCTATACGAGCCGTTGTTTCCGGCGATGAAAGGAATCATGAAGTCACCATGTGGCCATACCGCCGCTGACGCTAGAGCGCGAGGTTGTCACTTTGACATTATCACTTTTTGCTGGCTACCAGACCGCTGCTACGATCCAGAACTATCGGACTCCTTCGAGAAGTTGGTCAACTGGAAGTGGTACCTTGATCGGAACAAGTCTCTGCCAGTCCCCAAGGAAGAAGCTCTGCAGGGGGAATTGGATGGACTGTATGTAAGTTGGGAGTACCATGTGCAGCACTTTGTGTATATGCGGGAGAAGATGCACTGAGCGCTGCTGGGAGCGGGTACACCGGCAATCGACACGTATATCGGCCCATATAGCCATACTGAGCACTGTGGGGAAATGTTGCTGAGTCGGGGGGAAGGTTATGCGATGAGCGATATCAACACTCGGATCCGCGTCAAGTTTTCGGATTGTGGAATTGAATAGTAATTTTATATGTGCATATATGCTTACTTTCTTTGACGACGTCCTGGATAATAGTCATGAACAACCAACTGTATGGGACATAGAGACAGAGAACAATCGTATATACGTCCCAAGTCTGATCTAGTTAATCCCGAGTGCATGCAGGGATTCTTTGTTCAGGTAGCATCGCGGCGCGTCATCTCCTTGGCGAGTCCTTCCTCCTAGTATTTCTACGTCTCTTGGCCCCATCGTATCCCTTGGTCATTTACTCTTCCCCGCACATTGAGCAATGGCCAACGATTCCACCCTCTCATGGGTAGAGGACACCTTAGGGCCTGTTAGTCACGTGCGTGGGTTTGACTTTACATTGACCTTCGAGCAGGTTGTCCTGTCGATTATCCCATCCACAGTCTTGCTGCTAGCAGGACCATCGCGACTACTCTATCTCACTCGGTGCCGCTCAAAAACTTGTTCTCAACAGAACCAATATCTCTGCAAGCTGGTGGGATCAATCCCACAGGGTACTTCAGTATTCCGCTGTTGTCGCTGATGAATTTCAGGTCACCTCATCAATCAATTTGGTTCTACAACTTTCTTTACTGGTATTATGGAGTGTGTCGCCATCATCGCGCACCTCAACGAGCATCCCCGCCGCCTCTCTAAGCCTCGCCAATGCGATCGTAATTATTGGGCTCTCCTATGTTGAAGACCGCAAATCAACGAGGCCCTCTTCCCTACTAACCATTTACCTACTACTCTCAATACTGTTCGATGCAACACAGGTTCGAACATTATGGCTGACACATCGAACTCCCATGGCAGCGGTCCAGAGCGCCATTACCGGGACAAAACTCGCCATGTTACTCTTGGAGATGCGAGAGAAGACCTCTTACCTCAAGTCCCCCTACAGGGACTATCCTCCGGAGGCAACCAGCGGCATTGTCAATCTCAGCTTTGTTTGGTGGATAAATCGGCTCCTCATGACGGGGTACCAAAAGCTCATGGGGAACCGAGACCTTTATGATCTTGAGCCCGGGCTTACCTCCGGTCTTGCGGGCGAACGACTGAAGAGAGTGTGGGAGAAACACGGTCTGTTCATCTCTATTACTGGTTGCACCTGTCGCATGTATAATATGTTGACAAGCTCCAGGGAGCGCAAAAAACAAGCTCTCGCTACCTTGGGTATTTGTTCGCTGTTTCTGGATGGAATTTCTCGCCGTGGTGTGGCCTCGACTGTGCTTGATTGGATTCAGCTTCGCTCAGCCTTTTCTGATCATGGCGGCGGTCCAACATGTAGAGCGACCGATAACTGCAGAGACCCGGAATCGTGGCTATGGCCTCATTGGGGCAACCTTCCTAGTTTATCTGGGCATTGCGGTAGGCCCCTATTGTGCTATATGAACAGGTCATCTCTCATTGCAATCGTAGTTCTCGAATGTCCACTACAGACAGCGCTTCTCGCGCGTATCCACGTTATTCCGAGGCGCGATGATCGCGTTAATTCATGACCGGACATTGACACTCCAGGATGGTCTCTACACAGAAAGTGCCGCGCTCACATTGATGAGTACTGGTGAGTAATTAAATACACTCCTATGTCCCGACAAAATGAGCAGTTGCTTATCTAGAAATGGCTTCGGCTAGATGTTGACGGTATCATCGAACATTTGGAGAACATGAATGATGTCTGGGCCCGCACGATAGAAGTTGCTGTTGGCATAAGTTTGCTTGGTCTCCAACTCGGTGCGACTTGTATCGTTCCATTGCTTCTTACACTGGGTCAGTCGCAGGTGGAATACACGCCATCATGAAACAATGTAGTACTTACCTTCCTATCTAGCATGTTTAATTGGACAGAAGTTGGTGGCAAACTCCATCGGAAATGACCAACAGAACTGGAACCTGGAGATCCAGAAGAGGGTCAAGAAAACCTCAGCCGTTCTGGGTTCCATGAAAGCAACCAAGGTCTCGGGGCTTTCAAATGCGCTGGCCCAAAACCTGCAAGAGCACCGTGAATGGGAGCTGGTTGTATCTCGAGCGTTCTTCAAAGGAATAATGTGGCTCAACGGCTTAGGTATGTTGAACCCCGTTTGTACAGGTTGCTCATCTGACAGTGGCAGCAACCTTGCCCCGAATATGGTCCCCCGTCATCACCTTCATCGTTTATGCGATCCAAGCACGGATCCGAGGTGACGACTCTCTAACTACAGTGAAAGCATTTACGGCGCTGAGTATCATCACTCTCGTTACTACACCCGCAGAAAAGCTTCTCGCCGTTTTACCACAGCTGGCGGCGGCCATGGGGTGCTTTCAGCGTATTCACGAGTATATAACATCCGACCCAATCAAGGACAGTAGATTAGGACGTAATCAAGCCCTAATATCGAATTCGGCGATCTTTTCGGCCGACGCAGATGAAGAAGGATTCACACCGCGAACTGATGATGAAGAGAAAGCAGTTGCCATCAAATTGGACAACATCACAGTGCTACCATCACCAAAGGCAACATCTGTCGCTCTGAAGAATGTGTCCTTCAAAGTAATGAGGGGCAATCTGCTGGTAGTAACCGGTTCTGTCGGTTCAGGCAAGACAACTCTACTCAAGACAATCCTAGGAGAACTTGGCTGTCAGTCAGGGACTGTCTGTGTCGAATCGAAGCGCATCTCCTATTGCAGCCAGAGCCCCTGGTTGCTGAATACAACAGTCAAGAAGAGCATCACTGGCCTCGCGGATCACAAAGTGGATGAGAAGTGGTACCAAACCGTCATACGTTCGTGCTGCTTAGAGGAGGACATTCGCCGCTGGCCCGACGGGGATCAGAGTGAAGTTGGAAGCAAAGGCCTTACTTTATCAGGTGGACAAAAACAAAGAGTGGTATGCCGTAAAGGTCCAGATTTTGCTCTACTTGCTTTCTTTCCTTTCCACGCTAATTGTGTAGGCATTGGCTCGTGCGGTATACAGTCGCCAGGATATAGCTTTGCTAGATGACATCTTATCCGCCTTGGACATGCAGACTCAGGAGATGATCATTGCACGACTCCTTTTAGATGATGGAATATTTCGCCAACTGGGAACTACAGTCGTCCTGACAACCCATAACCGTAAGCTCTCCTGCCTACTTCTGTGCTTTGCCCAAGATTGTTAACCCTTGACACGTTTATAGCCCAACTGCTTAAGGTGGCAGACAGCGTAATCTCGCTTAGTGCAGATGGACAGGTCGAGCTTCAGACAACGGGTAGGGATGCCATTCAATACGCAGCTATGATTCGCGGAATAGAAGATACGGGTGCTGAAGAGGGCGGTCTAAAGGAAAAGACTTGTGATGAGGCAGTTAGATCGTCTGACGGCCCGGGGAATGAGGTGGAAAATGAGGATCGAACCAGGCAAATCGGAGATTTATCGGTGTACTACTACTACGCACGAATTGTTGGTCCCTTTCTGTGTACCGTGTTCCTCTTTGCCCACGTCTTCCTAGCCTTCGCCGAGAACTTTCCGCGAGTATGGCTAAGCAAGTGGACCGAAGCAGGCGGTGGCCAACTCCCGCTATACCTATCTGTCTATATTGCTTTGGCACTGACCGCATCGGTGCTCGTTCTGGGCTGCATCTGGATCATCTTCCTTGAACTGATGCCAAAGTCGGCCATCCGTTTGCATTGGCGGCTACTAAACGCCGTCATTCGAGCACCTCTGTCCTTCTTCTCCACGACCGATAGTGGTGTGACACTCAACCGTTTCAGTCAGGACATGACCTTGGTAGATCTGGCGTTGCCTATATCTCTAATGTCTTTGGGGCAATCATTTTTTGGATGCATCGCAACTGTAGGCTTGATCGCGACAGGCTCAGCATACATGGCCATCACGATACCGGTGACATTGGTGGTCTTATACTTCTTGCAGAAGATATATTTGAAGACCAGTCGACAGCTAAGATACCTCGACCTGGAGTGCCGAAGTCCCTTGTACTCTCACTTCGTTGAGGTTCTTGATGGATTGCCTACGATCCGAGCCTTTGGTTGGCAGGCCGCGTCGACTGAAGTTCTAATCCAGCACCTGGATCAGTCCCAAAAGCCATACTACATGCTATTATGCGCGCAAAGATGGTTAAATCTGGTTCTGGATATTGTGGTGATGGCATTGGCGACCATTGTGGTGGCACTGGCCGTGGAGCTGCATGAGAGCACCAATGCGGGCCTCCTCGGCGTTGCCTTGAACAATATTCTGGGATTTAATCAGCTCCTATCGTTTTTCATCACGTCGTGGACTACCTTTGAAACCTCACTCGGAGCAATTGCCCGCGTGAAGTCCTTTGTAGAGACCACGCCGTCTGAGTTTCGGCCCGGTGAAACTTCAGAACCACCAGTGTCGTGGCCTGAGCAGGGAGCAATCCACATCCAGGGCCTCTCTCTTTCCTACCCCAATGGAACATCAGCATTGTGTGACATTTCGATGTGCATCGCACCAGGCGAGAGAATAGGTATCTGTGGCCGTACGGGCAGGTATGTCTTCCCGCCATCATAAAGTCTACTACCCTTCTAACGCCGTATCCTACCCTAGCGGTAAAAGCTCTTTCATACTCGCCCTACTCCGCCTTGTAAACCCATCCCATGGATCAATCACCATTGACGGGATTAATATCGACAGTATTTCTCCAGCTGCAATCCGCGAGGCCCTAATAGCCGTCCCCCAAGATCCATTCACGCTCCTAGGTACCGCACGGTACAACGCAGACATCATGGCCGCTTCCAACGACGAAGATATCATATCTGTACTAAAGCAAGTAGGCATCTGGGAAGCCATTGAAAGCCGAGGAGGTCTGGATGCCATTCTCGAGAATCACCCATTATCCCAAGGAGAACAACAGTTATTCTGCTTAGCACGGGCCATTCTCAAGAAACGAACCCGCAAAGGTGGATGTCAGGTCCTGATCCTGGATGAAGCCACCAGCAACCTTGATAGCGAGACGGATCACCGCACCCAACAGGTATTAAAGGGGGCTTTTGAAGGCTGCACTGTTGTCAGTGTAGCTCATAGGGTATGTTCTCTTTCCCCTGCTAGCCAGGAGGCACATAGCTGTGCTCTTTACCTTATCATCATCAGTCATTGATGTACTGCGAGCTAACGGACTCAAATAGCTGGACACGATCAGCAACTTCGACAGAATTGCCGTCCTAGACGCGGGACGTCTAGTTGAGTTTGATACACCACAGCGTCTTCTTGCGAGAGATGGACTTTTCCATCGAATGGTCTCAGCATTCGAGGAATAGGGGCTAGATGAAATCCAACATTTAGCTGACGAATATATCCACAGCTAAAACCTCATACCAAACCAAGAAGAAAAGAAATCCCTGAATAGACCAGTCCCTCTTATTGAAATTATATGTACAGGGCCAAGCAAAGCTTGTATGTATCAGTTCCACGGTTTCTCGGGCCAAATATGATAGGTCATTGTGCGGTCTTAGCACGTTGGCTTATTAGTGGGTCCGCCTGTCTGGATGTACACGCATGTAGAGGATTTATGCCATGCATGCGAGAATGTGTAGCGTTGTGTTTTGTATTGTAGATGGGCTGTGTTGAACTTGTATATAGTTGAGTAATGGAGATAACTTCATTAGTATACGTCTGTTTTTCGAAATTTATTTATCAAGGTTCGTATTGCATATTCTAACGCTATCGAATGCATCTACATAAGCGAATTTCAAAGAATATCATCCTCTCGGGCCAAAACATAATATTATGGGAGGAGTGACATCAAGTCTATATACAAACATGGAGGTGATTTTCCCAACCAAGGCTGCACCCTGCAGCAACAAGGACTCCTCATGCCGTTTGACATAACACGCTAAATTAAAAGATGATATCAAGATCATGATGACAGATGAAGAGAAGAAAAGAGACCTTCAAGGCTAAATCAAGGGACAAAACGCGAGATGAGAACATGGCATGTCGACGTTCGTTCAACACCAGGTAAAAACTGGATTTTTACTCTTCACAGCTTCCAACCGCTCAACGATCACTTTGCGCTGATTGCCCTCCATCCCTTCTGCAGCGGCATATCCAAGATCTCCTTCGAGATCATCACTACTCCAGATCAGCTGTGCTTGACCGCGCCCACTGGATATCGAACTGTGCTTTTGATGTTTGTTTCCAGGCCGCTGGGGAAGCGAAGGCCAGCTTTGGTCCATACTCCGCCCATGTATCATGCTGTCAATGCCATCCTGACTGACCCTGTAGTCGCCAATAGTGGCAGGGCTGCCGTTCGGTATTCTTCGTGTACTAGGCTCGTGAGATCGGCCACGTGATAATTCAAATCGGTTGGGGTTGGGCAGCTCATTCGGTGAGGACCCAAGACCCAGGAGATCATTCTCGGGACCGGTCCCCAGCGACATGGATGCACCAATATCCATCTCTTCATGGTCCGGGTCATAGTCGTAATTCTCGTAACTCTTCACCTTGCGTTTTTGGGCTTCCGTCGATGGTCCGCGAAGAGGAATAGCAACAGGGACGTCCACGAGATCATCCCAGACGCACACACGGGTTCTTCGTGTGAGCTCTAGGGGTCCATGGTCAGGTTGCTTCAACGTCTCCACAACGTTCCAAGCCTGTCCCTTCATGACTGCGATCTGTCTTGCAAACATGCTCTCCTTGAAGTCATCGTCTTGAGAAAATACGCGTCGCAGCGCCATCTGCGTACCGCTCCACCAGGATGTTGAGGTCAAGAGAGGTAAGAAATGGTCCCGAGTCTTCTGAGAGAAGGGTTGTCCGATCAAAGAAACCGGAAGGAATAGCCAGCCGAACGGAAAGCTTCGCCACTAGAGGGTGTGAGCAATTTGATGCGATTAGGCCAATTCACAATCTACTTACAGCATCAGGATGTTTCCATGGCCAGGACAAACTGTTATCGATAGCGCCGATCTGAATAGACGCTTGGGGCTCCGACGAGTTCAGAGGAGTGCCAGTGCGACTCACTGCCACCATTGCCGCGTGTCGCCTGTAGGGAAGAGGAGCAGAGCCCGTGCGCTCCGAATTGACAGAAACGGGGCGAGCGGGAGGAAGATGGTCGTCGTCGTCGTCGTCCTGCTGAGTCCCGTTAGGCTTCGGTGGATCGGCGACAATAGACACTTCTTCGGTGTTCCAATCGATTTTGATCATCCAGTTATCCAACCCACGGTCAGTATTGCGCATGATATAATCCAAAATCACCAACTTCTCCAACTCCTCGCGGAATGACTGCTTGAGCCCCTCGGTCCAATAGAATCGCCGCTCCCTACTCTCCTCCCTTGGTGATGGGGTTTGTATATCCCCGTTCTCATAATCTTCCTCATCTTCGTCATCCGACTGCATTCCGGAAGGACGGCAAGCCTCGTTCCACGGCCGCTTTTTGCGCTTCGGGGCATCTTCCGCGCGAAAGCCAGTATTGGTCTGGTCTGGCCAGGGATGGTCTCGCAGGAAGAGATTCGCATCCTTGTAGCCCTTGAGAAAAACCTGAAAGCTACCCGCCTTAGGGGGGAGGGGTCGCTTGCCCATCCATGCCTTTCTCCGGTCCCAGAAATCGTAGTAAAATGATTTCGAGGATAGCCACACAATATCGGTGTAGGGGACGAGATTAGTGCGTAGACGAGAGTCGAGGACATAAGCGGCTGCTTCCGAGACATATGATAAGTTAGGAATCAGGCAGGCACGACCAAAGAAACATGGGAACAGGTTTCGATGAATCCATTTCGTCCACTTGGGATTGCGGGACGCATAAGGCTCCTCGTCTTTGGGTTTGAAGACCCCGACGACTTTGCCTTCGCCGTTGCGCGCAAAGTAACTACCAGAGCTTCCCTGAGAAATCATCCGAGGGTGCATCCCCATCCGTATCGCTGAGTGGACACTCTCTACAACGTCCTCGAACTCCTCCCGAGCCCTTCGCGCTGCGCCTTCAATTTCATCCGACTCAAGCTCTTCGGCGGAGATCGGTCTTACACCATTCGGGGCTTGGAATACGGAGTGGTAGATTTCAAGCCTTTCTTCCTCCAAAGTCTTTCCCTTGACCTTGTTGATCTTAAACTTGGAGGCGATCTCTTCGGCCCACCGCTCCAGGCGCGCATTGATGGCCTTGATATCTACCCCAGAATTTCTCCGGCCTCGGCGATGGTAGCCACTCGGTCTCCGACGATGTCCTGGGGGCGAAGACAGAATGGACGCATCCATTTGCGCGTGGGAGGAGATGGGGGCATATCGGGGAGCGGAGTGGGAAGTTGTGCCGAGGGAATCGTGTAGGTCATCGTCATCTGAATAATCATACAAGTCATTGGCTCTATCCTCTTCTTCCTGGGCCAGACGGGCGTAGCCCGACGTTGCAGGTCGGTTCTTCGGCATGGTGTATCTGTGGTCTAATGGAAGGGCCGGGAGGCGAATGCAGGTCGTTGCATTTGAGGGAAGGAAGGAATGGCAGAGAAAGGAAGGAGGAAGCGAGAGAACGAACTAAAAGAGGGAAAAGAAGAGGAAGAAAGAATCGAATCACGGCATTACTCAATAACAACAGAGAAATTGCAAGTAAGAGAAGGGTTCCCTCTGGGGAGTAAAAGAGGGAGGAGGACTGGTAGATTAGGTGGTGAGAGAAGGGAACTTTACTTGATCCCTCCAATAAGCCAATAAGACCGCCGCCGTCATCCACCGAGAACTTGAAGGGCCAGCACACACAGAGTACCTACGGTGGCTCTTTACTGTACCGTACCGCGAAGTCCCGTGGCATGGGGCCAAAAGGCGAATAGCTAGTCTAGATCCAGCCACAGAGCGGGTACTTTACCGTACCGCACCGCCACAGCCCTGTCCCGTGTGGCTCCACCGGAGCTTAAAAAAGCCCCTGAAATTTAGAGGATCAACTTCTCTTCATACTTATTTCGTTGCCTATCCTCGGCCAGAATATGCGCAGCAGGGCGATCCGAGATGACCGGTCGCGTTCATTTGTTCAAGGCCCAGAACCCGACCCAGCTAGTAAACATACGTCGTGGATACAACCCTCTTTGCTCTTGAGCTGGTAGATTTGGTTGCATACAAAAACTGGGGCATAGCAACTCACATACATTGTATCAAGTTTGAACCGAAAGAATTCATGTTTACAAAACGTAGTAACGAATTGGATAGACCCCATCCGAGAAATCGGTCATGTCTGGACTCTAAATCACTTTAAGAAGCGAGCCAGCCGACAGACATTAGGGGTTCGAGAGCTGATATTTCAATGCGAAGCTCTGAGGACAGTTATTTACCTGCATTGGTGGCTACATATCACGGTCCATGTCTCGGTTCTTATCCTCGCTTTGAAATGAGCATTGCTACCAAGATCATCGATCTATTCATATATATATATATATATATATATCTCTCTCTCTCTCTCTCTCTCTCTCTTCGACAAGAGACGGGCGAAAAACCGGATCAATGTGACGGTCTTGTTCATGATATTAGCCACCTGCCATCACTAGTGTCATCGAACTGAGGCATGGGACGATCTTTTATTGATTGTGATGCCAATACTAGTACCCTAGCGCTTCTCTCGTGCCATTATGAGCCCATCTAGGTATCACTCAATGAAATTCTGCTACTTCATAACATCACCATCTAACCCCCAAATGCTGGGCAAGAAAGGGGGATGCAGGGGCGAGATGCGACTATCGCGTGGATTGCCATTTCATTCATTCCTAGCCCTGCGTGCTGCATACATAGGCGCATAAATCCTAGAGGCAGGAAAGAGTAACTCGTAGGCAATAAGCACCGCAGGAGCTTCATACTAATAGTAGTCCTGATACCATACGAGATACAGACACCAACCAACATAGCAAATTATTCAAAATCACGTTAATTCGTATGAGCAGGGTCCAACTGATTGAGATTATTACGTTTCATTAATAACCACGGCCAAGCATTGCTGCTGTTCCCGCCGATAAATAACAATCGATAGTGTCCGAGGGACACGCGATAGCGATCCCGATAATCAATCAATCTTTCTCCAGAACCTCTTCCACTTCTTCTCCGTCTCGTGTAACGAACGAACTTCTTGGCCACGACTGGACCTTTCTGTCCTATGAATTAAAGAGGTATGCTCTTCCTAACATCTGCCGCCTGGTTGGCTCGCTATTTCTCCCAATCCGTCTAAATCAATGACTCCTCTTCGTTGTCGTTCCCTCCCAGAGTCGATCTGGTTGAATTCTCCCTATCTCCTCTGTTCAGACCTTTTCCTTTTTCCACCGACTTCTTCGGCTTTGACGCTCCAACGCTAAGATTAGGAAAGAATATTTGCTACAGCATACCTTATATACGGACAGTCCCATTTTACGTTAAAAAAAAACCGGGAACATTCCGTATCTTTCCTCCCTTTTTCTACGTGGCTGGTCCCTTCCGAACGGCACCGATTTCCCTCTCAGTCGTTCTACGACGACCATCACGTACTGCTCTCAATTCGGTCCATTCAGGCCGGATTTCTAGGGGGTTCTTCACCACACCATTCACAGTGGCTTCACTCTTGTTCCGGGCGTCGCCCATCGACCCAGCCCTGCGTCCTACCTCGCCATCGGCCTCCCAGTCTCACGATCTCAAGTACAACAATACTGCTTCTTCAATTGACAGTCCGTCCGCCTCTCGCCAGTCGACAACGGACGCGGTAGCGAGTGCATCGTCGGCATCATCGCAGTATTTTGGAGCGCTTCCTGAGTTTGGTTCTCTGGATAAAAGCCCTGGTAGTAGCGACAGCAACGGTAGCAACTTTCCTGGTTCCCTAGGCCCATCCCTGTCAGGACTGTCTGCTTTGGCCTCGGTCGCATCGGCCCCAACTTCCAATCTGCGGTATGTACTTGGAGTGGTATCATGTGCTGCTGTCGCGTTACGCCCATATCGAAAGCGAACCTACTAGCCCTGAAATCTCTATCATCTTACGCTTCTATCCTATGAACCATATGGTCAAGGTTGCGAATGCCTGAGTGACTAACAAGAATTTTTTACGCGAACAGGAATTCCGGTAGTAATGCGCAGCCCATGACCAATATGACTTACGCGACATCATCTCCCGCAGCAACTACTGGTGGACAAGGCAATAGCCCTGTAAGTAGAGTGAGAGTGTTGAGGATTTGTTCTTATCGTATCGTATCTTGTGTTGGCGCTTATCAAGATGCGACCCCATTTGGTTTTTTTTTGGCTATTTTCTATTTTTTTTTTTTTTCCCCGGGGGCATTTGGAAAGTCCTTCCCAATCTGTTATCAGCAGCCGATGGAGTCTTGGCACCGCACCAGCCGCTGCGTGTCAAGTCTTATCGCGCCAGCCCGTCAAATCTCTCCCGATCTTATCAACCGTCGCTCTTTTCCCTCTATTCCACTATCAGCCCCATACCTCATCTAACCCATTTGCTTCCACCCTCCTTTCTCGATCCCCTCATCTTTTCCTACAATGGCGACGACCTTGGCTGATCAGAAGCGTCCTCAATTACAGCCCGTGTGCCAGAATTGTGGTACTTCCACCACGCCCTTGTGGCGCCGGGATGAACTCGGTTCGGTCCTCTGCAACGCCTGTGGCTTATTCCTGAAGCTCCACGGAAGACCCCGTCCGATAAGCTTGAAAACCGATGTGATCAAAAGTCGCAATAGGGTCAAGACCGCGGGTCAGGGCCCGAAGCGTAAGGTGAGCAGGAATCCTCGAAAATTTTTCTATTCATCATTGTTGCTCCGCCGTAGCTCGAAACTCCAGAATGGTACAAAGTGCTGATATGTAATCGCCTCAATTAGTCCAGCAGTGCCGTTGATGCAAATGGACTTTCCACGTCCAGATCAGAGGCCGGTACTCCCCCACTTGGATCTCATGGATATCGTCGCGCGTCGCGGAAGATGTCACCGGGCCATTCGGATCGTTCCAACTCACCAGTCTCCCGAACAGAAACGCCTGGTCTTCCTCCGATGCAACAGCAGCAGCTCCCGCCGCAGCATAACTCCAATATTGCGCCGCAGCACATGTTCGACAGCGTTACCCTGGGAGATCACGGTCTGACGAATGGGCTATCGTCTGGGCAACTTCGCCAGCAGTCTCCCACCTCGACGTCTGCGGCCGTGGACCGCCACAACGAGTCTCCTCAGACAATTGAGGGGCTCTTGGCAGCGAACACATCGTTGAAAACCCGCGTGCGAGAATTGGAGTTTGTCAATGACCTTTTTAGGGGCCGGGTAACGGAACTCGAACAGAGCGATGCTGCCGCGCGCCGGTCCGAGATGATCGCCCGCGACTCGGAATCGCGCCTTAAACGAGCCCTCGAGGAAGCGCAACGGCGTGAAGAAGACCTTAAGCGTCGAGTGTCTGAACTGGAACGTCACGTTGGTGAAGCCAGTAATGGCAACCCGGACGAAGATGAAAGTTCTGGTGAGCCGATGGCGAAACGGATGAGGCTGTCTGATGTGGTAGATCAACCCTCCACTTCTCCTACCAAATCGCCAAAGAGCTTCTAACCACAGGGATCACAGGGATCGAACGACGGTTCGTGAATCTCACCGGCCCCCTCGATTCGTGCAAAAACGAAATACAACCGCTTTGCTGAGTTCTCTGATCTACCTTGGTCTTTTTGATACCCTTTACGTGTCTTGTCATTTGGCTGGATGTATATCGGATTAAAACTAATAACTCTCCCTTCCAATACTTCAATTCTTTATTCATTCGTTTTCTTTACTTCACATCTTTATTGCTCTTGGATTGCCGAGCACCTTGAATTCCGGTACGGGACGGAGGAGATCATTTGGGACAGCAAACCGCGGAATCGCGAAAACGTTCATATGAAGAAAAGGAGATTTCAAAACAAAGGGGGGCAGCCTTGTTCAGTTGTTTTATGTTTATTATTCCCAATTGTTTTGTTTCTTTTACCGCCTAGCTTTGGCTTCCTCGGATCGTCGAAGACCAGGCTGGCAGGATGACGATAGGATTGCAAGCAGGACTGCAGTGGTTACGTGGTAATTGATTGAATTCAGGTCAGGATCTGGCAACCCAGCAGGGAAATGACTTGTGTTGAAAAACTTCGATATTCTTGTTGTTCTAAAATGCGTTCCATTCCATTCTACCGTGTTATTTTTAGCTAGTCTTTTTCTTGATGTGACTCTATATTATATAGTGTATGATGTGTGAATGCCCCGATCCGGCCATTTATCGTTTTGCCTGTCTTATCTTATCTTCCCAGTTTTTATCTATTATCTTCTGCCAATGGTTTTCACGCCGGTTTCGGTTATCTTACCTCGGCTATTGCGGGTGTCGCTCGGATATCCATTTGTTCACTTTACTTCACCTATGGAGTACTTACTACTCCGTAATGTTTGCTAAGACCGGCGTCATGTGTGGATAGTAAAAGAACATGTATGAATTTGGATGTGTGGGCTCTATACAAGGCATTGTCCCCTGATTGGTGAAGGAGCGTGGAATGATCAAGGAAAAATGCAGAATGAATACTTCCAAGGACGAAAGATAGGCCTCCCAAAATTACCATCCGTCTATACATAACCCAGTAGTGACATATGAGATGAGTTATCAAGATAGTCGTCGATACCGCTCAGGCTTGGGTATATAGCTAATAAAAGAATATGCAAAAATGGCTTCTCAGCCAAGCAATTTTGAAAAGATGGAGAGGCCCCCATTAATGAACAGGCGCCACATACATATCTCATTCCCCCCCTTCACGCAAGACGGTCGTGTTCGACCTTCTTGCGAATCGCGCCGTGGACCCGCCTCTCGCGCAGGATACTCCACAGGCATACTATGATACCAGCCACTCCTGAGAAGAATGTGGTATAGTATGCCGTCCGGTAACAGCCCAAGCCGTCGGGACAGTCCCGGTCTCCATCAGGACCGACAACAGAGTGTCGGTCGTAAATACTGCCGTACAACAAATTGAAGACGTTTCCGCTCAGAACGGGGGCGAGGGTCATCACGCCCCAGTTTTGGGAGAGGCCTTCAATACCGAATGTGTGAGCTACTAGGGATGGGAAGACACCGAAAAGGAATCCGTATGCGACCCCCGTGAATCCTGATACGACGATCAACTGGTGTGGGTTGGCAATCGCGGCTCCTGCTAGTTGGGTCACGGTGAATACAACCGCGGAGATGAATAGGCACCAAAACCTTGACATGTCAAGTTTCTTGACTAGTAGGTCTGATCCAATGCCTAAAGTGATAACTGTCGTTAGGAAATGTATGGATCACATGTATGATTGCACGTACCACTGCAGAGTCGGCCGATGAAGTTGCCAAATGACAGGACGGAGACATGCATGACCTGTCTCTGTTGGATGAACCTGGAGCTAGCACTATCGTCGTAGTATTTCCACAATGCTTTGGCCTGCGGGGGTAAGTATATGGATAAACATGCCTGTAACATGGGTATCTTACGCTGTTGCCAATGTTGCTACCATCATTGTTAGTATCTTAGTGAAATAAGGTAGAACTGAGGTAGAGCGAAAACATACTTGATCGTCATCAAACCGATTCCAGAAAGTAGAGCCATCGTCAAGAACAGCTGCCAGAACTCTACTTTGGGCAGCATCGCCAAGCCTCTAATGTCTGGGTGAAGTGAGCCGACGCCAACATCAGAGAGCGCATCATCCTCCTCATGGTAGACCTCCCGAGATTGCCTTGGGGTGCTTTTGGATACCAACGATGACGTTTCATCCAAGTCGGGATTGTGGCTAGTATGGTGGGAGTTGATCGACGCGCCAGATTGCGACCTTACATGCATCGGGGAATGGGATTCAAAAGCTGAAGAATTCTGCATACCTGCTTCATCAGACTCTTCTGGAACATAGCGCAAATCAGAGGACTTCGTCCTATGTAGTCGGGTGGACTCTACTCCAGGCGATCGCTCCCGTGATAACGCCGTGTACGCTTTAGCTGGGGGCATGAGTCGCAGGAGGGGAATGGAGACGAGGTTAAAGAAAAAAGTCCCCAGTGCCAGCAAAAGAAGGAACCGGCCAGTATCATCCTTGAAGATGAATGATGAGACGTTCGACCAGAAAAAAGCGCTCAGTCCAAAGGCTGCCAAGGGGAATGCGGTCGCTGTTCCCCGATGATCGGGGAAGTTCGTTGCGGCTAAGGTTGACGGATCTTAGTTCCGAACGTTCGTAAGGCAGAGATCAACACACCTGTCTTAATTGAAGCCGAGAAGGCGGAGCAACTTCCGAGACCAGTAAGGAATGAGAAAAAGGACAACACGCCAACACTGAGCGAGCCCTTTCCGTGCTCATAGGCTATAGTGGTAGAAGGTCATCAGCACAAACATCATTAAGCGCCGGTGGCAACCAGACAGACAAACCTATATATATAGGATAGTAGCCTATACCGAGGGCCACAGCACCAATAAAAGTTGTGAGTCGTGGACCTCGAGCATCAGTTAACAGCCCCAATGGAACACCCGATGCGTACATGCCTAGATTTCCGGCCACGCCCTAAGAGACATCAGTACGATATACATCGGCTTTTCCGAGGGAAACGAGACAACTTACAATGAAGTTGCTCTCGGTTGACGAGATCTTCATTCGTTCCGCAAATTGTGGCGCCCATGCTGAGTACGCATACTGCGGTCAATCAGTACATCTCTTCAGCAGATGATCTAGTCCACGAGTGAAGTTCAAGAGGGGGGACTTGGAGGCAGGGATAAGCATCAAAGGCAGTCATACATTGGTCCCACAGGCCAGGGCTACTAGTGTGCTCGCAACCACGGATATAATTCGCCTGGTTTTATGAGTTGACTCGGTCATGGTGAATTGTGACGGTGCCGTTGCACCTAATCGTAAAGTGAAGGGCTATGGTATTCCGCCCAGCGCATACACTGCGTGAAGAAGTAATTGAATTGAAATTGGGACCCTTGGGGGGAGGGCAGATAAATGCCGATGACTTTCGGCGAATGAGCAAGATAAAGTTTATCAGCGTCACAGACGTCAGGATGGTATAAGAAAAGGAAACGAATGCAAGGGGTGGTACTGAAATTAAATACGAGAGGTGGGAAAAAGGTTTACGATCCAACGAGTGTAGAGAAGAATAAGATTATAAAAAATAATTTTAAAAAAATAGGAACTTAAAAAAAAAGAGGGGAAGGCAAATTGAACAGGGAGAAAAGCACGCGACGACAGAATGCAAAGTGGCCGTAGGACTCGTAATCGTTGCCGAACTAAATCGTCCTTGACCCCAAATGTATTCGGAGGTACCCCCAGTATACGAATAGGGACGTAAGTACTGGTCAGGTACAGTACTTAACGTACAGCGTTATCGGCCCCTGATAGCCACCCCGTATCCTCGCTTATGTAACCCCCTATCGGCACATGACGAAGGCGGCGGCGGCGACGGCGACTCTTCCGGTCGCTTGCATCTCCATCGCATCATTCTAGCGGTCTATGCAAACTCACCCTCCAGGTCTAGTATATAACATTAAACCTTACCACTAAGTATCATCTGTTGAAGATCACAGTCCCTTTCCCGGGAGGGGAGCTTTAACAACATGGGCGCTCTACTCTCTCTGCCACTTTTGGCGGTGCCAAGTGCCAGTACCGTACGTGCATTTCCATTGCTACCTGATCGGACCTCAACTGATATCAACCCAGCTTATAACGCTTGCAACTTCATGTTGCGGGGCTGCAACTTGCTCGGCAGTATGTAGTGCGTGCGGCAAGTTTCAAAATAGGTAAGTATTCTTTTGTCTCGCTGAGTGTATGATCAGCCACTGACATTCGGGGCCCTCGGATTTCCAGTATGGCTACGAGAATCGCCTACGCCTTCATCCTTCTGATCAATTCAATCGTTTCGTGGATAATGCTCACACCATGGGCGCTCAAGAAGCTACAAAATCTGACTTTGGACTATATGGAAATCACTTGCGACGGCAAAGAATGCCATGGTTGGGTGGCGGTCCACCGTATTAACTTCGGTCTCGGTCTCTTTCACCTGGTTCTTGCGCTGTTCCTGTTGGGGGTGAGGTCATCTAAAGATGGCCGTGCGGCCCTTCAGAATGGCTTCTGGGGCCCAAAAATCATCCTCTGGATCGCCTTCGTGGTCGTGTCATTCTTTATTCCGCAGTCATTCTTTTTCGTCTATGGCCGTTACATCGCCTTTATTTGCGCTATGCTCTTCCTGCTGCTGGGTCTTATCCTTCTGGTAGATCTGGCGCACTCCTGGGCTGAGATCTGTCTGCAGAAGATTGAGGATAGCGACTCCCGAATTTGGCGCGGGCTGCTCATTGGTTCAACTATTGGCATGTACATCGCATCGATCTTGATGACCGTCCTTATGTATGTTTTCTTCGCCGGCAGTGGATGCGCCATGAACCAAGCCGCGATTACGGTAAGTCATTAATCACTGGCCACATTTGTCTTACTGGGGCTCGGCTGACGAATCAGGTTAACCTCGTTGTTTTCTTGATCATTTCCTTCGTGTCCATTCAGCCTATCGTGCAAGAATCCAATCCGCGAGCGGGTCTGGCTCAAGCAGCCATGGTGACTGTCTATTGCACGTATCTGACTATGTCGGCTGTTTCAATGGAACCAGATGACCGCCAGTGCAATCCTTTAGTGCGCGCTCGCGGGACGAGAACGGCCAGTATTGTTTTGGGAGCCATTCTTACCATGGCTACCATCGCATACACGACAACACGTGCAGCCACTCAGGGCCTTGCGTTGGGATCCAAGGGCGGCCATAACTATTCGCCGCTGGGGACGGATGACAACGAACATGGTCTTGTGACCCAACAGCCGACCAGTCGTCGCGAGATGCGGGCCGAAGTTCTTCGTGCTGCCGTGGCTAGTGGCAGTTTACCCGCTAGTGCACTCGACGACGACAGCGACGATGAATCCGATGACTATAACACTAAGGACGATGAACGAGGGTCGACGCAGTATAACTACTCCTTGTTTCACGTGATTTTCTTCTTGGCTACGACCTGGGTGGCCACACTTCTCACTCAGCGCTTGGAAACCGAAGCCGAGAGTACAGATGACTTTGCTGCTGTGGGGCGGACTTACTGGGCCAGCTGGGTGAAGATCATCAGCGCCTGGGTTTGCTACGCGATTTACCTGTGGACGCTGATTGCCCCGGTGGTTATGCCTGATCGATTCGGCGTGTACTGAAATTGTTGCACACCGTCACTTTGAATTGTGTTGACTATACAGCGGAGTTGGGCGTTCACTAGCAATGAGAGTTATTCCAATATCCACGGTGCATCTTTCTTCCTGAGTTATTATATAGTTTACTGCATGGGGTTGTAGCTATGATGAATGAGACTGTATTATCTACTATTATATATGGGAACTGCACTTTTGGCGAACCACGGAAGAATGCAATGTATAGTCTGAAATTCACGTCTACTCGATGTACAGCCGTTTCTCTACCCCTATCAGTCTGAGTAATCCGAGTAACCTGAGTAGATCTAGGGCCTGTGCTGCTAAGTTTACTGAGTGTATCAAATATACTGTAGAAGGGCTGTAAACAGCATGTTATACCTAAATCGTAAATGGAGATCAATGGGGTAGATTATCTTATCTTTGTCCGGTGCTTACGTAGTGATCGCGGTATCGCGTAAAGTGGCCGACCGCCCGCGTAAGTCGCGTTCGCATCAACTATCTTCACCATGGGATGAATATGGCGACTATCAAGGCCATCGAGGCCCGTTCGGTACGTACCCATGAATTTGTGAATGAGCAGCTCCTAACTTCGTCGTATTGCGTCTTTCCAGGTCCACCAAATCCAATCCGGTCAAGTCATCGTCGATCTCTGCTCTGTTGCTAAGGAGTTGGTCGAAAACAGTCTTGACGCCGGTGCCACATCGATAGGTACACAGGACCCTTAACTGCTTTATATAAAACTCTATGTGCCTGTTTATGGTTTCTGTAGGACAGCAAACTGATCAATCTATCTTTCCCAACAGAGGTCCGATTTAAGAATAATGGACTGGACCTGATTGAGGTGCAAGACAACGGCAGTGGAATATCTCCGGAGAACTACGAGAATGTCGGTAAGCTTTCCTCCCATCTTTGTGCTTAAGTATGGGAAGTATCTAACTCTACAGTCTACCAGCACTCAAACATTATACATCGAAGCTTTCTTCCTTCGAGGATCTATCGCGGCTACAGACGTTCGGTTTCCGCGGCGAAGCACTATCGTCCCTATGCGCCCTGTCCGAGTTCCATGTTATCACTGCCCAAGCCAACCAGGCTCCTAAAGCCAACCGTCTCGATTTCGAACCTTCCGGGAAACTGAAGAAGACACAAATCGTCGCGGGCCAGAAGGGCACAACGGTATCGGTGGAGGCACTGTTCAAGAAACTACCTGTGCGGCGCCGTGAGCTAGAGAAGAATATCAAACGTGAATATGGAAAGGTTTTAAACCTTCTTCATGCGTACGCATGCGTCAGCACAGGCGTCCGTTTCAGCGTCAAGAACACTGTCGCAAAGACCCGCAACGTGGTGGTCTTCTCTACGAACGGTAACCGGACAACGAAAGAGAACATCGCCAACGTTTACGGCGCGAAGACCCTCCTGGCTTTGATTCCGCTCGATCTAACCTTGGAATTCGAGCCATCTACGGCTGGAAAGCGAGCCGCTGTGGATGAAGGGCGGGAGGTGAATAAGATCTTCGTCCGGGGACATGTCTCGAGACCTGTTTTCGGGGAAGGCAGGCAAACACCTGACCGTCAAATGTTCTTTGTCAACTCTCGTCCTTGTGGATTACCACAAATAGCTAAAGCGTTTAATGAGGTTTATAAATCATTCAACGTGTCACAGTCACCATTTGTGTTTGCGGACTTTCATATGGATACTAACGCATACGATGTCAATGTTTCACCTGATAAGCGCACAATTCTACTGCACGACGCGGGAGTTATGATTGAGTCTCTGAAAACATCACTTACGCAGTTGTTTGAATCATCGGACCAGACAGTTCCCCAATCTCAAGTCAACAATGCTAAGCAGTCAACTACTAAACTACAGTCCGGAAAATTGCAAGACATTCTAACTCGTAAATCTTCGTCTGGGGGCACAGAGGCTGCGGATGATGAGGGATCAGAACTGGACGAAAGCCAGGCCAATGGCAGAAGCAGGCTCAACTCCCAACATAGGATGAGGAGCTTCTTGAGCGATCTCGGGTCGTCGCCAGGGGGTAGAGCGAGCATATCCTCGTCTCCCCTGCGTGCGGACAAAGAACCTGTGTGTGATCTGACATTGTTGCCTCCAAATACGCCTACCCAATCGAAACGCGACTCATTCGAAACAGACAATCAGCTCTTCGTTACAAATGATGACATCCAACATGAAGAGCCCTCACCGGGTGCAGGCGAGAACATGCGACCAGAACGCCCCACTGACGAAGGTTCACAGATTGCTGATGATAACGATGCTCCACTAAGAAGTGCACCACCAGACTCGCAGCAGACAATAACGCAGAGACGAGAGCCGTCTGCGGAAATACCTAATACTATACAGAATGCGTTCGACCGAATGAGGCCAAGACGAGCGCCGGCTGAGGTGGCGACGATCACTATCGGAAACAAGACCGTGACGTCCATAGTAGGAAGTGGTCCCTATCGAAAGCGTGATATTGACCATGTTGACACTACTAGCTCCACATCTCGGAAAAGACGTATACATACCCCATCTCGTCCGAGTATATTTGGGAAGCACATGAGGGGCTTTACAGCGCCTGGGGTACAGGTAGAGCACACCGCGAGCAGCGAGGCCGAGGAGGAGGAGGAATATGAAGAGGAAAACGAGGAAGAAGAGGAAGAAGAAGAGGAAAACGAGGAAGAGGAGGTTGAAGAGGAGATTGAAGATGAAGAACCTGAGGGTGATTCTCGATCTCATGTTCCTTCCAACCAAGATAGTGCTCAATCGCAAGATGAAGCTCTACCTGAGGCTGAAGTCAAGGATGAACCCACTCTGTCTCTGCAAGATGCTGCACCTGCGGGGAAGACCTTGAGCGACGAAGAGAAGAAGAAACACGAAGAAGCTGAAGTTCAGCGATTGATTCGACAGGCAGAAGAAAAAGCTGCCTTGCCACAGAAAAGCAATATCAACCGTGCCAACAAGCTGAATAAGGGCGCTGCTCATCGCGATTCCACAGTCAACCTAGTGAGCACTATCGATGGGTCACTTTCTAGGATTCAGCTTCAGATGGACAAGCTTCAGGAAAGGCTTCGCTTGCACGGCTCGAATGCTGTACATTCTCAGGACAATGAGGCTGAAAATTCGCAGGAAACTGCTGAGGAGCGGTTGTCGCTAACTGTTTCCAAGGATGACTTTGGCAGGATGCGGATTACTGGGCAGTTCAACTTGGGATTCATCCTAGCCACCCGGTCCTCAACTGATGTCTCTGACTCAGCACCATCCAGTGCGAAGGATGAGCTTTTTATCATTGACCAGCACGCTTCTGACGAGAAATTCAACTTCGAGAGACTCCAGGCGGAAACCGTGGTGCAGAATCAACGACTTGTGCAACCGAAGCAGCTGGATCTGACGGCGGTTGAAGAGGAAATCGTGATAGAGAATCAATCTGCGCTGGAGAAGAATGGCTTTGTTGTGGAAGTTGATGACAGCGGCAACGAACCAATTGGCCGCAGGTGCAAGCTGGTCTCGCTACCACTTAGCAAGGAAGTCGTCTTCGGCGTGCGAGATCTAGAGGAGCTCATTGTCCTGCTTTCCGAGACGCCGGCCAGCAGCGCAGCAGGGCCCATGTATGTTCCGCGACCGAGTAAGGTGCGAAAAATGTTCGCTATGCGGGCGTGTCGGTCCAGCATTATGATTGGGAAGAATCTTTCTCAGAAGCAAATGACCCGAGTAGTGCGAAACATGGGCACGATTGACAAACCATGGAACTGCCCACATGGTCGACCGACCATGCGACATCTGATGAGCCTGGGACAATGGAACGAGTACGATGAGTTCGATGGTGATGAAGAGAGTGAGTTGGAGGATCGCCGGTCATGGACGGATACGTTGGATATCTGGAAGGATTACTTCAAGGAAATGACCGGCGAGGAAGAGGAAAGTGAAGGGTGAAGATGAAGATGAAGCAGATTAACATCATTATCCTTTTTGGTTACGGGTCTTATATATCCAGCGATGTATTAGATCAATGAAATTAACTTGGAAATACTCCATGAGTGCTACTGCCCTAAATTCAATCGCATAAATCATCACATCATCAACCCTAACCCATGACTTAAAAGATAAAAGAATTCAAGTCACCACCACTGAAACCACCCCTTCCCCTTCTTTCCATCCTTATTCCCATTCTCAACCTCCTCTCCAAACCCATTAACCCTCCCATTCCCCTCCAACCCCCGATCTACCCCATTCCCAAGACCACGAGAATCCCCCTCCTCCTCCTCCTCCCCCTCCTCCGCCAACCTCACCGTCTCCTCCACAATCAACAAATCCCTCTCAATCAACTCCGCCCAATTCTGCACATCTCCGATCTCCTTCAACCCATCCCTCGCCTGATCCGCCACCTTGGCCAACTGGTCATTCTGCTTGGCGAGTTGCTCCGTCGCCCGCCGCACATCGGCCTCTTGCTTGTCGAGCACGGTAGCGTTCTCGTGGAGAGTGCGGGCTCGATCGCGGAGCGCGGTTTCGTAGTTTGCGCCGACGGAGCGGAGGGAGGCTGTGAAGGCGGCTTTGGCTTCGGCGGTGCGTTGGTCGGTTGTTTCCGGGGCGATTGTGGTTTGGTCTGTTGGGGTTGTTTGGGATGTTGTGGTTGTGGTTGTGGTTGTTGGTGGTGGTGAGGTGGACATTTTGGATTTGGGTTGAGGGTTGTTGTTTTATAAATGTTATAATGGTTACGTTGGGTGTAGGTGGATTGGTAGTATAGGTTAGTAGATATGGTTGTTTCTTGGGAGTGGGTAGATGGGGTTTAACATGCGTTTTTATGTATAAATGGGAGTTGGTTTTGGGTGACCCCACTTGGGAATTACGCTAAGAGGCTGTCGTGCAGATTAAAATGAGGTGCATACTTAGTATACTCTATTACTGATCTTGGACTCTTGGTGTGTGGAACTGAGTTAATTGAGAGTATTAACTTGATTGTGGTCATACTAAAGTTCATTTATATGTAGAGTGCTATCTATCAGGTGCTTGAATAGAGTATACATGAATCAAAATAGTATTTATATATATTCAGTCAGATGCTTAAGCGTCTTCAATCTCCACACCTGCATTGTGAATCGCTTCCAGAGCCCATTTCTGCTCAGCACCCCGGGCGATATCCACTGGCGTTTTGCCTTCTTTATTCGCTTGGTGGAGTAGTTCGGGCGCTTTTCGGACGAAGGTTTCTACCGTCTGTCGATATTGTTTCTGCCCAGCTACACTGTCACAATACACGGCTACCAGATGGTGGAGCGTGCTATTTCCTGCATGGTCAACGGCCGTGATATCCGCCCCGCGCTTGTACAACGTCATGGCTCGTGTGATGTCTCCCTCCGGGTAAGCAACGATTCTGATATACTTGGGAATGGGCTCATAGAGGGGATACGTGACTGCGAAGGAGTCTGTACCAACGATTTCACAACGCGATGCAGCAAGTAGGAGTGTTCGGCCCTGGGCATCGCGGCGCTCGAGGTCCAGGTCTGAAATCTCGAGGAAGGGCTGGATGGTTCCGCCGTGCTCGAAAATGTGGTGAAGGATTGTGGTTTCGTCGCTACAGGCGCGGAAGGGGTCTGCGCCTTGTTGTAATAGGTATTTGATAAACTTAATGGCGCTGTCTCGGGTGTTTGACTCGTTGAATTTTGGCATTGATAGGTAGTGGAGAGCGTGGAGGGTGAAGTTTGTTAGGTTCTTGTCATCGTGGAAGCGCTGAGTATACCATACATTGCCTTCTTTTTGTACGGTAGTCGTGTTGCAGTTGATGCCGCTCTCCTGAAGGAGGGATAGGATATCGAGGTTTAAGTTGTCTAGTGTGGTGAACAATACCCGGCTTGTGTATTTTTCCAGGGATGCTCCGTTCTAAAGTAGTAGACGGAACAGGTCAATGTCGTACGTTGCCAGACTCAATGGGGACCAGCCGTTATAGCTTGGCATGTTGGGGTCAGCGCCAGCTTCGAGCAAAGTTTTGACAATCTTCTTTCGTTGATGTGATTCGGATAGGGATTTGTGCACTGCGTTCAGCAATGGTGTGTTGCCGCTGGTACTTTGGAGGTTAGGGTTAGCGCCATGCTGGAGCAGGTATTGAACTGCTTTCGTATGCCACCACTGACCTCCTTTGGCAAGGTAATGTAAAGCACTTTCGCCGGGTTGGTAGGCCCGTCTTAGCCATATTGTTGATTGGAAGGGGAGTTTTGGTCGAATCTCTATTCCTGGTTGGAACTGGACGTTGATATCTGCTTTGAAGTGTTCCACTATGACCTTAATGACCTCCAGGTTGGGGACTTTTCGCTCTGCGGCTATCAGAAGATACGGCATGAGCTGCTTCTTCAACGTGTTCACTCCACCGTTAATCCAACCTGGATCCGCCATGAGGTTTCCTAGGCGTTTGAAGAGGTCGGCGTAGCCCCATTTTGCGAGGTTCACAAGGATCCCAGGGAGGGCGGTCTGTACATGTGCTGTGTCTGCATGTTTTTCCAACCCTTCAGCTAGGGCATGATACTGTCGGAGAAGTAAGAGGCGAGCAACCGTACGGTCGCTAACGGACTCCCTGAAGCAAACGTCAAGAATGTCTGGGAGGTGCCGAGAAGTAAGTGTGAGATACATATATCCAAAATCCGGAAACCGCATGGTCTCTAAGCCATGTTGTTCCATCAGTCGTCCAAGCTCTGACACCAGCTCCTCGGATCCACTAAAGACAGCTTCCGCCATAGGGGACATGCGAGAGGGCCAATGAGTGAGTGTAGCCCCATGGGCGACGAGAGCCCGAAGAATCCCAGTCACATTTGTGGTGTCATTCTCAGAGGTCACTTCCAATCGTCGTATGGCCTCTCGTGAGACCTTATCGATGAGTTGTGGTAGGTTGGGCCTTTTCTCGTCCTTTGACAAGATTCCAGCAGCGCTGACCTTACCATCGAGCTCAGGAAGTTCTAAATGGACCGGCCATCTCTGTTCTTCCTTCGCATATTCACAGCAGACCAGCAGAGGTGTCTCTCCACGATGGTATTTTGCGTCGACTTCTGCGTTGACATCGGCTCCAAATTCAAGCAAAAGGCTTACTGTTTCCAATCTCCCTGATCGGCATGCATCATGTAAAGGTGTGCGGCCATTCTTGCATCGTTTGTTCACGAGTGAAAGCTGGTTGATCGAGGTATAATGCTCAAGTAGAAGCCCAACAATATTGGCTTGGCGTGCTGTGGATGCAATATGAAGCAGATTCCTGCCGTCACCAGTCACCGCTGTGGTATCTGCACCGAGATCGATAAGTCTGGCCACCAACGTCTCGGAGCAGCTAGCCGCCAGATGAATTGGCCGTATGCCATCATGATCCGCTATGTCTAACGCTTCTACCAGCCCTGCTTCGAGAACAAGATCTATCGCTCTCTTATCACCGGCTACTGTAGGTAAGAACATATACTCGGATACTTGGCGACACAGGAGATACAGTGGTGTTTGACCCTTGAAGTTAGCCTGGGTTGGGGACACTCCCGCATCCAACAGCTTCTGGATGATATATATGTCGCTTTCGTCCGAGAATGAGGCAAAGTCCGCTGCGAGACGATGTAGAACGGTGTCTCCCTCATAATTTGCCATGTTTGGATCTGCTCCGATGGATAACAAAAATTCAAGCGCTTCATTTCCTCGACGGCCGTTGCCGCGTTTATAATGTAACACTCCGTTGCCTTTGTAGTTCTGTGTGTTAACATTGGCTCCTCGCTTGATTAAAAAAGTAACTTGTCGCTCGTAATCGACAGCTTGCTGCATAGTATATGCTAGCAGTGTGAACCCCTGATTGTCCTTGCCTTCAATATCAGCACCAGCAGCGAGAAGGACATCTACTGCATCCTCAACCCATTCCATAGGTCCATCCACCATATGCAATGGAAGCTTGCCCTTTAAGTTTCTCTGGTCAACACGCAGGCCGAGCTTAAGCAGCTCAGATATCGTCCGACTGCCGGGTCGATGACCCCTCGCAGCAAGATGTAACAGTGTATTACCTTTAGCATCAGTGTCATTCCAACTGGAAACGTCAGGTCGAAACAGAGAAAGGTCGCCTAACTGGCCCTGAGCAGCAAAGCATTGCAACGGAGACTGGCCATCAGACACTCTTTTCACATCGAGCTTCGCCCCGCGATTTAGAAACAGTTGGAAAATATCTCCTGATTTATGTAAACTCAGGAGATGTAACGGGGTAGATCCAGAGTCGTCCACAGCATTTACGTCTGCTCCACTTTCAATGAGCAACTTTGTATATGGCATATTGTCATGAACAGATTCATGTAGGACAGTTCTTCCCGTTGCGTCCCGGGCGTTCAGATCGCATCCTGCGCGCAGAAGTAAGGGCAGCAGCTCGGGAAAGACCTCGCTCGGCAAGGGATCTGATTGTCGTCTCTCCCGACGCGGTCTCAGGAAACCATGGAGGGGTGTGAAGATAGGCTCTATCTTAGACTGTGAAGATGAGGGGGGCTCCTCCCATGACTTCAAACGTGCGTCGGCCCCGTGGTCCACGAGCAGCCGAACCACTTCCAAGTAACAATGGCTCACTGCAATGAACAAGGTAGTCCTGCCATCCTTGACGGCATTGACATCCGTCCTGGGGCATTCAAGTAGAGCCTCAGCGAAGGAAACGTTTCCAGAAGCACAGGAATCGCAAAGAGCCGAGTTGAGTTCTTCCGTAGATGCCGTAGGGATTGCATTCTTGAGAGATTCGAGCGAGCCCGAGGCACATGCGGCCTGAATTGTAGGGTTTTCATGAGACATTTCAGTGTCAGGATATCTGCGGGGAGAATGTGGTATCCAGACAAAGTAACATACTCTCTATCTTGGTTTGGAGGGGAAAGGAATACATGTTTATATATTCCATTCCATGAGGTGCACTTATGGTAGAGTGGGTAGTGGGGACTTCGTGTTGGCGTTCCAGAGATTCGAAGCCTTAGCGTGCTTTCTGCCTTGGGGTTGCCTAAGGCTAGACCCAAGCAGTTGAATGACTGATAGAGTAGGGTCAATTAGTAGCACTATCAAGAGATCACGGGTCATATTTCCGACTACCGACGCGGGTCATTCTAATCCGTGTGTGTAAATTTATGCACTAACTTAAACACCCCCCGGGGCTTCGCTACATTTCGGTCCCATTACCTTCACTGGACTGATTATAGGGTGGTCTACTAGCTAGACGATATCCAAACTACACCCCCAAGCAACTAAGTCATTACCTATTTTTTCTCCGGAAAAGCCTCCGTGCGGATTTGGCCCCAGCAGAATTTAGCTCTGATCCAAAGCAGGAGACATATACTGGGGCAAATACTAGAAGTGACGATCTCCCATTCCACGACTAGTGCTTGTTTGCTGCTCATTTTGACAAGGGACATATAAGCTCCGATGCCACCCCTGAGGCTAAGGGCTGCGGAGTCGTTCCAAGTAGATGAACAGCCGTCACTTTGTGAATGGCATTACCAAGGTACGTCTTCACCATTGTAAGCCTCCCACCCTGGTACGTGAATATTCTTGAAATGGCCATTGTCCATCCGGTCGGCACCCAGAATAACGTTAAGAACCGCCTCTGCACCTTGTGGGAGAGTGAGGTCCGCATTCATACCGCCCATGTCACTCTGAAGCCACTGTAAAAGTATTAGCCCCCTAAGCCGACATGTTAGGGAACGGGAGAAGACGATGAACCCCAGGGTTCACGGAAAGAAAAATAAAGTCATCATCCTTATAAGATAGTGCGTATTGGACGGTCAAGGCATTCAAAGCCGCTTTGCTTATCTTATACGCCGGGCAAGGTGCGTAGGCGACGCCCGATGCATTCGTTAAGGACCCATATGCGCTTGAACTGCCAGAACTGATGAGTAAAACAGAAATGTTAACCAGGACCGCCGACTCACATATTGGCAATCTTCTTCAGCTTGCTGCCGCGCATGAAAGGAAGGTACTGTCATATAACGTTATGCGTGCCCACAACATTCACCGACAAGTGATAGTCGAGGTCTGACCTGTTGGACTGATGAGGTTGAGTTTCTGACAGGGAGGCGACAGTAAGGAAATCATACATGTGAACTAGCTTCCCCTGAGTCTCACTGTGTACACCAGCACAGTTGATCAGGATATCTAGACTCTTCTCTTTCAGGGCGGATTGGACAGCTATCACTGATTGTGTGATCGCCTTCTCGTCGGTGATATCCAAAGGCACGAACACGATAGAGCCGTGGGAGTGCGAGATCAAGTCGGGCAACTCCGGGCTACATTTTCGAGCCGCAGCAATCACTATACCCCCTTGGCATTCGCCGGAAGCCAGCTGCCTCACCAGCTCCAGCCCGAGGCCACGGGAACTACCCGTAACGAGGACGTTCGACATGATTGTCCACACCGAGTGAAGTGTTGGATATCCGAGCTCATCTCACAGAACCCGATCGGCCTCTTCTAGCTCTGTAGCAGATATAAGGAAAGGCACTAATGGGGTGGTAAAGTTTGTTCCCCGGAAGTTCATCGACTAGTACGTCACGATACCCAAAGAATCCGGACATCCGAAGTCAGTGGGGATTGATCAGAGCCCCACTTGCCCCATGGGTTCCGCATTGGCAAAAGTTTAAACAGCTACTAGTAAATGGTCCGATTCGTCCGGACGAAGAGGTCCCTGAATGCCGAGACATATTCCCTGTCCATACTTAACATGTCCCCACAGGCAAAGCATGTTTATATAAGCTGTACTTCGTGGCATCTACAAAGAATGTGGTAATATATGATCATTGCTTGCTCGCTTGACGGCGCGTTCTTGGTACATCTCAGGTTAACGCGACTATCGAGCCTTGCATCATGACCGACCCCAGTATGAATGAAGGCCATTTATCTGTTCTACGGTCGTTTTTACACCCTGGTGAAATAATCACACCGGATTCTCCGGCCTACCTACCGAACGCCCAAACATGGGCATCCCAAAAACAACTGAACCCCCGTCTTATTGTCAGGCCTGCAACAATAGAGACTTTGAGCAAGCTAGTCGCCTACCTATACTCCACAGACCTGGATTTTGCGATTTACGGGCATGGTTTCATGTCTGCTTCCGCCAAGGATGTGCTTATCAATATGTCAGCCTTTGATAACTTTCACTTCGACGAGCATTCGGAATTAGCGACTATTGGTGCAGGCCAGACATGGGAGGACGTGTACAGAAAGCTTCGGAAGGCGGCACCGAACTATGGAAGTATAATCCTCCCGTCTCCCTCTCGGACTAGCGTCACGCTGACATGTATTAGTCGTGGGGGCACGTACCCCTTGTGTAGGGGTAGCTGGTACCATCATCAGTGGCGGGTTTTCATGGCTTTCTGGCGAGTTTGGCTGCATCTCTGACCCAGAAAATATGCTGGATGCGAAAGTTGTCAAGTACGATGGTTCTGTTGTGTGGGCGTCAAGAGAACCCCAGCTGCTGTGGGCCCTCCGTGGCGGTGGTGGCGGCTTTGGCGGTAGATGACCATCGCACCTTGGTATCCCCGATTCATTTATACTAATCTATCGGATATAGTACTTGTGCAGGTCGTGCTTCGGGTGTTTCCCTATCCCCAGACGATTTGGGCGGGTCCGATTCTGATTCCCAGAGAACAACTCGAGGGGGTAGCTGGTGGAATTGCCAACTTCGTCTCCAAACCGGTCGATCCAAAGATCACAATGTTCCTGTATGTCGTGAAGAAACGGCTGCTCGAGTCCATTGGCACCGATACAGATATGCTGGTTATCCATGTATTTGACGCACATGGGGAAGTTCATGGACGTGCCAGCTTTCAATGGGCATTAGATATTCCGGGAGCTATCGACCAAACTCGAATTACGTGCCTTGAAGGTGTAGCTAACCTGCAAGGTGAAGTTAAGGACCCGTCATGTATGAGTGCTGGAACTCATTCTTGGTGCAGATAAAGCGCATATTGTCAAAGGCTCAATGAAACAATTCTGGGCGCCGCTGCTCTTACCGGAAATCTCAAAGAAGTCAATTATCCGAGCTATCCGGTGGTCCGAGGAAATCCAACAACTTGACGAATCGCTGGCAGATTGCACCTACCTGATTTTCGAGTTACTGAGTTCGGTACGTGGTAACCGTAAATGCTGATGCCTATGACACGAGGGTATGATTAACTCTTATATCTACTTAGCGAGAACCAGTGGGTTCATCATCAAACTGTGCTTGGCCAAGGCCCGCAGGCGGAAAGCATATCCTGCTCCTTGGAACTGGGTGTCCTGCCGGCTCCGGGCCTTGCAAAGAAACCCTTGCACGAGAACTTGCCATTGAGGCGGCTTCGAAAGTCCTGGGAGAGGATGCGGAATACTGCTATCTACCAAATGGTTTCGAGGACTTCCATGACGCCAAAAAGGTATTACCCAGCCGTCTCCGACGAGTTTATGAGTCGCTTACTCCGTATAGATATGGGGGCGTCACTTCGCTCCGCTGCAGGCTTTGAGGAGGCGCTATGACCCACGCGACAGGCTTAAAGGGGCAATTAAAGCATGACAGAGAGGAAGCGTTGCATGTGCAAACACATTCAAGATGTGGCAGAACTGAGGTGCTTATCTAGAACTGATAGATACGAAAGAACATACTATTTCCCTCAGCCACGCTAGCTGTACACATCTTGGAGATGTTATCTTGTAAACAGAGGATCCTATAGTGGTACTTTGGGGGTCACAGGAGGGTGGACAGAGAATTGGGCGCTAACTTTAACTGAAGGAATATATATTTGTGCCGGTGGTGAGCAGAGAGATATCAGCATTTCTCTAATATAAGTCAACCATACGAGGGCTTATGATGCTTAGTGAACGTGACTATTTATTCCGTTTGCTCTGCCACGTCTCGTTGACGTTGACTGGTAGGTGGCTTTACTATAGACCGCAAGCCAAGCGATCGGTCGTTGGATGGATCTGTGAACCAGAGAATTGTTTCAATGTCGTGCCGCGCAAACTTGCTACTTAATCGAAGCTGTCTTCCGCGCCAATATAGGACAAACGGAAAAGGTACAAAAACGCAGGTCAAACAACCTAGCAATGTACAGGCCCAACCTACCCCCAAGTTGTGGAACATGGCAGCCGCAAATAATGGAAATCCGGCCCCGAATGATGAACGCATGAAATCATTCCCGGCGAGCACCGACGCTGCATATTTGGGATATGCATGCGCCAAGTAGCAAAATATCGGATTAAAGATCAGACATCCACCGACCGAGAACAGGCCCGCCGCAGCAATTGGGGCTATCCAGTGAACCGACCCAAAGTTCCCAGTCCACCCGAACCAAAAGAGGGAGACCGGCAAGCAAATGCTTCCCACGCACGCTGGAGGCAGCTCGTATTCTGGTACGATGGACCCACCGTCCCTGATCCTTTTCGATTGATAAAAATACTTCCATGTGAAGTATCCAGGAATGGCGAACAGGACTGTGCCGGTGATGATCCCTAAAAATGACATCCCGCTTTGTCCTGGGTTGAACCCGTGTATCTCTTCAAAGACGATTGGGAAGGCCTCGAACCAGATGTAGAGGATGCCATAAACGAGCGAAATGTACACGTTCATGACGAGGAGGATTGGTTCCAGGAAACACAGTTGGAAAGGACGAACCAGTGCTTCAAACAGAATGTCCTAAGAATTTGTGAGGTCTGATCAAGGAAAGGGAGTCGCGCGCAATGGCATACCGTGGGTGGAATTTGGCGTAGCTCGAGCTCAGCCTCAGAGCAAAAGTTCGAGTTTCGACTCATGTGGCGTATCCGTCGTGCCCGTCGGTAGAGAATGTTTGGACCATATGTCTCCGGCAGGAGAAAGAATAACAGGACAGCAGCGAAGCCAGACACCCAGATAAGCTGCCAGATAGTCCATGTCCAGTCTTGTGCAGATGATGCAAACCCGCCCACCATCGGCCCAAGAACAGGTGCAGCGATAGCGAATGTTCCCCATATGACAATCATATAATCGCGTGCCCTGGGGCTCCAGATGTCAGCCATCGATGCACCCCCCGTCGCGAGGGCTGGCGAGCCAATGAATCCAGTTAAGAATCGAAAGGCTAGGAACATTCCAAAGTTTTCCGAGTATACGACGGCGAAATTCAGACCCACAAAGATGAAGAGCGTAAGCACGTAAATTGGACTCCTTCCGACCATGGGAAGTTCGGAAAGAGGTGACCAAATCATTGGCCCTTTCGCCAAACGTCAGTTATGGTGCAACCAGTGAGCGGAATAGCCAAACTAACCGACTCCATAACCTAGCACGAACAGTGTGAGACCCAAAGTTGCAGCAATATCACTCACTCCAAATTGTTTCGCTGCCCCGGGAATACCTGGGGAGTAGATGGCCGAGCCGATGTAAATTGCAAAGGTCAATACCCATACCAGCGAACTAACGAGAAGCTTTTTGGCGAAGCTCCAGTTCTGTGGATTCTACCAGGCGTTAGCTGGTCAGCAAAGGGTATAGAGTCCTCTATAAGGTACATACCTCACTATCACCTGATCTCCAGCCTACAATCATAGCCTTCTCGTCCCGAGGAGCAGGCATGGGCCACGACCCTTGGCGTGACCGGTAGGAAGCCTGAGACATGATAGTCTCTAATCCATTTGGCTCAACGATGCTTTCATTGCGAGTCAGTTCAGGAAATGCCGGCCCTACTTCTGCGGCGGTAGCAACCATCGCCTGGATGAAAGATGGATCCCGTTCCTCAGGGTAGAGCAGTAGCCGGCGACCGCTCAAGAGTCGAACGATCTTCCCAAACGCTGTGTCTCTAACCAGTTCCCTCATGGTTGATATCGTCGACGGCGGGTCCACACAATATGAAAGCTTTGTGTCAGGGTTCCGTCCAGGTAAGCCTGGGGACGAGGCCGCATTTAAAAAAAGGGACTCAGGTAACGCCTGTTCGAGGCAATCTTGGTTCCCAGGGTAATTGAAACTCAAGCAGCACAAAGTTTGACATAAAAATCATCAGGTTTGAAATCAAGTGGATTACGCTAGACAATTGCCGGTGAAAATAGATCAGAATCAAGGCAATTCTGGGGAGTTCCGAAGATGAATGGAATGCTTCGGAAAGCCGAGAGTATCGGATATTGCTTAACCTTCGATCTGCTCATGGATTTTGGTAGGCCCGCTGGACGGCATAAGCGTATACATCCGACCGGAACTGATCCACTCCGTTGTTCCACTCCCCACAAATCTTTCTAGACATGCTCTCGGCACCTCATGAAGCAACAATGCTTGGTTGAGGTACGGCCGCGGGCGGTCTTCCGGAGCGGCCGGCGGAAGGGGCAGGGGCAGGGAAATACCAGGGAACAGATCCCCTGTGTATAATTTTAAACGTTAAGCCGCGCCGGCTGCATGCCCATGTTTTCCATTGCAATAGGGAATTTCTAAAGATTCATATAATTTCAGTTTCCCCTCCTACGAAGTGATCAGGGGACTTACAATCTATCACAATCGCAGTCAAACCAGGGCCCATTCGCCTCCCCCAACATGGCTTCTGCGTGCGAACTCCGACGAACGTCTCATGATGAGCGGCTTGCTGGGTCTGAGCCGTACGATGTTGTGGACTGGGATGGCCCTGAGGATGATGCAAATCCGTTATACTGGGGTACGCCAAAGAAAGTTCTGAACGTTGCATGCGTGTCGATTTTCAACTTTCTGACGTACGTCTTGGAACAATCGATCGATGGTCTTCTGGTATACAAAACTGACAGGAGGCTTTAGTCCATTGGGATCGGCCATGTTTGCGCCTGGTGTCACACAAGTGATGGAGCAGTTCCATTCGACGAGCAAACCTCTCTCATCCTTCGTGGTTTCTGTGTATCTGTTAGGGTTTGCTTTCGGACCCCTGATCGTGGCGCCTCTTTCTGAGCTTTATGGCCGACTGCCGCTCTACCATGGATGCAATATACTGTTCACTTTATCTAACATAGCCTGCGCTCTTGCTCCCAGCATGTCATCTTTAATAGGTTTCCGATTCTTGGCTGGGTCAGCTGGCAGTGCGCCCTTGGCACTCGGAGCTGGAACGATAGCAGATATCATGGAACCCAAGCGTCGTGGACTAGCGATAGCTGTGTGGGCTACCGGTCCTGTTGTCGGCCCCGTGGTTGGCCCGTATGTTGCACCAGCCCTATATCCTGCGCCAGTCTCTGTACGTTGGGATGCGGTAGCTGACAGATTCATTGTGCCCCAGTGTTTGTGGCGGGTTCCTGACAGAAAATGCGTCATGGCGGTGGGTTTTCTGGGTGATTGCAATTCTGGTGCCGTCCTTCCTATCCACGATGAAATGAAAACGGGTTAACAGACTGCGTTCCAGAGCGGTATCTGCACCGGATTCTCATTTCTATTCCTCCGTGAAACCTACGCCCCGATCCTCTTATCTCGCAAGACAAAGCGCCTGATTCGCGAGACTGGACATTCCAACAAACGTTCCGCCCTTCATAGTGACTTAACCCCTTCTACTCTCTTTACAACATCGATCACCCGCCCTCTTAAAATGCTGGTGTTTTCTCCCATAATATCAGCGTTGTCCCTGTATGTCGCTGTAGTTTATGGCTTCCTCTATCTGCTGTTCACGACCATGTCGCAAGTGTACGGAAATCAGTACCACTTTACTGCCGGACTTGTCGGGCTGACTTACATCGGATTGGGTGCTGGTTCCACCATTGGTCTTCTTGCAATGGGTCGCTTCTCAGATGTCGTATCCAAGCGCCTGGCTGGTGGAACGAAAGGTTCTTGGAAGCCAGAATTTCGACTGGCTCTAATGATACCTCTCAGTCTTGGTCTGCCTATCGGGTTATTTTGGTATGGCTGGGCAGCAGAGAAGAAGGCGCATTGGATATTGCCTATCATTGGAACTGGATGGATTGGGATTGGGGTCGTGGCTTCGTTTGTAAGCTTTGTTTCATAAACACTACAGTCTGGATGGGCTAACGAGGGTCAACGGCATAGGTTGCTATCCAGAGCTATCTTGTGGACGCTTTTACAACACATGCAGCATCTGCAGCGGCTGCTTCGACGGTCCTTCGATCACTGCTGGGAGCGGTGCTACCTCTCGCTGGGCCCTCCATGTACAGCGCCCTTGGTTTAGGATGGGGTAACTCGGTATTAGCCTTTATAGCCATCGCCATGCTTCCACTTCCACTTGTGTTCTTTATGTACGGAGAAAGGATTCGAGAGAAACAGCTATTTGTGTTTTGACCGATATTGGGCAACCGATGACATGGCTATCTTAGTGATTGCAAGCAGGCCGATTTGCTTACAGAACGGCACCGGGCGTCTAGATCTGCGTTACATTGGAAGTCTAGGTCTCTATTTAGACTTGCAAACCCGTATACGAAGACTTGATGGCTGATATACACCGTCTACTTCCAATTTCACGGTAGACGGTCAGCCATCCTATTACTTTGCTTGAAGCCATTATTCTTTGTATGACGGCTGGTTTGTACCCGGTGTTTCAAAATTTTGATTTGCCCATCAGGCTATGCACAAGGGACAAAAACCACTCATTTATAGTAGTAGAACACAAACCGAACCTACCCAGTAAGATCGAGCTTCGTGGTGGGTCTGTGCATGTGGGGCCCCGTGACGATCCTGGGCTTTCCGCTTTCTTTCGGTTTTCCGAACAGAGAAGACTTTGTTCCAGACCAGTTCGATGAACGGAGGTTCGGCCCCACCCATCGGTCACTAACGGCAACCCTAACGCCATCTGCGCATGTTTATCCAGCTATCCGGAGATTCCTGTCTTGCGTCTACCAGAGCATATGCTGAAAAACACGCCGCCCTTTTTTATCGACGACCCTGCGCGGGGAATGCGAAAATGTCTATCCGATGGAAACCCCCCTGCGGAACCTAGCTGCCTTAGCACGGTGGCCTGATCCCAGGTGATGTGCTCGTGGTAAAGGTGGTCTCCTCGGATATTGACAACCGCCATGAATGGAATTTCCAGCTTACAGCCGGATGGCGGTATGCCAGGAATACTGCAAGTGTAAGGTGTATGAACATGGCAATCTGGAATATGCATAGTACTTACAGCCAGTCCGATCTCCGAATCATGTGTTAGAGTCATGATAAACTCGTCTACTACGCGGTCCATGCCGATGGTCCGACTTATAAGAAACATGCCGACTCGGTGTCCAGGGTGTGAGAAGGTCAGTGCCTCTTTAGCTCATAATTGCTTCGTACAGTGATAAAGAATAACGACTTGCCCACAAAGGATACACAATGTCTCTTGCGAATAACGGTCCTCTGTGGCCCTTAAGTACATCTGGAATAAGACCTGATGGCCCGTCTTTCCCTGCCTCTGGTGGGAACTCCGTTCCCCCTCCTCTTGTTCTGGCGGCTAGGCCTCCATTGTCGATATGGGGGAGTTAAATCCGACACCCCACGCTTTATCGGAGAGAAGATGAAGGCCAATTACGTCCTTTTCCTCTTGGCCGAACTACGTACGTGGTACTACTCAGCACGAATTCGAAGAAAGTCTTGACGCGGTCTGAACATCACCCGTGTGTCAATTGCACATAAACCCTTGGTATCTTATCCTAGGTACAGTCCTCCACTAGCCCCTTAACAACGGTATCCAAAGTTGGTGGACTCAGTCCCATCGCCGAGTAGTTTATCAACCGGTCAGAAAAGTCCGATCCAAACCCTTCTTGAAAAGTTAAGGCGAAGAGCAGGCTGAACACCGCCATATGATCACCATCCTCCATGCCCTTCTTAGCCTCCTGAGCTGCCACCTTGGAATTCACCCTAACTACTTCCCAATCTGCTTGTATCGTCCTTGTCATCCGTATCGCACTCTCAAAAACGTCGCGCTGGCTGACCAAGAAGGAACTGAAATAGATCCAGGCATTCCGGTGCTGTTGGATGAACTCGTCCGGCATACTGAAGAAGCGTGCAAGGCTGATGGCTATCCAGGGAAGAGTCGATGTATTGATCTTGACCTGGCCATCATCGTAGAATGTAACTTTGCGGTTCCGGATGTCAAGACCCCAGAAACCGTTGCGCACATTGAAATCGAAGAAGAGCCCATTCACAACGCCAATCCATGAACTAACTCCGAGCTCCTCAATCAAAGCACGGAAAGGCTTCTGCATCTCTGCCAAACCTATCTCCCGGTTCAATCTCTCATGTGTCGGATCCGATCCAAACTCAGTTGGAACGATGTACGGCACTCGGGCAGCCGCCGCCGCCCGGATCAATGGGATCTGCTTTCCGTAGCTCTCTGGGCTCAGACTTATGATGAGAGCATCCTGACTGACAAGACAGCGAGCAAGGGATGCCTCATCATCCAGATCGACTCGATTCACGGAGACTCTGCTGTCGAAGATCCTGCCATTCTCCGGTCTGGTTATGACTGAGATATGGTGGACCCCAGTATCAAGAAGAGCTTCAAGTATGTGGGATCCTAAAGCGCCTGTCGCCCCAACTAGCACAATGCGACGTGATTGAATATTGACCATTCTGAAGTAGCAAACGAAGCAACAGGAAAGCGGGCGTGAAGGTAACCATAAAAAAGTTGGAATTCGTGCTTCGTCCTAATGCAAACTGGATCGTTCTCAGCATGCTCGAAGGGTTCCGCAAGAAAACACGACTCTTGAAATTATAAGGGTTTACGAGCTTGGATCCCCGTGGTCCTTTTGATTCCAAACAGTGGATTCACCGGGGAATTACTCCACTCTCCACCAAAAAGTAGGTCCGGTCCTTCGGCAATCCGAGCATATCAGGATAGCGTAATGGAGCTAGTGTTTCTATCCCCACTTATCGGTTGATGTGGGTACCTTTGCTCCGGAGGATAAACCACCCCAGGAAAGCCTCGGGTGCTTGCAAATGAGCCGTACACACTACCGATGGGACCAAAGCGTTGTAGTAAACCGATCTCAGGCATCCTTGCATTCAAATTCACGTTTAACAAACTAAATCAGAGAGTGTACTTGCTACCCGAGAAACATGGGACCAGGCAGTTGGGCATGTCTTTCGCAATATGACATTTGAATCTCCAGCCCGTACAATGTCCGGCTAGGAGCACCTTGGGATCCAGCTTCTTCAAATCCTCCATCGTCGCGTTGAGTTTAGCATCGTCCGCGTCCGCTAGATGATATCCACCCACGACGCAGTAGAGAGGGCTGCCGTTTCCCAGCCTGACTGCATCTTGACAGGTGTTCACGATACCTGCGTGACCGCAACCGGTGAAAACAACAAGACCTTTACCTGAAATGCGATAAGATAGACGTTAGGTCTGCCCTTGCGAACACCAAGTTGCTTAGATTGTAAGGTCATACCTTTTAGATTACACATCACATATCGTTCTTCCATAATCAAGGTGTCTTCTTCCCATTGGGCAGTTGAGTCATTGAAGCGCAATCCTCCGTGGATACCATCCTCGTAACTAGTTTTGCGAGGTATCTCACCCGAGACAAGGAAAAAGTCATCCAACACAGTATGAGATTGGTCACTTTTTAGTAAAGTAGCTCCGGCTGTCTCCAGCTCCTCGAAAGAAGGATCGGCTTCGAGAGAGATTGGTTGATCTGCCTGTACCCCTCGGAATGCAGGCCGATCTGGGTGCACGTCCACCACTACACGTTTTGAGCCAGGCTCGTTGAGATTTATCAGTTCGATTGCCGTAGTCAGGCCACCTATTGTATTGGTTTAGCTTTACTTTTATCAAAAGTTTCAAGGCTATCCCTGCTTCCATACCGGAGTGGTCTCGGTGATAATGAGAGAGAGTAATATGCTCAATCTTGCCAACTTCGGTCCTAAGTCGGCGAGAATTTCTTTCCCACACAGCGCCTTCGGGTCCAGCATCGAAGAGAAGGTAGTGCTTCCGGGAGCCCTTCGTGGCAACCTGTGAAATATAAGCTATTAACCCTTATTCAAACGGCGGAAACCTACGAGGAGCAACGAGATTCCGTGAGCCGCGCAACATATATTATCCATGCGCATTTCCATAGTCGCTCCACCCCGTTGGGTGCCCGACTTCAACGGCGTCAGTGGAATTCCCATAAACCGACTCGCCGCCTTTACGGCAGGGTTGGGGCTTGGAGAGATCGGGTCAAGTTCATCGTTGACGATGACATGGATCTCGAGTTCTTCAATCTCTGTGAGCATGGTATTGCCTCTTCTTCGAACTTCGGTTGAAGGATGGATTAGGGATCATCACGTCCACTACAAAGGGATGGGCGTGTTCTAGTTAAAAAGCCAAGGCGGCAGGTGTCATGATATCATGGCGATATCGCCGTATGCCTAGCCAGCTCGGTATCCGACCGTAGAAGGCAATGGGTTTCCGGTGGTTCGGAGGTCCGGCTGTTCCAACATGACAACTACCAGCGGTTAGAACTGCCGGATATGGATCTCGCCAGATGTTTATTCTTGTTTAGGCTATACTACTATGAAAGAATGGAGGTCAGCTTAGAGAAAATATAGGATGCCGGTGTATACACTGATTATCGCAGGAGAACTCATTTGTACCCTACCTGTGATCTCGTCGCGACGACTTCGACTTGGCAACGAAACTCTATTCACAAGGAAGCAATATATCGAATCATCGATGCTGACGACGCCGTATGGGGCAATATCAACGCGCATGTACCTCTCTCCCGGCAGTTTCCACCCCCCTCTTCTCTCCGGGTGGTTCGCTCCGGAATTGCATCATACGGGATGGCCGGCATACGAGGACCATTAAGTGTGGGAGCTCGTCTCCTCATTCAGGAAGTCGACGAGACTTCGGCTGACGGCTCTTTCTGGGTCCTTCTCTGGGGTGGTGCCAATGTTCTAGCCCAAGCTTTGTGGAGTGTCCAGAACTCTCGAAGTACGGAAAGCTTATCGACATTCGTCCGGAAGCTTCGTGTCTACTCTATCTCTGACCAAGACGACGCAGGGCCGTGGTTACAAACAAATTTGCATGTTTTATATTGCGAGCATACATTCATTGAACATGTATGGCCTAGCGGCGTGGACTGGAATCAGTGGAGAAGAGCATTATGGCTTCGACAGAAGCGGGCCTGATCACAAGTTAGTGACAAAAAGTTGGCTCCAGGAAAACATTCAGATCGGGCCGTATGGCAAGCGAGCATATCCTGACCCGGTCTTTATTGTGGAAGGCGACACGCTGACATTCTTATCTTTGATTCAAAATGGGCTCACTGATCCGAATCGTCCCGAATGGGGTTTTGGGGGGGGGGCCGCTATATGTTGACGGACCCTTCGGGCGAGAGCGGTCACTACGGAGATGCAGCGGACACCGTGATAGGAGTTGATGATAGGGCTCATGTGAGCAATCAAGCCACAATTTGGCGTTGGCGAGAGGCATATCAAACGGACTTCGCCGCATGCAGTGGACACTGAGTCCGCGTTTCGCAGGCACCAACCATGCACCGATCGCAGTGGTTAATGGTGACTGCAGTTTGAAACCACTTATTATTAATTCTGGCTTAGGGGAAACAGTTCTCTTGGATGCTTCTCAGTCATGGGATCCCGATGTTGGTAACACTTTGAAGTTTCGATGGATGCAGTATGCGGAGCCGTCGTCGACTAGGTGGACCATTCGCTACGCAGTCCCGAAGCTCCAAATTGAAGATGCAGGACCACAAGCACAACACATGGGCAAGGTGGCGGTCAGATTACCGTCCCAGGATGACGGCTTTCTGTCCCCGTTGGATTCCCGCAAGTTCGTTCCCTGGGGTCCTCTCACGTACCATACTGTACTGGAGGTGATGGATGATGACATTTACCCGATGCGAGCCTATCGCAGGGTGTTGATCAGGGTTGGCATATTTTGATGGATTCTTGGTCGGGGGCCTATTACTAGTTTGTCTTGCTATAGCATGTCCATAGAAGTAAGCTTGCTCAACCGCTCCCTCTAGGGATCAAAAGTAAAACACCAAATGACCCTAGTAAGGGACCCCACTTCCTAGGGTACACTACGTAGTAATTTGCCTAAAAGGCCCTACCAGGTTTAATGGCGCTCTACCACTACGCCCATCAGGGCCGACCTTCAATTAAATACTACTCCCAACCCTCCACCAACACTATCCCGGCGGAAGTGAAATCCCACCAACCCTCACAATGACCTGGCAAACATTAAAGAATCGACTCTGTCACCGTCCGAACAACGCTGCTCTGTATGTCCGGCCAAAATAAAGCCCAACCCACTAACTCCCTTCTATTACCATGTTCCCGCTGCTAAACATTAGCCCTAAGTTTGGCTACTATGAACCTGGTTGCGAATGCCCTTGAGCGCTGGCTCGATCGCAATTCTGCGAAGTGGTTGCATCACATCATGCTCGCTGTCAATTGTATCGTTGTCGCTAGTGTCGTGTTGAGAGAAGTACGGCGGTCGACTAGTGGTCCGAGTGTCGAACGGACTGGTTCTGGTGAGAAGAAGGAGTGTCTGGTTGATGGTGGGGAGGAGTAGGGGTTCATCTCTGTATGAGTTGGGTTGTGTGTGTATGTGCTTGGGGTGAGAAGTGTGAGAATACTGGAGTTGAGCTTCTGTGTAGGGCTTTGTGGTGAGATGGCTGGGTGCTTTGTTTCTGTATGAATGAATATCATGCTGCTGTCGTGTATGGGGTGTCGAGTCGTTCTTATGTTGGTATTCTGTGGATGAGCTTGTTGATTTATTGGATAGGATGGGTGTGATTGTGTTTTCTTGAAAATATGATTTAATATATAGTATACACACTATGTGAAACACATCAGAGGGGAAATAAGACACCCCGACGATGTCACGGTGAATGGGCGTTGAGTATTCTAGATTTCTATAATCTCCTATGTATAACACATGCATCTTGCAAGTTTCATCATTAGATACTGTTCGACAACATATGCTTCCATGTACAAGGTGAACATCCAGAGTACATTCCAACTCTCATAAACAACTATTACACTCGTTTAAATTCGCTGAATGCTTCAGATCATCCCAAACGCCATGCATGCCAAGCCGAAATATCAACATTTTTCCCGCACGAATATATGTATTAAGGTACCGGGTGCAAGAGCAAACAAGGAATAGAACACGCTCCACAAATTTACATATTTGCCAGTTCCTGGTCAATCTGGCGATCGAGGAATGCTCGCTTGTCTCCGGTCAAGGTCGCTTGAAGCCGCTGCTCGACCAATGCGCGAACTGTGAGAGGTTCAGTTAGCATGTATCTCATAACACGGCTGGGTTCAGTTGCTCACCTTGCTTCTTCGTTACAGTGTCCAAGTCCACTTCGGCCAGACAGCTACGGATAGCATCCGTAATCGCCATTTCATCAGGCCCACCACTTCCGCGGAAGTCAAATGCACTTTGAGGCCGCGAGGTATAACCACCTACAGGGCTCCGAGAGTTTGGCCGGGGAACCCCTAGGAGATTGTCCGTGCTCTGCATTAGGCCCACGCTATGCCGATTTGACGGATCCTGGAACTGGCTGAGATTGCCCACCGACAGGTTTCGAGACTGGTGCCCTGGCTGAAGCGGCATATCAGTATACCGACTAAAGCTGGACAGGTGCGAATGCCGGTTGCCTGGGATGTTTCCGCCGAACGGGGCGGGCGACTGCGGCGGCATGTAAGGACTACCATTCCGGCCTGCTCCTGGAAATCCGGTCAAGATGGTAGATGCAGGCTTGACCGAGGAATATTGCGAATGCATATCATCCATTTCCATGCCCATATCCCCATACTGACCTCCGTAGAATTTCTCCTGGCTCATGTTATAATCTCCACGGCGGCCAGGCAGATTATTGGCAAGAGCGTAATCGTCCCAGCGCTGGAGAGGAATGCTGCGAGGGTCGAATGGCTCGTCTTCTACCGCAACAACCCGCTTGTTTCCCTTCTCTCCAAGGACAACGCGAGTGTTACCCCAGCTGAAGTCGTCCTGTTTCCAGAATGAATACATCGGCAGAACGAAACTATAGATCGGATAGGCACAGATATAAATGATCATCCAACCGATATGCTGCCACTGCCGTTTCACAATAAAGATAATCGCCTGAAGGCCATACACACCAGCCAAGATGGCGATAGATATGATTGGAATTGGTCCACCACTAGCGACACTGTAGATTAGGTAACCCAAGTAGACGCAGGTGGCTGGGAGGATGATGGTTCCAAGAAGATCGACCAATACGACAAAACGCATACTGAAGCAGCAGAAGCCGCAGAGGTCTTTCAGGGCAGCAAGTTCCACCAGGTTATGGACAGTGGAGTTGATCCAGCGACGTCGCTGAGACAAAAGGACGGAAAACGTCTCGGGGGCGGCAGTGCTAGCGTAGGCATCCGGGATGAATTTGTAAGACATGGTAGGGAAGTGCTTCGTCATCAATGTAGTCAAGTAACGATCCTCACCCAAAGAAAGCAGGTTTTTCTTGTGCAGCGTGTCCACGTCATTGTCTGCGTATTCTTTAATAACCTTGTCTGATATGATCAAGGGCCGGCCTTTGTCCGCCGTCCGCAAGCGATACATGCAGAAACTGTACGAGTCAGCATCTTCGTGATATATATATGGCACCGATGTTTTATACTTACCACCCAGGAAGACAGGTCACACTGCCAAAGAGAGACTCGAATGCTTTTGAGAGATGATGAGAAATGTAGTACTCGTAAACCTGAATCATGGTCCACCAGCTTCGTTCCTCATTTTGCAAACTCGTCTCACCACAGATACCGGCAATGCGAGCATCATTGGCACAGGCAGCGACAAGACGATTAAGTGAATCTTCTCGAACACTTGTATCCGCATCCACCATCAGGCAGTATTCATAGAGCTCAGGGTCAACGCCAATCACATTGTTGATCTGGTGGAAAATCTCCAGCTCAAGAGGCGACATTGGAGCGCGATGGTGTACGCGATTGAGGAAGTTCAGAATTTGAATCTGCGAGTCACGTTTACCCCTGTTTCCAGGCTTAGACTTGCTTTGCTCTGACTCTTTGCCGACCTTCACGACAACGATGTAAGGAACAACATTCCCTTCGTACTCATAAAGTCCGGAGTAAACCTTGCCGTAGTTGAGTTGATCACTGCCTTGTCCAATTGACTTAAACGGTAAAGCAGGGGGGTCGATCTTGGGATCTACTCCCAGAATATCCAGAACGATCTTGGGCGTTGGGCGGTCGTTACCGCCACCAACAATCATACCGTCGCAGATGACATAAATCAGTTTCCTCTTGTTGTCATACTGGAGAGCTGTCAATGAATCAAGGCCTTTTCGCAGTGAGTCCTCGCCCTCAGTGTATGCTGGCACCAAGCAGATGACGAACTTGTCCTGCGGGGCAGGTCGACGTTTGGATCCTAGCTGGAGAGCAGCGAGGAACTTGACAAGAACGACTGCACAAATAAGACACGTGAATGCCAACAGGATGTAATTATTGACTTGGCATCTCGCACTATCACGGAAATCGACTTTGCCTTTATAGAACACGTAATCGAGACAGGTTTGCGCTTTGGTGGCATTTTCACTATCTGGCCATTTGTCCGTCACGTCAGTGCCTGGATAATTTTTGAAAAGTTCCGTGATACTGCTTGGCAGGAAGTCGTAAGTGTCTATATTGTTCATCTGCTTGAGGGTATAGAAATAGTCCGTCAAATCGTAAATTTTTTCGTCCTTGATGACCCAGGACCGTGAGCTGCTGTCTGCTTGTTTTGACACAACACTCCGCTTCCATACAACGGACCCCTTATAGTACTCGTCAATCTTTGGTAGAAAGACATCTTCGTACCAGGTGATTTTGTTCAGTTTTGTGTTCGGATCCGGCTGCGAGAGAGGGCCACAGCTGTGCTTGGCATTTGGATACAACACCGCGTTTGTGTCGTTGTTTCTCAGTGTGATAGACTCATCCGTCACAAAGTCACCACAGAGTCGAGTAAGCGGAGGGGGGAAGTAGGCGTCAAGATTTTCACCCATGAAAGGCTCCATGTTCGATGTCGTTGTCTCAATGCTTGTGTCACTGTGTTGGATTTTCCAGAACTTGCTGATGTCGTAGACTTTGCCGTGAATACTGACGTAAAAGTCATTATTCCCTTGATGATAACTGACTTCTTTCTCGTTCCAGACTTTGTCCTTGTTTGGACAAAGCAAGTTACCGAAGGCGATGATATAGAAACAGACAATAGCGTTAAAGAGAAGGATAAGAAACACGAGGACGAGCTTTTCTCTCCACGCCATTCGCACATCAGGACGCTTCATTCGGCCCACGAAGCGAAGAACGAACGATGGAATCCAGAAAGTCATGGCCCAGACAAAGCCAGTCCAGACACGTCGGCCAAGGGTAATCTCCTTTTTCTCAATATGTTTGGGATCGGCATACTCAGGATCAAGTTCGCCTAAGTAGCGGCCGTCCTCGTCATAGTAGGGGTTGTCATACTTCTTATCATCTCCCTTTGTACCTAAGCCATAATCACCACCCGTGTGCAATGTATGCGGAGCGCTGGGCGCAATTGACTTTGCACCACCGGCAACACTGGGAACCAGTGTGCTTTGTCTGTTGAGAAGATTATCCCGGCTCCCTAGAAGGCTTGTAGATTCTGCCATGGGAGGCACTGCATAATGTGGAACGCCAGGGTCAAGCATGCCACTTCCATACACGAAAGGGCTTGCTGCTGGTGGCTCTTCAGGCTTTAGATCGAGCATTGTCTCTGCTTCCCACCAAGCATTTTCTCTCACCCAGATTCGCTGATGGCCAACCACGGCATCGCCGTTGGTCCAACCCCTTTCAACTAACCAGTTCTCAACACCGTCCTTCCCTTCCCCACACCCAAGGCGAAAGTATCTACCGATGAACTCTTCCACGTCAAAGT